TGCAATGGGTATGATGAAAAGTAAGGAGAAAGACAGAAAAAATGCTCATGGCCATCATTGCCACCATTTTCCCACCCAGGCATACCAAAGGCCAGAAGCACCATTGTGGTGGACAAAGTAGAGGGGTCAGTGCTTCTTTTAGGTTCTCCCATGATGGATGTAGCTCTCACCTTTCGAGATTGTTCCGTTTTCAATTTGTTGTCGTTCATTCGTTCAGTCGTTTCCGACTCTTCGTGACTTCATGGACCAGTCCATGCCAGAGCTCCCTGTCAGTTGTCACCACCCCCAGCTCCTTCAAGGTCAATCCAGTCACTTCAAGGATACCATCCATCCATCTTGCCCTTAGTCAGCCCCTCTTCCTTTTTCCTTCCATTTTCCCCAGCATCAGTGTCTTCTCTAAGCTTTCCTGTCTTCTCATGATGTGGCCAAAGTACTTCATCTTGGCCTCTACTATTCTTCCCTCCAATGAGCAGTCAGGCTTTATTTCTTGAAGTATGGACTGGTTGGATCTTCTCGCAGTCTTAGAACTTTCCTCCAGCACCACAGTTCAAAAGCATCTATCTTCCTTCGCTCAGCCTTCCCTATGGTCCAGCTCCCACATCCATAGGTTACTACTACAGGGAATTTATTAAAGTAGTTATAAGGGTAGGTGTATACCAAGGGGCCTCTATAGAGCAAAACACAGAGCAAGGTCAGTAGTATCACTGAGCACTAGAATGGATAAAGTTACTTTCCTGGACTGCCGTTCTCAGACCCGTCCCCCCTCGATCCACGCTGATTTGGGGAAAATTGGTTCAAACTTGCTGATTTGGGGAATTTTCATCCAAAAGGTTAACATTTCCCAGCACTGCCACATATAGATCGTTCCTTGTCCTTTGACCTACACTGGCAGCATCTCTATGTAGCTGAAACACTTGCTTGTTTAAAGCACGCAGCAAACGCTGAGCACAACCCTCCTTCCTGAGCTTTCAGGCTTCAAAGGAAAGGCATCTGCATGTTTGGAAAGAAATGGTTTGAGCAAGCAATTAAAAACAAAGTTGGCAGAATTGGAAATGTCACCTGCGGTAGGGATGGCATAAACTGAAAGAAAACAGACAACTCACCGGATTCCCTGAAGCAAAGATTGCGTGGAGTCCAGAAGCTTAAGAAAACAACATTTCTGGACCCTTTGAAGACACCTGGCAAGTTGGGTTGGAGATATACAGAAGGCAGGATGAAGAAATCTAAGCAAAACTCCAATTAACCAGTGACTCAAAACACACAGGAACCAGTTATGTGCACATCCCTGGAAGAAAACTAAATGCAATATTTTTGCAAAGTTGAAAAAAATGGGGCCTGCATTTTTTAAATATCTATAGAAAACATTAATTAGGCTATTTGTAATTACCTCTGCTCTAGATAGTGCTTAATATACAGTTGAGAAGGGCAAATCTTCATTCTTTTTTGCAAAGTTTATTTCGCAATGGTGACTCTTGTTCTTGCCTATTACCCATCTTTTGTGACCTGATACCCAATTCAAAAGATTCCATTGCAGTTAAATACAAAACTGTGGATATCAGTCTCACAAATGCAGGTGTACTGCAATTTTTCCTTAGACTTCTTGCTGTTCAAAACTGTAACAGCACTTTGGCCTTTCTCGGTTTTTTTTTTTTTTTGTGGTTTTTTTTTACTTAAGTCTCTAAATTGAGCCTATTATGCCCCTTCTCAGACATCCTCGAGGATCCACATTGGGCTAGTAAACAGGACGTCAAGTAAAGGCCTTAAAAGGAAATTACCTGTTCCTGTAAATTGGGTATTAAGGGTATTGTGGTTTGGCAGAATATAATCTGGAGGAAATAAGACTTTATTTTATTTTTCATTTTTAAATATGAGGTTTTGGCATTCCCTGGTCACAGAGGCTCACAGTCTGAAAAGGCTCATAAGCACATATGAAGAGCTGTGCCAAAGAGACCCAAGACTTGTCTAGTCCAGCTTTCTGCTTTCCACAGTGGTCAACCAATGTCTCAGGGAAGACCAAGAAAGAATATCATGGACCAGTTACTCTCTTGGGTTGCATTGGGTAGCAAAAGTGGTTGAAATGCTTTCATAAGTATATCCACATGGTGGCAAGTTTGATGACTGAGATGAAGTGGGACATTTTCCTCTATGCTTGCTATCTAGCCATCATCCCACTTGTATTGTTATGCTTTTAATATTGGCCAATTTGAGTCTCCTTATGGAGAGAAAAAGCTAGATATAAATAAACATAATAACAACAACAACAACTGGAAAAGCTGGCACAATATGAGGATTTAAAAATTGAACTGCAAAGACTCTGGCACAAACCAGTAAAGGTGGTCCCAGTGGTGATCGGCACACTGGGTGCAGTGCCTAAAGACCTTGGCCTGCACTTAAACACAATCAGCGCTGACAAAATTACCATCTACCAGCTGCAGAAGACCACCTTACTGGGATCTGCATGCATTATTCGCCGATACATCGCACAGTCCTAGACACTTGGGAAGTGTCTGATGTGTGATCCAATTCAACAGCCAGCAGAGTATCTGCTGTGGACTCATCTTCTTGTGTTAATAATAATAATAATAATAATAATAATAATAATAATCAGAATAATGTTTTCGTTGTTCATTCGTTCAGTCGTTTCCAACTCTTCTTGACCTCATGTACCAGCCCATGCCAGAGCTCCCTGTCGGCAGTCACCACCCCCAGCTCCTTAAAGGTCAATCCAGTTACTTCAAGGATGCCAGAATAATAATAGTTGGTAAAACAGAATAATAATAGTTGGTAAAACAGAATAATAATAGTTGGTAAATCTTTGGGGATTTCAAAAAAAGATTGTTTGCGCATAATACAGTCAGCTTTCTTTAGCCACAGATTCTGCATGCAGGACTTGAAAATATTTATTTCTTAAATCCAAAAAGCAAACTTTGATTTTGCCATTTCATATAAGAGACACCATTTTACTATGCCATTGTATATAATGGGACTTGAGTACCCATGGATTTTGGTATTGACGGGGCATCCTGAAACCAATATAAAAGGCCCAGTGTAGTTGATGCAAAATATGTCCAATAAAGTTACATTTTGGGTTGTTGTAAGTTTTTTTGGGCTATATGGCCATGTTCTAGAGGCATTCTCTCCTGACGTTTCGCCTGCATCTATGGCAAGCATCCTCAAGTTACATTTTATTGTAATTTAGTTTCGTTCCCAAGATTTCCCTTTTCACTGCGAAGGAAATAATTTTTTTTGTCTTCTTCCACAGAGACCTACACACCAAGTAAAATCTTCCAAAGGAGAGGTAAGTTGGATTTGACGCAGGCCAATTTGATTTGACTCAGATGACCAAGACAGTTTTAAACAGTGTATTTTAATATCGAGATAAATGTTTTTAATGTTTGTATATGCATATAATGAATTCTTGTCCCAGCATTGAATGTTTGCCATATATATGCTGTGCTCTGTTCTGAGTCCCCTTTGGGGTGAGAAGGGCAGAATATAAATATTGTAAATAAAATAAGTGGCACGTATGACTACCAACTGATCTATTATTCATCTCCAACCACGACCAAATCAGTAGAAGTCCTATTCTATACAGGCATCGGAAAAAGGTGAGGAATGCTAATAATATAATAAAACTAGTCTTGATTGTGTGTTTCCAAATCTAATAAAGTAAAGAAGGGAATGTATTGTCGAAGGCTTTCATGGCCGGAATCACTGCGTTGTTGTAGGTCAGCATTTCTCAACCTGGAGGTCGGGACCCCTAGTGGGGTTGCGAGGGGGTGTCAGAGGGGTCGCCAAAGACCATCAGAAAACACAGTATTTTCTGTTGATCCTGGGAGTCTCTCTCTGGAAAGTTTGGCTCAATTCTGTCGTTGGTGGGGTTCAGAATGCTCTTTGATTGTAGGTGAATTATAAATCCCAGCAACCACAACTCCCAAATTTCAAGGTCTGTTTCCCCAAAATTCCACCAATGTTGACATTTGGGCATATTGAGTATCCATGCCAAGTTTGGTCCAGATCCATCATTGAGTCCATGGTGCTCTCTGGATGTAGGTGAACTATAACTCCAAAACTCTAGGTCAATTTCCATCAAATCCTGCCAGTTTTTTCTGTTGGTCATGGGAGTTCTGTGTGTCAAGATTGGTTCAATTCCATCATTGGTGGAGTTCTGAATGTTCTTTGATTGTAGGTGAACTATGAATCCCAGCAACTACAACTCCCAAATGACAAAATCAAACCCCCTCCACCCCACCAGTATTCAAATTTGGGCGTATTGGGTATTTGTGCCAAATTTGGTCCAGTGAATGAAAATACATCCTGCATACCTGATATTTCCATTACGATTCATAACAGTTGCAAAATTACAGTTATGAAATAGCAACAAAAATAATTTTCTGGTTTTGGGTCACCACAACATGAGGAACTGTTTTAAGGGGTCGCAGCATTAGGAACGTTGAGAACCACTGTTGTTGGTTTTTCGGGCTATGTGACCATGTTCCAGAAGCATTCTCTCCTGACATTTCACCTGCATCTATGGCAGGCATCCTCAGAGGTTGTGAGGTCTGTTGGAAACTAAAGGTCTAGGGAACTTTCTGCCCCATCAAACACAGTCATTGTACTGTCTCTTTTTTGTTTGTTTGTTTGGGAAAATGGCATTCATAACCATTTGGAGATCATAACCTTTTTGAAAACCATAATCTTTCAGAAAAGAGCCAAAAACCCTTTTGAGTAGAATCTTCTCAAGTGGTACACAACCAGATGTACTTTTTTTCATGCCATATAATCCAGAATATTAAGACAGATAAACCACAATATCTGCTTTGAACTGAGTTCACACTGCCATTTATTCCAGTTCAATATGTATTTTATACAGCTGTGTTGAAGAGCCCTAAGTGACAACTGTGCTGTTAGTGGGGTGGGATTGTATTCCAGGCTTTCAATCTTGTCAATAGGTTACAGACAGTGTTAGTGACCATCTTTGTGGTTTCTCTCTTCAGCTCACAATTTCTAGCTTCTTGGTACGTTCAGCAATTGTATCCCGCTATGCCTTCACCCGAGTGTGGACTGTTATGAACAACCCACACACGGAGGCAAAAGAAGCCACCTTTGATCTGGATCTTCCCAGTTCAGCATTCATCTCCAACTTTACCATGTGAGTCTGGACCACAGAAAGTCAGTCTGTACACTCCTTCAACTGAGGCATCATGATAGATAGCCATAAATAATTGGCTTTGTTGCATGGGATGTGAGATGGGGCAAAGTCAAGGGGAAAACATGTCTTAGCGTTTGATGTAGAAAATTCCCGATCCTGGGCATTTTAAGTTAAAATCTTAAAGTCACAAGGGAAGTTAAATAGAAAATTCAAAATCGAATAGGACAGCAGTCGGACTAGATTTTGAGTTCTTCACGTGCATTATTACTCAAGCCAAAACCAACCTCATACTCATCACCTTTCAGTTAAACACAACAACGAATTACAGCTCATCTCTGTACAGCAGGGGTCCTCAAACGAAGGCCCGGGGGCTGGATATGGTCCTCCAAGGTCATTTACCCGGCCCTCGCTCAGGGTCAACCTAAGTCTGAAACAACTTGAAAGCACACAACAACAACAACAAACCTATTTCATCAGCCAAAAGCAGGCCCACACTTCCCATTGAAATACTAATAAGCTCATATTTATTAAAATTGTCCTTTGTGTTAATTATTGTATTGTTTTAAAGTTTTTTTCACTACAAATAAAATATGTGCAGTGTGCATAGGAATTCATTCATGTTTTTTTCAAATTATAATCCAGCCCCCTGCTGTACAGTATTAACTCTCAAACATAAGGCTCATTTTAAAGCTACTCTTAATGTCTTTCATGCCTAAGCCTACCTGTGCCTGTCCATAAGCAGCTTGAACCTACTTACAAAACCTGTTAAAATATGGAAAATAGAAAACAAATCCAAGTTGCTGAGACCTGCAGAACCTGGGAGAGCTCCTAGGGCAGACACATTTTGATCTGATAACTTTGAGAAATTTTCAGAATTTATTCTGAAAACGTTGATTTTTTTGTACCTGTTACCTGTTCACAGGAATGTGTGTGTGTGTTTGTCTTTTAAGTTGCTTGTCGACTTGTGGTGACCCCATTCATTCCTTACTGCTTTCTTAAGCAAGGGATACTAAGATAAGCTTTTGCAAGTTCCTACCTCTAAAATGAAGCCCTTAGTGGCACAATGGGTTAAACCAGTGGTTCCCAACCTGGGGTCCCCAGATGTTTTTGGTCTTCAACTCCCAGAAATCCTAACAGCTGGTAAACTGGCTGGGATTTCTGGGAGTTGTAGGCCAAAAACATCTGGGGACCCCAGGTTGAGAACCACTGTGCCAGCAGGACCACTGACTGACAGGTGAGTGGTTTGAATCCAAGGAGAGTGGGTTGAGCTCCCTCTGTCAGCTCCAGCTTCCCATGCGGGGACACGAGGATGGTAAAACATCAAAACATCCGGGCATCCCCTGGACAATGTCCTTGCAGACGGCCAATTCTCTCACACCAGAACTGACTTGCAGTTTCTCAGAGTTGCTCATGAGATTAAAAAACTCTCTAAAATAGGACCTACAGAACCTGATATTCATTGGTGCACCGGGATCGTGGTGCAGCTGGCTGAGTGTCAGCTGCGTTAAGATCACTCTGACCAAAAGGTCATGAGTTCGAAGCCAGCCCGGGTTGGAGTGGGTTTCCAACCAATTGTGTGTAGCCTGTTGTCGACCTTTGCAACCTGAAAGACAGTTGCATCTGTCAAGTAGGAAAATAAGGTACCACCTTAAAGTGTGGGGAGGCTAAATTAACAGATTTATGAGGCCATAAAGAAGACTCCAGCAAAGCATTCCAGCGGGGAAGCATGTGGGGAATGCGGAAGTGCTTCATCAGCGTTGCAGATGGACGATGAAAGCGACAGCTCCCCTGGTGGCCAGAAAAAGTTAAATAGCCTCTGTGTATGTCAGTATATGTTTGTATGTCAAAAATTGGCATTGAATGTTTGCCATATATGTGTACACTGTAATCCTGAGTCGCCTGCGGGGTGAGAAAGGCAGAATATAAAAACTGTAAATAAAATAAATACTGTTCAGAGTTGATCCTACTTAGCTTCTGGAATCAGATGGGATTTGAGGCCTTTAGGGTATTTAGACCAGGGATATATAATATTGAAACAGAAATATTTTTATGGTTCCTTATCAACTCTTTTACAATTACCCAAGATTCTATGTTGACTGGATGCATATCTTATTCTTTTCCTACCAACCAGAACTGTGAATGAAAAGATCTATGTGGCTGAGGTGAAGGAGAAGCACCAGGCTAAGAAGATGTACGATGAAGCCCGCAGGCAGGGAAAAACAGCTGCTCATGTGGGCACCAAGTAAGACCACTTCCTTCAACCACCACTCCCTTGTTATAATCCAGGGGTTTTTTTTGTCTGATGTATTTTACCTATATTACTGGTTGCTCTGGAAAGATTTCACAGGACAGTAGGATATAAATAAGAATGAAGTGAAACTAAACTCAAGTAAGCATTTCAGTGCTGATACATAACAGAACACCCTTCAAATTTAAGATTCTTTGCTTCCATAGCTTTATTGTAAAGATGGCTTGTCCTCAGAGCAGACACAACATCTGTTCTGAAGCATACATGGGAACTATTTGATTCGTTCTGCCTAAAATCTAGTCTAAATGATAAAGGTTATTGCACTAATGGGGAAATATAATATTCACCCAACTAGCTATTCATCAAAGGAATCCAGATTGAACAGAAGCACATGTTTTGCAAGTATGTGGTTTGCTTGAAAAAAAGATAGCACAGGCTGGGGAACCTGTGATCCTCCAGACGTTGCTGGGCACTGGACCATAATGGATGGAACTGATGAGGGTTGGAGACCACTAACATCTGGAAGGCTGCAGGTCCCCCAGCTTTATTTTAGGAGGTTTCAGACACCAAATTTGGTAACCTGCTATGGAGTGCTTTTCCCCAGGGACCGAGAAACTGAAAAATTCAGAGTGTCAACCAGTGTGGAGGCTGGAGGCAAGGTGGCCTTTGAGCTGACTTATGAGGAATTGCTGCAACGGCATTTGGGAAAGTATCAGCATGCCATCAACATCCGACCACAACAGGTGGTCAGGAACCTCAGCGTGGAAGTGACCATTTCGGAAAGGACTGGCATTGATTATGTCCACGTGCTGCCCCTCCGCACAAGCAGACTTCTGACCAATGCTGTTCGAGGTACGGTTTCATCTTCCTGCTGTCCAAAGAGAGTGTCTGAAATGGAGTGGGTGGTAAGCAGTAGGCATGGGCAATCCATGGTTCTAAATGATTCTAAAGTACTTACAAAACTAAATTTCTGGTAGTGAAAACTAGGAGGCGCTGGTGCTTTGCTTCTACAGGGTTGCTAAAGTTCTGGTGGTGAAAATTTCAGAACTCTAACAAAACTTTCAAAATTTCATTAATATTTCATTATTGGCAATTTTTATGCCAGAACCAATTAGAAACTGCCATTTATAATGAAATTTTTAAATATAATATAATATAATATAATATAATATAATATAATATAATATAATATAATATTATGCACGTGTGGACCATAATGAATAATATAATATTTATAATATTACTAGCCATCCCCTGCCATGTGTTGCTGTGGCCCAGTCTGTGTATATGTGTTTTGTGTGTGTATATATGTGTATATGTGTGTATTTATATATTTGTGTATATGTGTATATATGTGGTTATGCGCATGCGTTGTAATGTTTTTTTGGGGTGTTTTTTTTTTGGCTTTTTAAGTCTCTTCTGCTGTGTTTTTCAGTGTTTTTATGAGTGACTGTGGCCAAACCTTCCCTCCCTCTTTCTTTCCTTTTTCTCTCTCGTTCCTTCCCTCCCTTTTTCTTCCTTCCCTCTTTTTCTTTTCCTTCTTCTTTTCCTTTTTCTTTCTTCTCTACCTGTTTCTTTCCTCCCTTCCTTTGCTATTTGGTTCCATCCTTCTCTCTTTCCTTCCTTCCTTCCTTCCTTCCTTCCTTCCTTCCTTCCTTCCTTCCTTCCTTCCCTCCCTCCCTCCCTCCCTCCCTCCCTCCCTCCCTCTTTCTTTCTTTCTTTCTTTCTTTCTTTCTTTCTTTCTTTCCTTCTCTCCTTCCTTCCCTCTCTCTTTCCTTCCTTCTTTCACTTTTTTATTTCCTTCTCTCCTTCCCTCCTCTTTCTATCCCTTCTTCTCTCCTCCCTTCCTTCCTTCCTTCCTTCCTTCCTTCCTTCCTTCCTTCCTTCCTTCCTTCCTTCCTTCCCCCTTTCTGTGTATATATGCATATATGTGTGTCTATTTGTGTTTGTGTATATATGTGGTTTTGCGCAAGCATTGTAATGAGGTTTTTTTAGCTTTTTAAGTCTCTTCTGCTGTGTTTTTCAGTGTTTTTATGAGTGATGGACACTCGTTGGCCTGAGAAGTGTATCATGTCCAAATTTGGTGTCAATTCGTTCAGTGGTTTTTGAGTTATGTTAATCCCAGAAACGAACATTACATTTTTATTTATATAGATAATGCAATACAATATAATACTAATAATAATATATTATATATTTATATTTCATGTAATATTACTAATAATATTCCAATATAATGGTATAATACAATATAGTACTATATAATACTGATATTGTACTATGCTGATAATATAATATATTGTATGTATATATCTCTTGTAAGCTGCTCTGAGTCCCCTTTGGGGTGAGAAGGGCGGCATATAAATGTTGTAAATAAATAAATGCTGGGAGTCTCTACTTTCCAATATTTGCTGCCTGAACTGGTTACAAAATTCAGCCATATGGTGCGGACTGCTCCTGTGTGTGAACTAGCCCTTGCCTCTGCTGATACATTTTGTTTTCACAGGGGATGCTGACGTGCCGCCATCCACTCGGGTGGAGAAAGGAACACACTGTGCTTGGATTGTGTTCAACCCAACGCCCCAAGAACAGGCAGCGTTCTCAAGCTCAGGGATCATGGGTGACTTTGTGGTGCAGTATGACGTGGCCATGCCAGATGTTGCAGGCGATGTACAGGTTAGGAGGAAGATGGTGAACTGGGGAAAAATTAAACATTTTAGATATCAGAAAAAAAGAAAACAAGCTGTGATTCTTTGTTTTAGAATCATTTTTATTAGTATATCAACAATAATAAATAAAAAGAGAGAGAGGAACGGGGTTTACATGGAAAGTGGGGGAACATTCGATTTATAGAAAAGTCAGAAAATAGTAAGGAGATAAGATGGTCAAAAATCAGAAGTAATAGTCATAAACTTCCAAAAAGAGAGGATAGAAAAAAGAAAAGGGAAAGAAAAAGAAAAAGAAAGTAATGATAATGAAAATAATAAAAGTGTGTCCATTGACTTCCATTCTGTGCTTTGACTATTGTATTTTATCTATCCCTTCCTAGTTTTATTAAAAATTTAAACAGAGAAGAGTATTATATATGTATATTTATATTGTACGGTGAAACACCTCTAAGAATTATCTTTCTAATTCTTTTCTTTTTCGTACACATCAAAGAGTATCCAGTCCGTCCTTCTTATTGGGCTTCCTGAATTCGACTTCAAAAGAAAAGTTAATTTGTCCATGTCTCTGATTTCTCTCAATTTACTTATCCAGTCTTCGCTGTCTGGTATTTTATTTAATTTCCAAAACTTCGGATACGAAATTCTTGCCACCGTAGAGATATATGTGAATAGAATACCTTTATTATGATCTAAATTTAAATCGGAGTCTGTGGAGGCCTAGGAGATAGTATTCAGGTTTTCTTCCAAATTTAATTCCCGTTAGTTTTTGGGACTCCTCGTGTATCACTTTCCAGTATTTTTGGGCTTCTTTACAAATCCATCACATGTGGAAAAAACTGCCCTCCTGGTCCTGGCATTTCCAACAAGTTTTGCTTACATTTTTATACATTAGTCCTAATTTTTTGGTGTAATATACCACCTATGAAACATCTTTAAGAAGTTTTCTTTTAGGTGCATGGCGTAGGTATTTTTTGATTTTTTAGTCCCAATTTGTTCCCACTCGTTCATATGTAATTCTTAGGGAGCTGAATACACCCAATGTGCTTCTTATCTGCAAATGCTGATTTGTTATCAGTAAATGTTTGGATTTTGTAACTATTTTATATACCTTTAGATCCAGGGACATATAACAATTTATTGGGCCAAAAGGGATCATGAGTGGAAAAGTTTAAGAAGTCCTGATATGACACATCCAGATTTATTTCTTTCACTAAATAAATCATCCAGGTGATCAGGTGGTTGACTGAACTCTTCCTTTCCCTCCCCATGATGGCTGTTCTGTCTCTTTTTTGCCTCTCAGATCTACAATGGCTATTTTGTTCACTACTTTGCTCCAAGGGGATTACCGCCAGTGCAGAAGGACGTGGTGTTTGTTATTGATATCAGCGGTTCCATGTACGGCATAAAGATGAAACAGGTGAGCCATGAGTAGTCGAAAAGGTATAGGTGTAGAGATTGCACGTGGGATGACTGAAGTGTAGCCAGAACTGGGGGATTTGCTTGTCCAGAATAAATGGGAGGGAATATAAATGATTGAAATATAGGTGCTACATCCCTTGCATGCCTGGCATATGGGCAAGATTTACAAATGGCTGGCCCTTTCATTAGGCAGAGGGACCAACAGATTTTGAATGTCATGAAAGTGTAGGGAACTGTTCACTACTATATTTGTTACAAGCTGTCCCCTGCCACACGTTGCTGTAGCCCAGTTTGGTGATCTGGAAAATAAAGTAATGAGAAAGTGTTGGTTTCTAATATATGTAATGTCTTTATGCTTGTGGATAAACAGTATTTTTGTTGCTGTTTCTTTGCCAATGTTGATGTGGAGATTGTCTAGTTTGCCTACTCTGGAACATGCAACATATCATTGTCCTTCTTCAGGGGTCCTTTTCAAATCTATGATACTATAGCTCCATGTGTGTGAATCATATCTATCTATCTATATCTTTGGCTGGATGGTTCTTTGTCAGGAGGGCTTTGATTATGTTTTTTTGCTCTGCTGAAGGGAGTTGGACTGGATGACTTTAAGTATTTTCTGTTGGTCACGAGGGGAGGGGGTTCTGTGTGGGAAGTTTACTCCAATTCTGTTGTTGGTGGGGTTCAGAATGCTCTTTGATTGTAGGTGAACTACAAATCCCAGCAACTGCAACTCCCAAATGACAAAATCAACCCCTCCCCACCCACACACACCCCACACACACATGTGATGGTCATGAGTGATGGTCACTCCTTGAATTTTAGGTGTCTTGTGGCCAAATTTGACAGCAATTCATCCAGTGGTTTTTGAGTTATGTTAATCCCACAAACGAACATTATATTTTTATTTATATAGATAATTGTATTTTTACTGATAAGAAATTTTAACTGTGCTCAGACAAAGAGCTCTGGTCTATAGCACACAATGCAATACTTTGAGTACCATTTTAAGGCTGGTAGAAGTTAAGTATTCCTTATCTGAAATGCTTGGAACCAAAGATGTTTCATTTGTTAGATTTGTTCATATTTTGGAGTACCTGTAGAACTCCAGGTTTTTCGAGCTCCTACTTCCAGAAGAAGCCCTAGCCAGCTTGTCCCATGGCCAGGAATTGTTGGAGCTGAAGTCCAAAACACTGGAAGGGCCACAAGTTTTACACCACTTCTATAGAATATACATGCAAAATGAGATATCTTGGAATGAGGAACCAAGTCTAAACATGAAATAATAATAATAATAATAATAATAATAATAATAATAATAATAATAATAGCAATAATAATAATATGATTTATTTATATCCCGCCACCATCTCCCCAAGGGGACTCGGAGCGGCTAACATGAGGCCAAGCCTCATGTTTCATATACACCGCATGCACATAGCCTCAATATAATTTGATACAATATTGTACCATCAGTAAAGCAAAAGTATTGCTATCTCAGCCACCCATGTGGACAATGTTGAATTTTGATTTATTTTTAATTTTGGAATTCTGGATAAAGGATGCTCAACCTGTATTTAAGTACCCACTTTGAATTGGGTTGGTAGGAATTGATTTTTACTATATTTCAGTAAAATGTCTTAAGATAACCTTCCTCTCTTCATATGGTGTGATCTAGAGCTCACACAAGCAAACAACAAAGGGGTCTTTTTTGCTTTCAGCATCATGGACTTTGTGATCAGAAAGGTACCAAGAATAATCACTTGCCTTTTGGGAATGATGTAAGACAGCCTACTCAAAATTAATGCCCTCTTATAATGGTTGTACCTTCCTTGCCAGGTGTGAATGAATGATGTTGTAGACCCACCAAGTTGTAGAAGGCTAATGTAAGAGTCCTTTCGGAGTTTTGAGTAACGAAACCCCTTTCCCCTGCTTTACAGACCAAGAAGGCAATGCATGTCATACTAAGCGACCTTCACCAAGATGACTTCTTCAACATTGTTACTTTCTCTGACACAGTGAATGTATGGAAACCCAGCCAATCCATACAAGCTACTCCACAAAACATCAGAAAGGCCAAGGACTACGTCAGCAAGATGGAAGCGGATGGATGTGAGTTCAGACCAAGAAGGTTATGGGGATCGTGGTGGGCAGGAAGGTCACACGGTCATTCTAGGGAATGCTTTCATTCAGTTTTCTGGACTTCCCATTCTTATTTGTAGAAGCCTAAGCTAGAGTAGGTGCAAGTTGCCAACACTTACTTACTTTTTAAAACTGATAACCTCAGTTAGAAGAATTTAGGAGGTCCCAATTTTAGACTTGGGCCAATCCCGCTTGGCGTGAACTCTCAAGGTGGTTGTGAGGATAAAGGATGGTGGAGCTCTGTTGAAATGTTTGTTTGTTTATTTTTTTACATGTATACTCCACCCCTTCTCTGGTGGAGATCTTGAGATCATTGGAGAAGAGGTGGAAATATGAAATAATGAAATAATATGTGATGACACCCAGGCATGCTTGGCCATCTGTTCCTTTAGACCAGGGGTCCTCAAACTATTTATTTATTTATTTATTTATTTATTTATTACAGTATTTATATTCCGCCCTTCCCACCCCGCAGGGGACTCAGGGCGGATTACAATGTACACATACATGGCAAACATTCAATGCCAAAGACATACAACAGATAGAGACAAACAGTCAGAAGCTATTTAACTTTTTTCTGGCCACCAGGGGAGTTGTCGCTTTCATCGTCCACTGATGAAGTACTTCCGCATTCCCCGCATGCTTTTTGCTAGAGTGCTTTGCTGGGGTCTTTTTTTATGGCCTCATAAATGTTGTTAAATTAGCCACCCCACACATAGGTGGTACCTAATTTTCCTATAAGGAAAACTCTCAGCAATATGCCCTCAAAATGCACTTTACCACTGATTTAGGACTGCGTTCCCTCATCAGTCTTCGAAAAACCCTATCCCAGTTATATCCTACCTTGTTCATGCCCAGCATTATTATTAAAATTTTAAATTATTACATTTGGTCCGGTCATAGATTTTTAAATGCTTGTGTGCTACTGTTATTGTTTATTGTTTATTTTTATTTGTGATTTATATTAATTGTTTTGTATTGATTGTTTTTGTTGTTGCCTTTGTTTACTGATGTACTGTAGGCTTGGCCTCATGTAAGCCACACCGAGTCCCTTGGGGAGATTGTAGCGGGGTATAAATAAAGTTTTATTATTATTACTAGCCGTCCCCTGCCATGTGTTGCTGTGGCCCACATGGGGGTTCTGTGTGGGAGGTTTGGCCCAATTCTATCATTGGTAGGGTTCAGAATGCTCTGTGATTGTAGGTGAACTATAAATCCCAGCAACTACAACTCCCAAATGTCAGGATTCTATTTTCCCCAAACTCCACCAGTGTTCACATTTGGGCATATTGAGTCATAGAATCATAGTATCAAAGAGTTGGAAGAGACCTCATGGGCCATCCAACCCCCTGCCAAGAAGCAGGAATATTGCATTCAAATCACCCCTGACATATGGCCATCCAGCCTCTGTTTAAAAGCTTCCAAAGAAGGAGTCTCCACCACACTCCGGGGCAGAGAGTTCCACTGCTGAACGGCTCTCACAGTCAGGAAGTTCTTCCTCGTGTTCAGATAGAATCTTCTCTCTTCGAGTCCTCGTGTAGAGTTGGGTCAGATCCATCATTGTTTGAGTTCACAGTGATCTCTGGATGTAGGTGAACTACAACTCCAAAACCAAAGGACACTGCCCACCAAACCCTTCTAGTGTTTTCTGTTGGTCATGGAAGTCCTGTGTGCCAAGTTTGGTTCAATTCCATCGTTGGTGGGGTTCAGAATGCTCTTTGATTGTAGGTGAACTATAAATCCCAGCAACTACAACTCCCAAATGACAAAATCAATTTTTTAGAGTGAAGGACATACATTGGGTTGTTAGGTGTCTTGTGTCCAAATTTGGTGTCAATACGTCCAGTGGTTTTTGAGTTCTGTTAATTCCACAAACCAACATTACATTTTTATTTATATAGATTATTACTTGACCGATGCAACTGTCTTTCGGGTTGCAAAGGTCAACAACAAGCTACACAATTGGTCGGAAGCTCACTCCGACCCTGGCTAGCTTCGAACTCATGACCTTGTGGTCAGAAGTGATCTTAATGCAGCTGACACTCAGACAGCTGTGCCACAATCACGGTGGCCAGATACGGCCCTCCAAGGTCATTTACCCGGCCCTCGCTCAGGGTCAAACTAAGTCTGAAACGACTTGAAAGCACACAACAACAACATTCCTATCTCATCAGCCAAAAGCAGGCCCATACTTCCAATTGAAATACTAATAAGTTTATATTGGTTAAAGTTGTTCTTCATTTTTAATTATTGTATTGTTTTGAAGTGTATTTGCACTACAAATAAGATATGTGCAGTGTGCATAGGAATTCATTCGTGGTTTTTTTTTTTTTCAAATTATAATCTAAAACGGTTTGAGGGACTGTGACCTGGCCCTCTGTTTAAAAAGTTTGAGGACAATGGTATTCTGATCTCCCTTGCCATTTTGCTCCTTAGGGACCGACATCAATGCAGCTTTGCTTGCAGCGGCCTCTGTGTTCAACCAGAGTTCTCTGATGGCTGGAAAGATTACGAGGGATCAGAGAATCCCACTGATCATCTTCCTGACGGATGGTGAACCCACTTCTGGAGTGACAGCTGGCAGCCGCATTCTTTCTAATGCTCAGCAGGCTCTGAAGGGCACCATCTCCCTGTTTGGTCTGGCCTTTGGTGATGATGCTGACTATGGGCTGCTCAGGCGCCTCTCGCTAGAAAACCGTGGCGTGGCCCGACGTATATATGAGGACGCTGATGCCACTTTGCAGTTGAAGGGTTTCTATGATGAGATTGCCAGCCCCCTGCTATATGATGTGGAGCTGGCCTATCTGGATGGAGTGGCCCAAGACCTTACTCAGAACCTCTTCCCCAACTACTTCCAAGGCTCGGAGCTTGTTGTAGCTGGGAAGGTGAAGCCTGGAGTAACAGAGCTGCGGGTACGTACCACAGGACATGGCCAAGAGGGCCCACTGAGCTTGGAAAATGACATCTCAGCCAACACTACAGAAGCAACTCCCTTTGGTTGCTCTGGGGATGCCAACAAGATTGGACACTTTGTGCAGAGGCTTTGGGCCTACTTCACCATTCAGGACCTGCTCCAGGCCCGGTTCCGCGCCAATGACACAGCCACCCGACGTCTGCTTACTGAAAAAGCTACCAACCTGTCCCTCAAGTACAACTTTGTCACACCTGTCACCTCTCTGATAGTGGTGAGGCCGGATGCGCACAAAGATAAGGCCCAGCCAGCAAAAGTTACCATCCCTCCTGGGGTAACCAAAGGTCCTAAGGCCACTCCTCATGCCTTGGGAACGGCTGCTTCACCATGGTTGTCTAAAGTGACCAAAACTACTACCAGTGCTCCAGGGGTCACAAAAGCAGTCAAGGGAATAGTGAGGCATACTACTACTTCCCCAGCTCCTGCCAAGAAAGTTACTAAAGTAGTCAGAGCTACATTGCCATCAGTCGTTAATACAATTACTGTCAACCCTACTCCTTACATTTCCCCAGCACCTACTGTATCCAGCCGCATCAAAGTGGTACCCAGCCGCGCCAAAGCCACAGCGCTTCCAGGACTGATTTCCAAGTCTCTGACCCCAGCTGTATCACATGGGTCCACGAAAGCCTCCCTTAAGACCGCCAAACCACCTCTCAAAACTCCTAAACCCATTCCCACCAGGCCTGGAAAACCTAAGGTCACAGTTCAGCCGCACTCTGGGATGGAGACCAGAGGAACAGCTATTTCTAAGGTGCTCTTGCTTGGCAGCCCCAATGCAGCACCCACTTCGGGGCACCCTCCTGGCAGTGTGAAGGTATTGGGAAATAACACTAGTGTCCAAGAGCAACCTCAGGTGACACCTCAGCCCACCTCTGAGCACCAACACTACACAAAACGGCAGGAAGGTACTCTGAGAATGGAGACAGGGAACGTGGCTGGGAGTAAGACGACTCCCAAGGGTGGCCCTGCTGCAGAAATGAACACAGAGAAGCCACCCCATAACAGCACTACTCTATGGGGCCCAGCACCTGGAATTACATTCTCAACAACAGAGAGAATGGGGTCACAAGGCCCTGGACGCATCCCTAGCAGCACTACACCTGCCTCCGATATCAGCCTCCTCCTCCTACCCAGTGAGTCTGAGTTACGCTCAGCCACCGACCTGGACATGGAGTATGTGGAATCCTTAAACCCACCAGCTGTGTATAGTTTTGTTACATCTCGGGAGCACCCTGGTGAGTACTAACAACAGGAGAACTAGCTCTTCATTTTTGCTTCCCCTGAGGCGTAAAGACTGTCTTTCCTCTGTATTGTCGAAGGCTTTCATGGCTGGAATCACTAGGTTCTTGTGGGTTTTTTCAGGCTATAGGGCCATGTTCTAGAGGCATTTCTCCTGACGTTTCGCCTGCATCTATGGCAAGCATCCTCAGAGGTAGTGAGGTCTGTTGGAATTAGGACAATGGGTTTATATATCTGTGGAATGGCTGGGGTGGGGCAAAGAGCTCTTCCCTGCTGGAGCTAGGTGTGAATGTTTCAACTGATCACCTTCATTAGCATTTGAAGGCCTGGCTGAGCCTGGGAAAATCCCCTGTTGAGAGGTGTTAAGATGTGCCTGGTTGTTTCCTCTCTGCTCTTTTACAACAGCAAAACAGCAGAGAGGAAACAACCAGGCACATCTTAAACACCTCTCAACAAAAGATTTCCCCAGGCTCAGCTAGGCCTTCAAATGCTAATGAAGGTGGTCAGTTGAAACATTCATAGCTCCAGCAGAGAAGAGCCCTTTGCCCCACCACAGTCATTCCACAGATATATAAACCCATTGTCCTAATTCCAACAGACCTCACTACCTCTGAGGATGCTTGCCATAGATGCAGGTGAAACATCTGGAGAAATGCCTCTAGAACATGGCCCTATAGCCCGAAAAAACCCACAAGAACCTTGTCTTTCCTCTTCTTAAGCTATTCATAGATCTTGATAGTTCTCCCATTCTCCTTCACTCTATTGGGAAAGTGGGCAGGCTAGAAAGAAGGTTCATTATAGTGTCATCTCTAAACAGAAATAAGCTATAAACACAGGGTTACAAAGGCAAATCTGAGAATCTGAGATTTCAGTGCCCACTTAATTTATTTATTACTAGCTGTACCCGCCACGCCAACCTTTCCTCCTTTTTCTCCTCCTTTCTTTCTCTCCTTCCTTCCTACCCTCCCTCTTTTTCTTTCATTCTTCTTTCTTCCTTCTCTACCTGTTTCTTTCCTCACTTCCTTTGCTCTTTGGTTCCATGCTTCCATGTCTCCTTCCTTCCTTCCTTCTTTCCTTCCTTCCTTTCTTCCTTCCTTCCTGTCCGAACGGATTCTCCCCTATGAACCATCAAGATTATTAAGATCTTCCGGAGGGGCCCTGCTCTCGGTCCCACCATCCTCGCAGGTGCATCTGGTGGGGACGAGGGACAGAGCCTTCTCAGTGGTGGCCCCTCGGCTCTGGAACTCTCTCCCACTGGAGATTAGAACTGCCCCTTCCCTCCTGACTTTTAGAAAATTTGTGAAAACTTGGCTCTGGAATTTAGTATTTGATGAGTGAGTCAAGAACTTCTGGCCACACGGACGGATGGTAATGAATTGTGATATCTTTTGGATGACTTGGCTTTATGTAATTATATGATTGCTTTTAATATATTTTATGTATTAATGTGTTTTATGGTGTGGTGTTTTAAACTACTGTTTTTGAATCATGTTGTAAACCGGCCTGAGTCCCTCTCTAGAGGTTGAGAAGACCGGTATGTAAAAGTTCGAAAGAAAGAAAGAAAGAAAGAAAGAAAGAAAGAAAGAAAGAAAGAAATTCCTTCTTCCCTTCCCTTCCTTCCCTCTCTCTTTCCTTCTTTCACTTTTTTATTTCCTTCTCTCTTTCCTTCCTTCTCTACTTTTCTTTCTTTCCTTCCTTCCTTCTCTCCTTCTTTCCCCCTTTTAGTATATGTGTTTTGTGTGTGCATATAGATGTGTATATATTTGTGTATATGTGTATATATGTGGTTTTGCGCATGCATTGTAAAGTATTATTTTTCTTTTTTGGCGTTTTAAGTCCTTTCCACTGTGTTTTTCAATGTTTTATGAGTGATGGTCACTCATTGGCCTGATAGGTGTATTCTGTCCAAATTTGGTGTCAATTTGTCCAGTGGTTTTTGAGTTATGTTAATCCCACAAACCAACATTACATTTTTATTTATATAGATTTATTTTGGGGTATTTTTACTCCACCCTTCTCAACCCCCTGGGGGGGGGGGGGGATTCAGGGCGGCTTCCAGCTGGCACATATTCAATGCCTATAATTAAACACAATAAAATACATATCAAAATCAGTAGTTATAAATAATTAAAACATTAAGTTAATACAATAAAATCCACTAGAAAAGAAAGCCAGTCTGGTGGCCATTGTCTCTCCAAGTTCTGTAATTGTAGACTCCATTCTGCTTGTCCAACTTAAGATCTGGAAATGGCTCTCTGTGTGTGTCATCCAGTCCCATTACAGACCTGCTCACCTGCCCAATGGGGAAAACCAGTGAGTGGGACTGGGGCTCTTGAGTAAGAAAGATCTGAAGTACTTCATCCTCCAAACCTTTCACAAACCAGATCCCACCAGTCAGCCAACTATGTTAGGATAAATGGGGCTATGTCTTCTTGTTTGCATCATTCTTTCTTTAATAATAATAATAATAATAATAATAATAATAATAATAATAATTAGAAAAGCTTACACAACATGAGGATTTAAAGATAGAACTACAAAGACTCTGGCACAAGCCAGTCAAGGTGGCCCCAGTGGTGATCGGCACACTGGGTGCAGTGCCTAAAGATCTTGGCCTGCACTTAAAAACAATTGGTGCTGACAAAATTACCATTTGGCAGCTGCAAAAGGCCACCCTACAATAATGCACACATTATTCACCAGTACATCACACAGCCCTAGACACGTGGCACAAGTTACAGCACAATTAAAACAAACATTCTAAAAATTCTATAAATACACATATTAAAATGTCTTTTTATATATATACTAGCCATCCCCTGCCACGCATTGCTGTGGCCCACTCTGGTGGTCATGGGGGTTCTGTGTGGGAGGTTTGGCCCAATTCTGTCGTTGGTGGGGTTCAGAATGCTCTGTGATTGTAGGTGAACTACAAATCCCAGCAACTACAACTCCCAAATGTCAAGATTCTATTTTCCCCAAACTCCACCAGTGTTCACATTTGGGCATATTGAGTATTTGTGTAGAGTTTGGTCCAGGTCCATCATTGTTTGAGTCCACAGTGCTCTCTGGATGTAGGTGAACTACAGCTCCAAAACCAAAGGACACTGCCCACCAAACCCTTCCAGTATTTCCTGTTGGTCACGGGAGAACTGTGTGCCAAGTTTGGTTCAATTCCATCATTGGTGGGGTTCAGAATGTTCTTTGATTGTAGGTGAACTATAAATCCCAGCAACTACAACTCCCAAATGACAAAATCAGTTTTTTTTGAGTGAAGGACATACATTGGATTGTTAGGTGTCTTGTATCCAAATTTGGTGTCAATTCGTCCAGTGGTTTTTGAGTTATGTTAATCCCACAAACGAACATTACATTTTTATTTATATAGATATATATATAAAATCTTTAATCAACTAATTCCAGATTCCAGAGTTACTAAAGGTATCTGTTATTGCAAAAACAACGTCTATAGCCAGGGAATCTTGTGATACCTTTAACAGCTTTGGTTGGGCATCCCAAATAAATGTACCACATAAAATTCCTTAAATCTTTATTGTGCCACACATTTCTTTGTTTTCCAAATAATTCAACCTCTCAGCTCTTGCTTGTTTGTTTCCTCCTCAGTAAACCTGGATTACGATGACATTTCAGGTAACTTTGCTGTCAGAGATATTATTGGGAGCAGTGGGATGGTGGTGAAGGTAGCACATTTCATTTCTTTAAAAGCTTTCCCAAATGTGCAGTTATAGTGTCCGTCATCTGGAGAGGCCCTATCAATAATGCCTTTATTTAGGAAATGGATGGGAAGTGAGTGGAAATGGGCTATTTGGTGAACCACAAGAAACCTATGGATGGCATAGTTCCCATCCCTGATGTAAATTGTGTGCGGACCATCTTTTCTAGATTTTTCTAGCCTACATCTCCCTTCAGGTCTAGTCAAGAGAGCCAGTGAGGAAAGATGGGGTTGCCTGGTGAAACACCAGTCAGGGCTCCTGCTTATATATCAATAACGCCTGCTGAAATGTTCTCTCCTAAGGCACCAATAAAGCTACAGGATCCCAGTTCTGTTTTTCACCAGACAATCTAAGTAAAGGATTACAGGAAACACAATTCAAAATCAAATATAGTTAAATTTATTTATTTATTTACGACATTTATATGCCACCCTTCTCACCCTGAAGGGGATTCAGAGCAGCTTACAAGGTATATATTACATACAATATATTATATTATTAACATAGTACAATATCAGCATTAAACATTGCTATATTGCACCATGCCACTATATTGAAATATTATTAGTAATATTACATGTAATATAAATATATAATTACTAGCCATCCCCTGCCACGGATTGCTGTGGCCCAGTCTGGTGATCTGGAAAATAAAGTAATGAGAAAGTGTTGGTTTCTAATATATGTAATGCCTTTATGCTTGTGGGTAAACAGTATTTGATCACATTTTCTTGCCCTAGTGAAGGGAGTTGGACTGGATGGCCTTAAGTATTTTCTATTGGTCATAGGGGTTCTGTGTGGGAAATTTGCCCCAATTCTATCATTCGTGGGGTTCAAAATGCTCTTTGATTGCAGGTGAACTATAAATCCCAGTAACTATAACTCCCAAATGTCAAGGTCTATTTCCCCCAAGCTCCATTTGTGATCCTAGTTGGGCATATGGAATATTTGTGCCAAGATTGGTCCAGATCCATCACTGTTTGAGTTCACAGTGCTCTCTGGATGTAGGTGTACTACAACTCCCAAACTCAACGTCAATGCCCACCAAACACTTCTGCTGTTTTCTGTTGGTCATGGGTATCCTGTGTACCATGTTTGGTTCAATTCCATCACTGGTGAAGGTCAGAATGCTCTCTGATTGTAGGTTAACTATAAATCCCAGCAACTACAACTCCCAAATGACAATCTTGTGGCCAAATTTGGTGTCAATTCATCCAGTGGTTTTTGAGTTATGTTAATCCCACAAACGAACATTACATTTTTATTTATATAGATAATATCATATTGTTGTTATTATTATATTGCATTACATTATAATATAAATATTATATGTATATACAATATATATATTATATTATATTATATTATATTATATTATTAGAATAGCACAGGAGATGTTTTTACCCTTGACTTGCCCACAAGTCACACAAACATCCATAACTTGACCCCCAACCCTATCCTCAACTTATACATGAGGTTGACCTATACATAAGTGTGTATGCAACAGTTAATCACTTAACTTCATGACCAGGAAAGCTTGGCGTATGGCCCATTGTAGCTGGTTATTCCTGGTAGCTGGAAAACGAACCAAAGTAAAGGTAATTCTAATCAAACAATGCCTTATGAGTGGGGTGGTGACCATTTTGGGTTATAAAGGGATGGACAGACCCACTGACATTGAAAGTAGTCTAAAGAGGGTCAGAGAGCCCATGTGGACCTCTCAGATACAGGCCCCCAGTTCTTAGATCTTTGATCATTGGTCATGTTGGTTGTGGCTGATGGGAGTTCAATCTATCGGCTTCTGGATGGTCACATTTTCCATCCTTGCTCTAACGCAGTGGTTCTCAACCTGGGGTCCCCAGATGTTTTTGCCCTTCAATTCCCAGAAATCCTAACAGCTGGTAAACTGGCTGGGATTTCTGGGAGTTGTAGGCCAAAAACATCTGGGGACCCACAGGTTGAGAACCACTGCTCTAACACAACTCCATGAACTGGATTCAGACTCCTGGGAATCTGTGGGGAAGTCACGTAAATGGGTCTTGCATCTCTAAACGTTGACAAATCCCATCCCTGAAATCAGACTTTATTTTTCAGACTTCTCAGAAGAACTGGACAATGATGCAGGTACATTTCCACATATAAGCTGGCAGAATCGACTATGTTTGTCCAACAGAAAAGCTAGTCAAGTCTGGGTTCCAGTCATCGCCTGTCACCCGTGATTCCACTAGTATTGCATCCACCTCTACTCCCATCCAGCCGTGTTTCTGTTTTGATGTTGCCTCCCATCTGGTTTGCTTTGTTCTGACTCTTCTTGGGTGGGTGCATCAATGGGGGATAGTCAGCCAGATTGTCAGATTCATGAGTTGGCGTCCCCAAAAGGAACTGCAACACCCACAACCTTTCTTCCCAGATGTTCCACATAGTGCACTTCTTTAAACTTGCTTAGCATTGGAGAAGACTTTTCAATACCCATTGGCTATCAGGAAAAGGAAACATATGGCTCTCCCAGATGTAATGAGATTGCTTTTCCCATCATTCCTGATCATTGGATGATGGGAATTGCAGTTCAACAATATCTGGAGGGGTCACAGGTTCCTCACTATCGGTGTTGTATCTGCACCAAGGCTGATGACCTGAAACTCTGAAGTGATGGGTTGGTGAGGGTACAGCAAGATTATATTTGGTGCCTAACATTGTCCATACTTCAGGAAATAAAGCCCAACTGCTCATTGGAAGGAAGGATAGTAGAGGCAAAGATGAAGTATTTGGCCACATCATTTTTTTTGTCGTGTCAGGAGCGACTTGAGAAACTGCAAGTCTCTTCTGGTGTGAGAGAATTGGCCATCTGCAAGGACATTGCCCAGGGGACACCTGGATGATTTCATGTTTTTATCATCCTTGTGGGAGGCTTCTCTCATGTCCCCGCATGAGGAGTTGGAGCTGATAGAGGGAGCCCATCCGCCTCTCCCCGGATTCGAACCTGCGACCGGTCGGTCTTCAGTCCTGCCGGCACAGGGGTTTAACCTACTGCGTCACCGGGGCTACATCATGAGGGGACAGGAAAGCTTAGAGAAGACAATGATGCTGGGGGAAATGGAAGGAAAAAGGAAGAGGGGCCGACCAAGGGCAAAATGGATGGATGGGATCCTTGAAGTGACTGGATTGACCTTGATGGAGCTGGGGGTGGTGACGGTGGACAGGGAGCTCTTGCATGGGCTGGTCCATGAGGTCACAAAGAGTCGGAAGCGCCTGAATGAATAAACAACAAAACAACAACAAACATTGTCTATTGTTGAGTGGATGTAATTCTGCTCCTTTCTTTTCAGATACGTTGGGAGGTTCCTCCAACACTGGTTTCTTCACCTTCTCCTCTTGGGGTAAGAACTTCCCCAGCCCAAATTATGTAAAATTCCCACACTAATCTCCTTTAAAGAAATGTGGTGTAGCTCCGTGTTGTTCCTCCAGATATTCTCTTGTTGCCCCATTGACCATACTAAGTGATGCAGATAGCATTTGAAGCCCCAAATATCCAAAAAAACCAATGGTTCCTTGCTCCTAATTCTATTCACATTTTCCCTACAGTGGACGGAGACCCCCATTTTGTAGTAAGCCTACCACATTCCCCAGGGAAACTTTGCTTCACCCTGGATGGACACGCAGGAGATATTCTACGGTTGGTGAGAGATCCCATCACTGGTAAGAGTTTCAGCAGCCTTGCACGCAGTTGGCCTAAGCCTGTTCTTGGCCGTCTTATAGGATCAAATGGAAAGAATGATAGAATCAACCCGGTCCTCTCCACCCACTAATTTTGGCATCTGAAACCTCTGAGCGTAAGATGTTTCCTACCTCTTCCTCCTCATTCTCCTCAGCTATTTTTTAAAGGGACAGTGTGTCTAATGCTTACGAATGCAATAAAAATGTGTTAAAATGGGTCTAATATCTGATGTTTTTAATTGGTTGTGTTTTATTTCTAATTTTTGGGCTTGTCCCTTGTAAGCCGCCCTGTCGTCCCCTTGGGGAGATGGTTGGCGGGCTATAAAAATAAAATAATTATTATTATTATAGCCATCTCCTGCCACGCGTTCCTGTATATATGTTTTGTGTGTGTATATGTGTGTATATTTGTATATAGGCAGTTTTGTGCATGCACTGTAATTTTTTTAAAAAATTTTTTGCTTTTAAGTCCCTTCCACTGTGTTTTCCAGTGTTTTGTGAGTGATGGTCACTCATTGGCCTGATAGGTGTAGTGTCCATATTGGTTTCAATTTGCCCAGTAGTTTTTGAGTTATGTTAATCCCACAAATGAACATTACATTTTTATTTATATAGACTAGCCATCCCCTGCCACGCGTTGCTGTGGCCCAATCTGGTGATCTGGAAAATAATGAGAAAGCGTTGGTTTCTAATCTATGTAATGTCTTTATGCTTGTGGGTAAACAGTATTTCTTGTTGTTCTTTGTCAGTATTGATGTGGAGATTGTCTGTTTGCCTATTCTGGAACATGCAACATATTATTGTCCTTCTTTAGGGGCCCCTTTCAAATCTATGATACTATATCTGTGTGTGTGTGTGAATCACATCTATCTATATCTATGGCTGGATGGGTCTTTGTCGGGGGGGCTTTGATTACGTTTTCTTGCCCTGGTGAAGGAAGTTGGATTGCATGGCCTTTAGTATTTTATGTTAGTCCTGGAGGTTCTGTGTGGGAAGTTTGCCCCAATTCTGTCGTTGGTGGGGTTCAGAACACTCTTTGATTGTAGGTGAACTATAAATCCCAGTAACTGCCACTCCCAAATGTCAAGGTCTATTTCCCGCAAACTCCATCTGTGTTCATATTTGGGCATATGAAATATTTGTGCCAGGTTTGGTCCAGGTCCAGATCCATCATTGTTTGAATCCATAGTGCTCTCTGGATATGGGTGAACTACAACTCCCATACTCAAGGTCAATGCTCACCAAACCCTTCTGGTGTTTTCTGTTGGTCATGTAAGTCCTGTGTGCTCCATTTGGTTCAATTCAATCATGCTATTTGATTGTAGGTGAACTATAAATCCCAGCAACAACTCCCAAAAGACAAAAATCAACATTTTTTGAGTGAAGAACATACATTGGGCTTTTAGGTGTATGCTGTTCAAATTTGGTGTCAATTCGTCCAGTGGTTTATGAATTATGTTAATCCCACAAATGAACATTACATTTTTATTTATATAGATCAGGGGTCCTCAAACTAAGGCCCGAGGGCCAGATACGGCCCTCCAAGGTCATTTACCCGACCCTCGCTCAGGGTCAACCGAAGTCTGAAATGACTTGAAAGCATATGACAACAATAACAATCTTATAGGTAAAGGTAAAGGTAGTCCCCTGACATGAAGTCCAGTCATGTCTGACTCTGGGGTGTGGTGCTCATCTCCATTTCCAAGCCGAAGAGCCAGCGTTGTCCGTAGACACCTCCAAGGTCATGTGGCCAGCATGACTGCATGGAGCGCCGTTACCTTCCCGCCGGAGTGGTACCTGTTGATCTACTCACATTTGTATTTTTCGAACTGCTAGGTTGGCAGAAGCTAGGGCTGACAGCGGAAGTTCACGCCGCTCCCCGGAATCGAACCTGCGACCTTTCGATCAACAAGCTCAGCAGCTCAGTGCTTTAACCCACTGCGCCACCAGGGGCTCCCTATACCATCAGCCAAAATCAGGGCCACACTTCCCATTGAAAGACTAATAAGTTTATATTTGTTAATATTATTCTTCATTTTAATTATTGTATTGTTCTTAAGTGTTTTTTGCACTACAAATAAGATATGTGCAGTGTGCATAGGAATTCATTCATGTTTTCTTCAAATTATAATCTGGCCCTCCAACAGTTTTAGAGACTGTGACCTGGCCCTCTGTTTAACAAGTTTGAGGACCCCTGATATAGATAGTATCTTTTTTTTTACATGCCTCTGAGCACTTCAAACTACAGTTCTTTTTCTCTCTAGTTGGAAAGTGGAGAAGAAGAAAGTCTGTTCTCTCTTTACAGACTGCTATTTGTCTTCCTTTTCAGGCTTCTCAGTCAATGGGCACCTCATGGGGGCTCCTTTGAGGCCAGGCCATGAAGAGCGTCCCCGCACCTACTTTGATGCCATCACCATTGTGGTTGAGGAACACCTGCCCCACACCGGATATGTGATTAACATCACGCGAAAAGGCGTAATGCTACATGGAGAGCATACTCTGGCCCTGCCCTTCACCCAGCGGGCCACAATCCACAAGCCGCAGCTGGTGATTTCCATGTGGCCTGAAGCCAACATCACTGTGCAGATTGGCCATGAGTTGGAGTTCCTGGTTCTGCTGCATCGCTACAGCCATCCCACGGCTCTGCAGTTGGACCATCTTGGCTTCTACATGGTCAACGGGAAGGGACTGTCAACATCAGCATGGGGCTTGCTAGGTAAGCAACCCACCTTTCCAACTGTTTCTTGTGTTTTCTGAGCACCAATTTACTCTTCATGTTTTGCCTTAACAGCGTGGAGCACCCTTCCATATTCCAAATTATGTGATAAATTGCTTAGGACCTCATCACACTAGAGCAATGGTGGGTAGGAACCCCTGGGGGGGGGGGGGGTCCCCAGCGGATGTCAGAGGGGTCACCAAAGACCATCAGAAAACACAGTATTTTCTATGTGTGAAGTTTGGGTCAGTTCTCTCGGTGGGGTTCAGAACGCTCTTTGATTGTAGGTGAACTATAAATCCCAGCAACTACAACTCCCAAATGACAGAATCCATTTTTTTGAGTGGTGGTCGCTCCTTGGGTTAGTAGGTGTCTTGTGGACAAATTTGGTGGCAATTCGTCCAGTGGTTTTTGAGTTTTGTTAATCCCACAAATGAACATTACATTTTTATTTATATAGATACCACCGGAAACCACACAACACCCCAAGCCTAGACCCACAATAACCTCTCCAATTCCCTGACAACAATAATACAACAATCATAACATTAATAACAGATGGTGTACTGTCTTCTTGTGACACCAAAAAACTAGCTACCTCCAGGAGCCACTCCATTCCACTTTATCATAGGAATTTTGCCAGGCTCATTCCTGACTTACCTTTCTTTGCTCACGCAAGCCCATTTTGTCTTCCACAGGCCAGTTCCAGAATAGTGGCATACGGCTTTCCTCTGGAGCAGCTAATGGAGCGCCAACCACTTGGTTGTGGAGAGGCGCCAACAAAATCCCAGTCACCGAGGTCACCAAGATACTGAAGGATTCACCCAAGAGGGCCCATGAGGCCCCATGCTGGCTAGTGAAACGCAAGGATGTGGAGGGGCTGCTGGGCGCACCGTACAGCTCTTACATAACCTCCAGTCTCCTGGAAATGTGAGCTGGCCACCTTTGCAGTCACGCAGTGCCAATCAGCAAGGCCAGTAAACGACAAAAGTCACTGTCCTGTTGCCGTATTCTCTTCTACTCCACTTTCGTGTTATGGAGATGAGAAAGAAGAGGATATATGTGGCCTCGCTTCCGGGACCCTTGTAGTATGCTCTTGAGAATGATAGCGGGCACAGTGGTGCACTAAGGGATCTTTTTAACCTCTCTACAGTCCTCTGGATACACCATCAATACATTTCTGTTTACATACACACATACCCCACATTTATTTACCACAGAAAGGGAACTAATGTAAAAAATATCACTGGAATCATAGAATCAAAGAGTTGGAAGAGACCTCATGGGCCATCCAGTCCAACCCCCTGCCAAGAAGCAGGAGAATTGCATTCAAAGCACTCCCGACAGATGGCCATCCAGTCTCTGTTTAAAAGCTTCCAAAGAAGGAGTCTCCACAGCACTCCGGGGCAGAGAGTTCCACTGCTGAACAGCTCTCACAGTCAGGAAGTTCTTCCTCATGTTCAGATGGAATCTCCTTTCTTGTAGTTTGAAGCCATTGCTCCATTGCATCCTAGTCTCCAGGGCAGCAAAAACCAAGTTCGCTCCCTCCTCCCTTTGTCAGTGTTGATGTGGAGATTGTCTGGTTTGCCTACTCTGGAACATGCAACATATCATAGTCCTTCTTTAGGGGCCCCTTTCAAATCTATGATACTATATCTGTGTCTCTGTGTAAATCATATCTATCAATCTATATCTATGGCTGGATGGCTACCATGTCTCCTCTCAGCCTTCTCTTCTTCAGGCTAAACATGCCCAGCTCTTTAAGCCGCTCCTCATAGGGCTTGTACTCCAGACCCTTGATCATTTTAGTCGCCCTCCTCTGGAGACATTCTAGCTTGTCAATATCTCTCTTCAATTGTGGTGCCCAGAATGGGACACAATATTCCAGATGTGGTCTGGAAGGAGGCTATTCTGAATGATCTTGTCAGTGACAGACATGCAAATTTTGCCTTTATCCCCTTTTGGAGAAAGAGACGTGACCCCCCCCCCCTTTCCCATGATGGAGTATCTCACAGCAGAGTGTCCCCAAAATTTCACAAAAATAACCTGACCTGTTATACAAGCAAGGATGGAAAAAGGCAGATGTGAAGGGATTGCCTGTAAGGCTCAAATTATGCCCGGGAGCTCAAGCCCAACTCCTTCTCACAACTTTATTTCCAAAGGAGAAAGGCAACTAAGATGAATACCCTGAGATGATGGATCACAATGAATATATATATATATATACACACACACACGCGCGCGCGCGCACACACACACGCGCGCACACACACTAGCCATCCCCTGCCACACGTTGCTGTGGCCCAGTCTGGTGATCTGGAAAATAAAGTCATGAAAAAGTGTTTGTTTCTAATATATGTAATGTCTTTGTGCTTGTGGGTAAACAGTATTTCTTATTGTTTCTTTGCCAGTGTTGATGTGGAGATTGTCTGGTTTGCCTACTCTGGAACATGCAACATATCATTGTCCTTCTTTAGGGATCCCTTTCAAATCTATGATACTATATCTGTGTGTGTGTGAATCATATCTATCAATCTATATCTATGACTGGATGGCTCTTTGTCCAAAGAAGGAGCCTCCACCACACTCCGAGCCAGAGAGTTCCACTGTTGAACAGCTCTCATTGTTAGGAAGTTCTTCTTCATGTGCAGGTGGAATATCCTCTCATGTAGTTTGAAGCCATTGCTCCGCGTCCTCATCTCCAGGGCAGCACCAAAAAAAAAAAATCTGCTCCCTCCTCCCCCATGACTAGCTTCCAAAGCAAAGTGGCATCCGGGAGGAAATGTCAACCTGAATGCTGATCCATAGGCAATGAACATTCCCAAATCATAGAATCATAGAATCAAAGAGTTGGAAGAGACCTCATGGGCCATCCAGTCCAACCCCTGCCAAGAAGCAGGAAAATGGCATTTAACACACCCCTGACAGATGGCCATCCAGCCTCTGTTTAAAAGCCTCCAAAGAAGGAGCCTCCACCACACTCGGGGCAGAGAGTTCCACTGCTGAACAGCTCTCACAGTCAGGAAGTTCTTCCTAATGTTCAGATGGAATCTCTCTTGTAGTTTGAAGCCATTGTTCCGCGTCCTAGTCTCCAGGGAAGCAGAAAACAAGCTTGCTCCCTCCTCCCTGTGGCTTCCTCTCACCTATTTATACATGGCTATCATATCCCCTCTCAGCCTTCTCTTCTTCAGGCTAAACATGCCCAGCTCCTTAAGCCGCTCCTCATAGGGCTTGTTCTCCAGACCCTTGATCATTTTAGTCGCCCTCCTCTGGACACATTCCAGCTTGTCAATATCTCTCTTGAATCGTGGTGCCCAGAATTGGACACAATATTCCAGGTGTGGTCTAACCAAAGGAATAGAGGGGTAGCATTACTTCCCTAGATCTAGACACTATGCTCCTATTGATGCAGGCCAAAATCCCATTGGCTTTTTTTGCCGCCACATCACATTGTTGGCTCATGTTTAACTTGTTGTCCACGAGGACTCCAAGATCTTTTTCACACGTACTGCTCTCGAGCCAGGCATTGTCCCCCAATCTGTATCTTTGCATTTCGTTTTTCCTGCCTAAGTGGAGTATCTTGCATTTGTCACTGTTGAACTTCATTTTGTTAGTTTTGGCCCATCTCTCTAATCTGTCAAGATCGTTTTGAATTCTGCTCCTGTCCTCTGGACTATTGGCTTTTTTTGCCACCACATCATATTGTTGGCTCATGTTTAACTTGCTGTCCACAAGGACTCCCAAGACCTTTTCACACGTCCTGCTCTTGAGCCAGCCATCGTCCCCCATTCTGTATCTTTGCATTTCGTTTTTCTGCCAAAGTGGAGTATCTTGCATTTGTCACTGTTGAACTTCATTTTGTTAGTTTTGGCCCATCTCTCTAATCTGTCAAGATTTGCACCATCAGCCTCCCCTAGAGCAGAATGTAGTTGTAGCCGCAGCAAGGGCTTTTGTTCCTAAAGAAACAGAACCAGAATAAAGTACCCCACAGATGAGCCACACTAAACCAATAAAGGTTTTTATTCTAACCCTGAATATATAAAAAAAGGTTCCGCTTCATTTGTTTTGTTAACACAGATTTCTAGAGAGATGCCTAAAAAATAGAATTCAAACATTTACACAAAGCCGGCTGGAGTCTGGCATAAAAATATGTTACACAGCCATATAAACTGAGCCGTGCAGCTGGGTAGAAATGTCTTTTTTTTAGTCGTGGCTTAGGGGGCATGTTGCCCTCCCTGCCGCTGTTTGGGGAGGGGGAACGAATGCTTGAAAACAGGGTGAGGGGAGGGAATTAACAGCGGGGAGATCTGCAACAGGATCACAATGAATATATATATAGGAACCAATGCAAAGCCTACTGGGGAATCTCTTGTTACAGGGGGTCACTCTTTCTCCTGGACCGTGAGGTCAGCATCCCCATCCAATGTCACACGTGCTGGCCTTCCAACTGCATGCAGGGGACGACTTCTCGGATTAAAGCAAACATTAAAGCAGATTTTCCTTTAGCAACGACAGCTGGGCACACGAGAGTGAAGGCTGCAGCCCGCTCGGATATATGGACAATATGAATATGGAGAGAGAGGGGGGATTATATGTGACATCCCCTCAACTTACAACTGGAACCGATACAAATAAATCTGTTGTGTTTTGCATAAATTGACCACAATGACCAGACGCTGCTTCTTCTCTTCTAATATCGGATATTTTGGACCTGGAGTGAGTTCCTCGTCCACCCACCCCCTGGCACTACTCAAAGAAGAGTACTATTGTATTCTCCAAAAACATTACTCTCTGTCCTACCTTCCTGCAATTTGCCAGCTTAACGTCTCGTCTTTTTCTAGGGTTCAAGGACAAGTTCCCCTCTGTCTCATATCTCAAAGGTGTGTGAAGGACGGAAGGGTTGCTACCTGCTGAAACAAAGGCAATGCACAGTCGCTTCCTGTGGGGAAAAGCCGATATACAAAAATAAGTAATCAAAACCACGCCTTGGCATGCTAAGGTTCATGTGCAGCAGCAAAAATACAAAGGGTGGTTGAAGCCGCTGGGAGGAAAAATAAAGACTAACTGGCATCCCTGTGTGTGAGGGGAGAATTATACAGAGGTATCAGCCCCAGGAAAAAAGGGAACTGCTATGGATCGAGGTAGGGATGAAGAGTCAGTGGGCACAGTAAAGCCCTCCCGCCTCTGGGAAAGCTCAGTGTCAGAACAGTTGCCCATTGGGTCCAATGCTTCCTGCGGTGGGGCAGCTCAGTCCTGGCTCTAATCCACACGAGGGAGAGGTAGCACAGACCTTCTCTGTGCTCCATAGTCCTGGCAGCAATTGGAGGACACTGGCGAAGGAGTGCCTCCCAAAGTGTCTCTGTACCTCACCCATTGCGCGCTGCCCAAAAGGCCCGAGCTCTGGAGCGGGATGTGGGGGTGGCACTCAGAGCAGCAGTTTGCCATTGCGGTGGATCTTCAGGATGCGGCCGAGTCGCTGCTTGGCTGTTGCTAAACCCTTCTTGGGGCGTTTCCCTGGGGGTAAAAAGGAGGAAGCTGGTGAGTCAGAAGAAGCCTATTATTTATTTATTTATTTATTTAGGCCATTTCTACCCCCCCCCCCTTCTCACCCCCGAGGGGGGACTCAGGGCGGCTAACACAGACAACTATTCAATGCCAACAGTATTAAAACAACAATATAAAATCCATTACATAACAATTAAGCAGTGATATTAATTAAAATTACATAACCACATAGAACAGATGACAGAATCACAGGTCATAAAGCCATTTCCAATTTTTAAACAATCCTATTGTCTGAGTTCAGTGCCTAAAGTGCTGTTGTGCCCACTAGCCAAAGGCCTGGCTCCAAAACCACGTCTTTAGTTTTTTCTTAAAAGTAAGGAGGGAGGACGCCGATCTAATCTCGCTGGGGAGCGAATTCCATAAGTGGGGGGTCACCACCGAGAAAGCCCTGTCCCTCGTCCCCACCAGACGTGTTTGAGACGCTGGTGGGACTAGTTGAAGAGCAGGGCCTCCCCAGTAGATCTTAAATTACGAGGTGGAATGTAAAGAGAGATACGTTCAGATAAGTAAGCTGGGCCGGAGCCATATAGGGTTTTATAGGCCAAGACCAGCACTTTGAATTGTGCTCAGAGGTGGACCGGCAGCCAGTGGGGCTGACACAGCAGGGGTGTGGTATGCTCCCTGTATGACGCTCCGGTGAGTAATCTGACTGCTGCCCGTTGGACTAGTTGAAGTCTCCGAACAGTCTTCAAAGGCAACCCCACGTAGAGTGCATTGCAGTAATCTATTCGGGATGTGAACAGAGCATGGACCACCGAGGTCAAGTCAGACTTCCCAAGGTATGGGCGCATCTGGAGCACAAGGTTTAACTGTGCAAAAGCTCCCCTGGCCACTGCTGAGACCTGGGGTTCCAGGCTCAGCGGCGAATCCAAGATCACTCCCAAGCTGCGAACCTGCATCTTCAGGGGGAGTGCAACCCCATCCAACACAGCCTGTAACCCTATGCCCTGTTTGGCCTTTCGACTGACCAGGAGGACCTCTGTCTTGTCTGGATTCAATTTCAATTTGTTAGCCCTCATCCAGTCCGACACAGCAGCCAAGCACCGATTCAAGGTCTGAACAGCCTCCTTAGTAACAGGTGGGAAGGAGTGACAGATTTGGATGTCATCTGCGTACAGATAACACCTTAGTCCGAAACTCCGGATGATTTCCCCCAGCGGCTTCATGTAGATGTTAAATAACATCGGGGACAGTACTGAGCCCTGAGAGACTCCACAAAACAACGGTTGTGGAGCTGAACAGGTGTCACCTAATAACACCTTCTGTCACCGTCCCTTCAGTAAGGACCGGAGCCACTGCAAAGCAGTACCTCCAAGTCCCATTTCTGCAAGGCGTCTCAGTGGTCAACAGTATTGAAGGCCGCTGAGAGGTCCAGCAGAACTAATAGGGACACACTCCCCTGTCTAGCTCCCGGCGTAGATCATCTACTAAGGCGACCAAGGCTGTTTCAGTGCCATGTCCCGGCCTAAAGCCAGACTGTGCCGGATCAAGATAACCAGTGTCTACCAGGAACCCCTGGAGTTGCGAAGCCACCACACGTTCCATGACTTTGCCCAAGTTGGGGGGGGGGGCAGATTGGATACTGGCCGATAGTTGACTAATTGAGTGGGGTCCAGTGATGGTTTTTTCAACAGTGGTTTTATAACAGCCTGTTTTAGGCTGGCTGGAATATTGCCTTCCCGTAGGGAGGCATTAACCACAGCCTATCCAAGTGGGATGAACAACTTTATCTACTGAAATTTATTTATTTATTTGCTACATTTGTATACCACCCCTCTCAGCCCGCCGGCGACTCGAGGCGGTTCACAAGGCAACAATTCAATGCCAACAACATCATTAAAACATTAAAAAGCATTAACACATCAATTAAAACCATGACAATAAAAACAACCATTTCGTCTCCTAGATGAAACATAATCCAATCTCATAATCCAATTGTTTGTTTGTTTATTTATTTATTTACATCATTTTTACCCCGCCCTTCTCAACCCCCAAGGAGGGACTCAGAGCAGCTAACAAAGGCAGCAATTCAATGCCACAATCAATAACCTACGTGACCGCATCTCCGTATATGAACCCACACGATCCCTCCAATCATCTGGAGAGGCTCTGCTCACGATCCCACCTGCGTCGCAAGCGCGTTTGGTGGGGACGAGGGACAGGGCCTTCTCTGTGGCAGCCCCCCGACTCTGGAACTCTCCCCAAGGACATCAGACAAGCCCCAACGTTGGCAGTCTTTAGGAAGAGCTTGAAGACGTGGCTGTTTCAGTGTGCCTTCCCAGAATAAGGAATCCTAAGCAATATGTCCTTAATGCACCTTATGAATTATCTGCATGTCTGCCTATCCCAAAACACGCCTATCTCCCTTGAACTCCCCAGTTTTTAACTTTAAATGTTCACATTTGGCCCTGCCTCGTGTTTTTAAAATGTGTCGTGTTATTACTGTATTGTTTTTTGCTTTTATAAGTTATTCATTGTTTTGTTGTGGTTGTTTTGTGATGTTGTGGGGCTTGACCTCTTGTAAAACGCACTGAGTCCTGCGGGAGATGGTAGCAGGGTATAAGAACAATAAATAAATAAATACCGTAAAAACCGGCATACTAGACGACTTTCTAAGCCAAGAAAGTCATCTTAAAAGTGGGGGGGTCGTCTTGTGTGCCGGCTATAAGTTCCACCACTTGAGGATGCTGAGAGCGAGGGACGCGAGCAGCCATGAGAGGCCAAAGGGAGCCTGCTGGTATGGCAGCTCAGCTGGCCAGCACTCCCGGCAGACCTGCCGATCCTCCTCCTCCTCCCCCCTCACCATCCCCAAGCAGCGCAGCCTGCTGCTCTTGCCCTTGCACAAGCCCAACTGGCCATCACCGCCGGCAGCACTGCCGCTCCTCATCCTCCCCGTCCTCCTCCTGAAGGAAAAAGGGGCAGAAGAGGCTGCCCCCAAGCCTTCCATTCCCGGCCTCTTTCTCCCTCTCCTCTCCTTCCTCAAACAGTGCTACTCAAAACAAAGGCACCTCCGAGAAAGTCCTGCTGGAGAAACTTCTTCTTTCTCCCTCCCCTCTTTGGGGTTTCTTTCCTGTCTCTGTGTTCAGCTCCCTCTGAAAGAACAGCCGCTCTTAAGTTTTCAAAGTTTTCAATAGCCTGCAGAGGGAGGAAGAAAAAGGTCTCTTTCCCCCGTTTGGTTTTGTTTCTGCAGCCAAGAACGAGGCAGCCTTAAAGGGGAAGTCCCAGTGCAAGGGCCATCTACTCTTAAAGGGGAATCCCCCCCCCAAAAAAACTGCCACAGATTCAGTGCCATGGAATCACAGGAGTTGTAGTTTTACAAGGTCCTTAGCCTTCCCTGTTTAAGGGAGCCAGCACCATACCAAACTACAAGTCCCAGTTTTCTATCAGATTGTTTTGAATTTCAACTCTCACAATTCCTAACAGCTAGTGGCTGGGTTGCTGTGAGTTTTCCAGACTGTATAGCCATGTTCCAGAAGTGTCCTCTCCTGATGTTTTGCCCAGATCTATGCCAGGCATCCTTGGAGGTTGTGAGGTCTGTTGGAAACATGGCAAGTGGGGTTTATATATCTGTGGAAAGTCCAGGGTGGGAAAGAACTCTTGTCTGCTTGAGGCAAGTGTGAATGTTGCCATTGGCCACCTTGATTAGCATTGAATGGCCTTGCAGCTTCAAAGCCTGGCTGCTTCCTGCCTGGGGGAATCCTTTGTTGGGAGGGGTTAGTTGGTCCTGATTTTTTATTGTCTGGATTTCCCCTGCTTTTGAGTGTTGTTTTTTATTTACTGTCCTGATTTTAGAGGAGTTTTTTTTAATACTGGTAGCCAGATTTTGTTCATTTTCATGGTTTCCTCCTTTCTGTTGAAATTGTCCACCTGCTTCTTGTGGATTGCAATGGCTTCTCTGTGGAGTCTGACATGGTGGTTGTGAGAGTGGTCCAGCATTTCTGTGTTCTCAAATACTGACTGTTAGGAATTGTGGGAGTTGAAGTCTAAAACACCTGGAGGGCTACAGTTTTCCCATGCCTGATTTAGATCTATCTCAAAAAGGGTATATTCATCAAATCTTTTGGGCATGACTTTGGAAATATCTGGCTGCAGTGCAAAATGTTCTCACGTGTTGGGTTTTGGAAGCTGCACAAGATGGCTTTATGACAACTTCTGTCCCCTCAGCTTACCACTAGCTGCTTGCATTGTGTCTTCCTGCCTGGCAGGAGTGAGTGGGTTGGAATGGATGGCCATTGGAGAACTCTAGCGTTCTGTTGTTGTTATTGTTAAGCAGAGTTGTATGGCCACCTGTTGGGAAGGCTTGCATTGTGTCTTCCTGCCTGGTAGGAATGGGGTTGGACTGAATGGTCATTGAGCTCCCTTCTATTATTATTGCTGTTGTTATTGCTATTATTGTTGTTATCATCTGTCGGGAGGGCTTGGACATGTGTTCCTGTCTGGCAGAATTAGGGTTAGACTGGATGGCCATTGGAGTCCCTTCCAATTCTAGATTTCCATTATTGTTGTTGTTGTTGGGGAAAGGACATTGGACCCAGCCCTGGTCTCACTCTAGGTAAGGTAAGGTAAAAATTTATAGAACTTTATTACGCTCCATGGAAACACAACTGTTAAATAAATAATAAGCATACAGGAGTTTACAGGTGAGGTAAAGGTTTTCTCCTGACGTTAAGTCCAGTTGTGCCCGGCTCTGGGGGTTGGCGCTCATCTCCATTTCTAAGCCGAAGAGCTGGATACTGCTTTGATAGTCTTGGATTTGAAATCAAATCTGATGTTTTTTTGTTTTTTTTATTTGGTGTGCGATGGAAGAGGGGTAGTCTTATACGGCGAGTACATACCAAACTCTATATTTTAACTGGAAAAGTTGGGGGTCGTCTTATACGCCCAGTCGTCTTATATGCCGGAATATACGGTAAGTTTAAATTGATTTTTATATGGAACTGAATTTTATATGGATTTTATCATTTGCTTTTAACTGTTTATTCGATGTATGTATGTTGTGGCATTTAATTGTTGCCAACTTGTACGCTGCCCTGAGTCGCCTTCGGGCTGAGAAGGGCAGGGTAGAAGTGCAGTAAATAAAAATAAAATAAAATTTCCTGCCCTTGCCTTGCCCAAGACAGATATGGCTACAAGACTTGTGCAAGGTTTCCTGATGTCTGAGGTGGTCAAATCAAAAGGGACCGCCTTAGGAAGCATGACTGTACCTGGAGGATCCAACCAGCATACCAGATCATATGCCATTTGTTCTTGGCTGTCTCCAGATGCTGATGGGGAAAAACTAGAATTGTGTGAATGTCTCTTGTCATCAACTCAGAGGAAGAATAACACCTCTTTTCTTTGTGCGGACACAGTGACACTGTCTAATGGAAAACTGTCCAGTGGAAGCAAGAAGGAAATTAGATACTCTGATGATTTTGCTTAATTGTGTTTGTACTCATATGTTGTATGTATTTTACTGTGTTGTTATTGGATTTTGGTTTTACTTTATTGTAATGTGCTCTTAGGCTTGGCCTCGTGTAAGCCGCTCCGAGTCCCCGTTGGGGAGATGGTGGCAGGGTATTAAATAAAGTTTATATTATTATTATTATTATTATTATTATTATTATTCTGTTCCTTGTTCTGTTCCCACCGGAGTGGAAGTCATCTATCAGACAGATGGCAAGCTGTTTAACCTCAGCAGTCTGAAAGCCAAAACCAAGGTTACAACAACATCTGTTATAGAACTCCAGTATGCTGATGACAATGTCGTCTGTGCGCATTCAGAAGATCTACAAAACACCTTCGCAGAAGCATACGCCAAGCTTGGCCTGTCACTGAACATCGAGAAAACCAAAGTGCTGTTCCAGCAGTCACCAGCCATCCCCTCCCCAATGCCAGTGATACAGCTTAATGGTGTAACATTAGAAAATGTTGACCATTTCTGCTACCTTGGCAGCCACCTCTCCACCAAAGTCAACATCGACACCGAAATACAACACCGCCTGAGCTCTGCAAGTGCAGCATTTTCCCTAATGAAGCAGAGAGTGTTTGAGGACCGGGACATCCATAGGGATACCAAGGTGCTTGTCTATAAAGCTATTGTCCTCCCAATCCTGCTCTATGCCTGCGAGACGTGGACTGTCTACAGACATCACATGCAACTCCTGGAACGATTCCATCAGCACTGCCTCCGGAAAATCCTACAAATCTCTTGGGAAGACAAGCAGACAAATGTCAGCGTGCTGGAAGAAGCAAAGACCACCTGCATTGAAGCGATGGTCCTCTGCCATCAACTCCGCTGGGCCGGCCACGTTGTCTGGATGCCTGACCACCATCTCCCAAAGCAGTTGCTCTACTCTGAACTTAAGAACAGAAAACGGAATGTTGGTGGACAGGAAAAGAGATTTAAAGATGGGCTCAAAGCCAACCTTAAAATCTCTGGCATAGACACTGAGAACTGGGAAGCCCTGGCCCTTGAGCGCTCCAACCCCGACCGGGACTGCCTTTCACCTGGAAACCAATGCCCTCGCTGTGGGAGAAGATGCGGGTCAAGAATAGGGCTCCACAGCCACCTACAGACCCACAAGGAAACGCATAATGGAAGACCATCTTACTCGTCCAACGAGGGATCGCCTAAGTAAGTAAGTTCCTTGTAACCATTTTTCAAAGGGTTTTTGGAAGAATATTTTTTGGATGGAATGGGACAAGATCTGCACAACTTCCTCCCTCTAGTCACAAATCTCTACCTAGGAAGAACTGTTTCATTTCCTCACATGGAAGGAAAGGAACTATTCAAAGGAATACTATAGTCGTCTTTGTGGAACCACCAACTCAATCCAATAGAGGTACCAGCCAGATAATTTGTTTATATGACACGGTATTCCCGGATGCAAGTGTAATGAGTCAACACCTATCTAGCCAGGGAATGGTGACTCAACCTTCTTGAACTTGGACTTACTGCAACATTTATACAGGGCTTCAGTGGGTTTCAGATGTTTTCAATTTACAGTGGACATTTTGTATCCACTGAGGTTGGTTCCATGAACCTCCACAGCAATCAAAGTATGGGTCAACTCAAGGCCCATATAAAATTATTATATAAAATAGCAAAATCGAAGTTTGCTTTCTATATTGATGTTTAGGTGGGGGAATATATACAAGGCATGGATGGTTGAATCTGTTACAGTAAGTCATAGCAAGATCAGGTGTGTGTGTTAAAGAAAAACCTTATGTTGCTTATTATTACGTGCAGCTGGTAATGTAGGTCAGTCAGCATGTTTGGGCCTCACCCAATGGGGTATAACTGTATGGATTTTAGAATACAGTTTGGAGAAGCATTAAGCTGGAGAAGATATATGCTGCTCTGAAGGAGATGCAATATGCTGTAATGCTGGTATGCTCTAACAGTGATTCTATTTGCTATGGTGGAATAGCTATTTACTCATCTTCCTCTACGTCCCGCCTCGGAGTTTAAGGTCTTCTGGGGAGGCCCTGCTCTCGACCCCACCTCTATCACAAGCGAGGTTGGTGGGGACGAGGAGCAGGGCCTTCTCGGTGGTGGCCCCTCACCTGTGGAATTCGCTTCCCGGGGAAATTAGGTCATTAACATCCCTCCTCTCTTTTAGAAGGAAACTAAAAACATGGATATGGGACCAGGCCTTTGGGTAATCTGGCAGATAGACAAAGGACAACGACAACTAGAATTGGATAGGATTATGACAATGCGGAATGAACTTACGGATTTTGAGCTTGGGGAACGTTGATCACTAGATTGGTTTTTTCTTAGTTGTATTGTATAACTGGATTGTTTTAATTATTTTATAATTGTTGCTGCTATGTATTTTATCTTACTATGTGTATTGCTGGCATCGAATTGTGCCTTTTGTAAGCCGCCCTGAGTCCCCCCTTGGGGGTTGAGAAGGGGGGGGGGGTAGAAATGCTCGAAATAAATAAAATAAATAAATACTCAAGGTTTATGTTTTGCTTTCTCATTTGAATGAAGATGAAGAAGGCTTACTCTGTGTTACTTACCAGGACTATGTAAGTTTGTTGCACTGTTTGAGTTTGTATTTATTTATTTATTTATTTATTTACTTTGTTCTATACCGTTGTTCTCAGCCCGAAGGCAACTCACAGCGGTTCACAAGACACAGGACACAGCAGAATTCAAACACCAATATAAAACAGTTAATAACCTAGTCTAATACACAATTAATACACAATTACTATGATAACCATTCACTAGCGTCTCATCACTAAAAACATGATCCAGATTCGTCATCCATTGTCCATTCCTATGTCATTACCAGTCTTTGCACTAATTATTCGAACGCCTGCACAAATAACCAGGTCTTTACTTTTTTGCGGAAGACCATTAGAGATGGTGCTAATCTAATATCTGTGGGAAGGGCGTTCCACAGCCGGGGAGCCACCACCGAGAAGGCCCTGTCTCTCTCGTCCCCGCCAGCCATGCTTGTGAAGCTGGTGGGATCGAGAGCCTCCCCGGAAGATCTCAAAGTCCTGGTGGGTTCATATGCAACACTGCAAGTTTATTGCCTCTGCTGATAAGAGTAACGTTTTTCTGTTTCTTTTTCCTCTTGCCTGTGTGACTTTTGCATGGGACTTGGCTAAGATCCATTTCTGCGCAACAGAAATTGTGGATGCAGAAGGCCAGCTGCATTGCCGTCACCTGCTTTACTTCACGATAATAATAATAATAATAATACTTTATTTATACCCCGCCACCATCTCCCCAAAGGGACTTGAAGCGGCTTACATGAGGCCAAGCCCAACAACACATCAATAAAACAAAAAGCAATAAGCAAAGAAAGCAATACAATAAATATAACTCACATATAGGCAATAACACGCAAAGATTTAAAAAACCTATGGCCGGGCCAAATGTAATAGTTTAAAATTTAAAAAATAAACACTGGGCATGAACAGAGGTAGGATGTATCTGGTAGGAGGGTTTTAAAAGAAATGATGGGATAGCAACCCAACAAGTAGTTAAAGTGCTTCTGAGAACATTTTGCTGGGATTTATTGCCTTATTCAGGGAAGGCACACTGGAACAGCCACGTTTTCAGGCTCCTCCTAAAGTCTGTCAATGTGGGGGCTTGCATGATATCCTTAGGAAGTAAGTTCCAGAGTCAGGGGGCCACCACAAAGAAGGCCCTCTCCCTCGTCCCCACCCATTGTGCCTGTAAAGGGGGCGGGAGCGAGAGCAGGGCCTCTCCAGATGATCGAAGAGATTGCGTGGGTTCGTACACAGAAATGCGGTCACGCAGGTAGGCGGGTCCCAAACCGTACAAGACTGGAATAATGCACATCAGTGTTATTCTAGAAGGCCAGCAGCTTGCCTAAGGTCATGTAGCAAGTTCATAGCAGAAATAAAATTCAAATTGCGAACTTACTGGGATAAGTGACTCACTCACTAGTATACTATGCTACCTAAGTTTGCTGAGAGCTTATTTTTCCAAAATAGGTCTTGCAAATATCTCCACTTACATGGATGGGTACATCAAGGACTACTCCCTCACCTCTCTGGACAATAAGGTTGTCCTAACTAGAGCTTAGATTCCCCAAACACAGTCACGTTCTCCACTTACCTGCTTCATTGATGCTGCCCTCAAAACACATAGAATCATAGAATCAAAGAGTTGGAAGAGACCTCATGGGCCATCCAGTCCAACCCCCTGCCAAGAAGGAGGAATATTGCATTCAAATCACCCCTGACAGATGGCCATCCAGCCTCTGTTTAAAAGCTTGCAAAGAAGGAGCCTCCACCACACTCTGGGGCAGAGAGTTCCACTGCTGAACATGCATGCTGGCTTACCCTGTGCAGCCTGGGGACCACCCGGTGAACCGGTCGAGGGGCGTCGCTGAGACAAGAAGACACCTGGTGCCATGGGAGTGGATCCACGGTTGACCTGGGCCATTCCAAAGACATTGGGCCGTGCGGTGTACTCATGATCCACGAGGCTCCCAGCAAACTGTTCCTGTTTGGGTTCAGGTGTGGGAGGAGTGGGCACAGGAACCACCAGCCCTGGCTCTGGATCCTGTTGGGGTGGTGGCAGATCCGGCTCCACTTCTGCTTCCACTGGTTCTGGTTCTGGCTCCAGCTCCAGCTCCGGTTCCGGGCTAGGCGCCTTTGGAGAAGGTGGCTTCTTTTTTACGACCAGTTTCCGTCGCTGTGTCTTCTGGTGTTCCTTGAGAGAAAAGAGAGCAAAGACAGTGTCCTTTATCTACAGCCAAGTTGCAGTTTGTTGGTTGTCCCAACAAAGTAAGTGCCTCTTGATGGGACAGGACAGGCCTCCAGGGGAACTCTACATGGGCCTGTCTTTCATTTATTTATTTATTTATTTATTTATTTATTTATTTATTTCTATCCCGCTTTTCTCCCACGATGGGACTCCAAGTGTTGTACAGCATGTAAAATCAAGACAAACATACGAACATGAACCCTGGTGAATGATAAATTAAGAATTTATAACCTTGAAACTCTCCAGATATATTAGGCAAGCCCCCACCCTGGCAGTCTTTAGGAGGAGCCTGAAAACTTGGGTGTTCCAGTGTGCCTTCAATGACTGGATGTACAATAATCCCTGAACAAACTCTGCATAAAATGCCCTCAGAAGCACTTTAATTTACCTGTTATTTGAAACACAACAAGATGAGTCCACAGCAGACACTCTGCTGGCTGTTGAATTGGATCACACGTCGGACACTTCCCAAGTGTCTAGGACTGTGTGATGTATCGGCGAATAATGTGTGCAGATCCCAGTAAGGTGGCCTTCTGCAGCTGGCAGATGGTAATCTTGTCAGCACCGATTGTGCTTAAGTGCAGGCCAAGGACTTTAGGCACTGCACCCAGTGTATTATTATTATTATTATTATTATTATTATTATTATTATTATTATTATTATCACAACAAGATGAGTCCACAGCAGACACTCTGCTGGCTGCTGAATCGGATCACACATCAGACACTTCCCAAGTGTCTAGGACTGTGTGATGTATCAGCGAATAATGCGTGCAGATCCCAGTAAGGTGGCCTTCTGCAGCTGGCAGATGGTAATTTTGTCAGCGCCGATTGTATTTAAGTGCAGCCCAAGGTTTTTAGGCACTACACCCAGTGTGCCGATCACCACTGAGATCACCTTTACCGGCTTGTGCCAGAGTCTTTGCAGTTCGATCTTTAAATCCTCATATTGTGGATTATATCATGATATATATCATATTATTATGATTATTATTATTAATATTATTAATATCCACTATGCAGACTGGGGTTAATGAGAATTGCAACTCAATAGCACTTGTGTCCCTAAGGTTAGTGAAAGGTTAAAGTGCATTTCAAAGTCAGACATCATGTCCACAAGCCTTGCATTTAAATTCAAAGCCCACTCTCCTGGCTTAAATAGGCTTCCAGATGTTACTGTAACACTACTCCAACCAGCTCTAGAAATGATGTCTAATGATGAGGAATACCGTATCTGGAGGGCCACATAAAATGACATGGTGTGCCGTATTCATCCCACCAGCACTGGTGAGAGGAATCCCTGCTCTATCACACGTCCCCCAGTTTCTCAATGTCACTGGCATGTGAAAGGAGGCTGGTAAAGACACACCCTCTCTCTCATTGGCCATCAGATCCAGCAGAACTCTTTTCACGCTTTTGTAGAGTGAATTAGCAGCTATTGAGCATGTCCAAGGGAAAAACTATAGATAAGTTAGCATGCTAAACTAAGCAAGAAAGGCAAGCATCTTTCTACTTGCCTGAAACATTCATGTCTTGGAGCCCTTCTAAGAGGAGTATAATTGGGACAAATGTGCTTGAGTTCACCGCTGGCCCTTCCCAAGCAAGCCCTGCCACCTACCTGTTGAGCCAGTTTAGCGGCTGCAGCTGCCAGCCCAGTCTCGACGGACGCCACCCTCGTCCCCTCACGCACTGGGCGGTCTTGCTTGGGCAACGTTGGGGTCACCCGAGCTGTGAGGAAGGAAATAAATGTGTTCACACAGGAAACCTCTTCTTATGCTTCATGGCAAAGTAGGTAAACACTATATTGTCCTTTTGGTATATAAAACAGTGCCCTCTAGTGGGTGACACAGGAAGGAAGAAACGCATCCAGGGAAAGACCCCAAATCATAGAATCATAGAATCAAAGAGTTGGAAGAGACCTCATGGGCCATCCAGTCCAACCCCCTGCCAAGAAGCAGGAATATTGCATTCAAATCACCCCTGACAGATGGCCATCCAGCCTCTGCTTCAAAGCTTCCAAAGAAGGAGCCTCCACCACTCTCTGGGGCAGAGAGTTCCACTGCTGAACGGCTCTCACAGTCAGGAAATTCTTCCTCATGTTCAGATGGAATCTTCAAGTTCCTTGAAAGGCTAAATTTTCAGATCGGCCAGTGCTTCCCTTTAAGACACCCATCTCTCTGGGAAGCACGGGATCTAGATATTATGGGCATGTGTGAATAGGAGCACATGAGGGGAAAAATAAGGGAAGCAATATGCATTGCGACTGAAGAATTTTTAAATTTATTATTATTTATTTACGGCATTTCTATGCCGCCTTTCTCAGGCCCGAGGTGATTCAAGGTGGCTTACAAATGGCCATAACACTCATAAAACACAATTAAAAACATTTAGTGCACATTATAAAAACCATGTAAAAATAATTTAAAACATATAATCGCCAGTGACTTCCTATTAACTCATTTTCCAAAAGCATTGGAATTCTGCATTTTCCCATTTATACATCAGACTTCATATTTTGGGGTCAAAAGAATGCATTTTGCTTTGATCTGTGGATAAGTTATGGGGAATCTTTTAGGGTACAAGACGATTGGGCATACAAGACAACCCCCAACTTTTCCAGTTAAAATACAGAGTTTGGGATATAATCTTCCAAACCACTCTTCCAAACCACACCAAATAAATTTTTCTAAAGCATGAGATTTGATTTCAATATGGTAATTTTCCTATTACTGTACCTCCTTCCCTGCCTCTCAGATCTCGCACATGCGCACCTGCACCACTTAACTGCAGTCTTCGGGAGCGGGATCTGAGAGGCAGAGGAGGAGGTACGGTAATAGGACACAAGGGTGGGCCAGACAGGTAAAAGAGGTGTTTTTTTCTGGGCCCAGAGCCACTCTATCTCTTTTTTCCATACTCCGGGTGCCTGCAGCTTGCTCCGCCCTTCACTTACACCTTCCTGGTGAGGCGCCCCTTCACCTCACCATCGGGACCGCATTAAGTCCACGAATCCTGATGAATGGATTTTCTTCTACCGTACTTGTACAGCGTTGCCCTTAATGCGTTCATACAGTCACTGCATACGGCAGGGACGTGGCCACTGCCATTTTTGAGCTCCCCCACAATATGCAGCAACCACAGATACTCCAATCTGGATTGGAAGTTTCAGCACCCGCTCTATAAGATGACTCCTGGCGTATAAGACTACTCCCGCATATAAGACAACCCCTAACTTTTGAGATTTTCTTGGGTTAGAAAGTAGTCTTATATGCCAGAATAAACGCAACCTAGTCTTCCAATACATATACAAAGAAAAGCTGGATACTATAACATGACCATGATGTGATCTGCACATTTGGAAAAAATTGATTCTAATGCATTCTGGAACTGCTGGCTATAGGGACACTCAAGAGCTAATGGTAGATACTGAAGACCTGCCCATCGGGATTGCGGCGCAGTTGCCTGAGTGTCAGCTGCATTAAGATCACTCTGACCAAAAGGTCATGAGTTCGAAGCCAGCCCAGGTTGGAGTGGGTTTCCAACCAATTGTGTAGCCGGTTGTCGACCTTTGCAACCCGAAAGACAGTAGCATCTGTCAAGTAGGAAAATTAGGTACCACCTTAAAGTGTGGGGAGGCTAAATTAACTAATTTATGAGACCATAAAAAAAAGACTCCAGCAAGCACTCCAGCAAAAAGCATGCGGGGAATGCGGAAGTACTTCATTATTAACCCCATTAGTTTCAGGTATGATTTTGCAGCCATAGGGCTAGAAGCTTACATTAAAAACAAAATAAACTACCCTATTTCATCACCACCACATATCATATTTGGGCTGTCAAAATTGGTATTAAGGAAGCCCTATAGCTACTAAAAATGCCACAGAGTAATAGCTGCAACCTCACAATAGTCAGGTGTGACTATTATGCGGTGGTGAATGCGACTATTATGCAGTGAAATATGGTAACTCTAGTTCTATACTATAGAATGAATATAGTTTGATACCACTTTAACTACGCTGGCTCAGTGACAAGGCATCATGGGAGTTGTATTGTTGTGGGGCTCCAGCATACTTTAGCAGAGCAGGCTAAATGATTCTACAGCACTGAAACACGGCAATTGAGGTATGTCAACATAGAAGCACCCTAAGAGTCTGAGCAGAATCCCAGGAAATGTGGACAGCTCAAATTACAGCGATAGGTAATTACCCTTGGGACTCCATGGAGCATCATCTGTAGATTTCTTCTTCTTTGGAAGTGACTTCAAGGCTGGGTCATCTTCATCTGATTCCAAGGAAGGGTAAACTGCAGAGAAAGCAACTGAGTTGAGGATGGGTTCCCTAAGAGACTTTTCTCCCCTCACAATTCCTTCAGGAGCAACTGCTTCAGACATTCACAATCAGGATAATAATTGTACAATTATAATTTGGTTTGGTTATTTGGGGAGCTGATTCAGAAAATTACATTGGCTAGACCACACAAGCTCTAGTTTCTGATACAGAACATATGCCATCCAGTAGTCGCCATCTGTTTGCCCACAGAAAACCATATTTAATACACCTCGGCACTATAAGAGGGTTTTGCGAGACTAGTCTCTCTCGTTGCAACAGTATAGTAACGGTGAAGCCGCGGACCATATTTTAGTCCTTGGGGTACACTGGTGATCCATGGACCACAGGCTTGGAACGACTGCTTCTAATCAATGGGTAAAGTCAGGTGGTTGGGGGGGGGGGACATAACCAAGTACACCCAAGGTAAAAATACCAAAACAAACCCCAAAGCTTACTTTATAGCTGTGCTCTGTCATGCTTTGCTGTGGCCTACAGTAAGAATTTTCGAAGTAGAGGTAGATATCTGGACTATTATAAAAGAGCGGTACCTACGTATTCCTTCCACTCTTTTTCTTCCCCTTCTCCTTTCTCTCCTTTCTTCCTTCTCTACCTCTTTCTTTCATTCCTTCTTTTGCTCTTTGGTTTCACCCTTCCTTCTCTCTTTCTTCCCTTCCCTTCCCCTTTCTCTACTTCTTCCTTTGTCTCCTTTCTTCCCTCCCTGTTTCCTTCCTTCTTTCACTTTTTATTTCCTTTTCTCCTTCCTTCTTTCTTTCTTTACCTCTTTACTGCATTTCCCACACTTTTTCTTTTTTTTCTACTTTCTCTTCTTCCTTCCCTCGGTACCTCTTTCCTTCCTTCTCACCTTCTTTCCCTCTTTCCTACTTTCCCCCCCTCCTTCTCTCCTTCCTTCCCCCTTCCCCTCCTTTATTCCTTCCCTTTTTCCTTCCCTCCTTTCTTCTCTCCTTCTTCCTTTCTGTTCTCCCCCAATACCATGGTAGAGTCCCTTCTAACTCTATTCTAACATTATATTATATATGTATTATAGCAATACATATTATATTAATATATAAAGTATTGTAATTATATATACACGCACACACAGCCAATCAGTGATCCAACATCCATTCATATATATATGCATGTGTGCGTGTGTCTACACTGCCATATAATCCAGTCCTAAGTAGATAATCTGGATTTTACATGGCAGTGTGGAAGGTGTGACTTTGGGTGCATCTACACTGCAGATTTAATAAAGGAGGATGTAGCTGGTGAGGGGAGGAGAAAAAGGAAGGAAAGAAAGGGAGGAAGGGAAAGGAGGGAAGGAAAGAAAGGGAGGGAGGAGTGAGGGAGAAAAGGAAAGGAAGGGAGGAAGGAGGGAGGGAAAGGAAGGAAGGAAAGAAAGGGAGGGAGGGAGGGGTGAGAGAGAAAAGGAGAGGAAGGGAGGAAGGAGGGAAGGGAGGGAGGGAAAGAACTACAGGAAGGAGAAGGAGGGGAAGTACAGAAAGGGAGGAAGGGAAGGAAGCAGGGAAGGAGGGGTTGGACTGGATGGCCTTTAGGGCTCCCTTCCAACTGGTTGGCCATCTGTTGTGAGGGCTTTGATGGTGTCTTCCTTTACTGCCAAATGAGGTTGGGCTGGATGGTCTTTGGGGCTCCTTTCCAAGCAATGTCAGTTTCGTGTGTCCCTATTACCCCCATCATGGCACCTTCCTCCTTCCCTTGTGCTGTGGGAGTGTGTGTGGGGGGGCACACACACAGAGAGTCAGAGTGTGTGCACAGAGTGTGGCCCGCCTCCCTTTATTCCTTCCCACCTCTCTCCCCTCCCCCTCCTCAGCCTTTGCCCTTTGATCCCTTGCCTTAGTGTTCGTTAGGGGCCGAGAGATATGCAGGGAGCAGCAATCATTGCCACCGCTGCTGCTTCGAAACCCTAATTCTGTGTCCTCAGCGCGAGGGTGGGGGCAGGGGAGGTGTGTTGTCTTCTTCCTTTTTTTAATTTAAAGGTGGATTTGTGGGGATTTTTTCCAGTGATGGTCACTCCTTGGATTGTGAGGAGTTTTGTTGCCAAATTTGGGGTCATTTGGTCCTGTATTCTTTTCGTTTTTAAGGTACTAACGACAACGACAGCATTTTTATATATATAGATGAGAATATAATTATTCATATCCCCTCAACTTCTGGAAGACCAGGTGGTGGGGGTAGTGGAAAGGTATGATGGGATAAAATGGTGACACTGGTTTTGTGTCTTTTGATAGTGCAAGTAAGGGTTATATGCAATGATTTGGGGATGAGCTGAGAAGCCACCACCACAGGAAGAGGCCAGGAGGAGCATGCAGCTTCTGGGTCACCTTTTGCATACCCACAAACTATAAAACCAAAGCCAACTTGGAATATTAAGTATCATGTATGTATAATGTACTCTTATTGATATAATAATAATAATAATAATAATAATAATAATAATAATAAACTTTTATTTATACCCCGCTACCATCTCCCGCAGGACTCGGTGCGGCTTACAAGAGGCCGAGCCCAAATACATCAGAAACAAAAAACGCAACAACAACAATACAACAATAAATAACTCATAGCAAAGCAAAACATACAATGAATCTTGATTGCAAGACAATAACTCTGAAGCTTTCTTCAAAACATCTTCCCAAACCAGAGGGAAGGAGAGGAGAAGGAGAGGCTTCTCACTCTTATTCTCTCATTTTCTCATTCCTCCTTCTACTCCCTTCAGTTCCTTACTGTACTCGGCATCCTTGAAGCAGGCTCCCAGGCTCTCCTGCTCATCCAGGCTGGCCTCTTCCTCGCTGTCGGTGCTGTGATGGGCCGGGCGCTTGGTGGGCCTCTTCCCTGAGCGTTGAGTGCCAGAGGCACCTGCGGAGCCACGTTCGTGTCCAGCGGCCAACCAAGCCTGCAGGCTGGAGGCACCTGGTGAGGAAGCCTGGAGGTTTGCCATGCACAGCATGCCCTGAATGGCTTCTTGAGTACTGGGAGAGGCAGGGGCATCGCTGCAGGGACAACAAAAAGAGAGAAGTGATTTCTACCTGCATTCAGACACAACATAGAACTTGGTCCTGCTTCCAAAACAGCAGGACTTCCCCCAGGGAGGGCTTACAGAGATGAAGCAAACTTGTGTGCATTTGAATTGCAATATGTCTAGATTATACATTTTGGTTTTACATTTACTAGCCAACTTCTGAAAGTCTTAATCAACTTCTCAGGCTTCCCTATGAACCTAGTCAAACAGAAACACTTTATTTTATGGTTCGTGCAATTAAATCCTTCCTCATCCCCGGATCCCCCTTCCCAAAAATTTTACATTGCCCTATCTCCCAGTGTTTTTAAAATTTTTAAATTCCATCTTGAATTGGCCTCGCCCAGTGAAATTCCTTTGTGTTTTGTGTTTGATTTTATATTGTCTATTATATTGGTTTTTGCGTTTTATGTATTTTACTAGCCGTCCCCTGCCACACGTTGCTGTGGCCCACATGGGGGTTCTGTGTGGGAGGTTTGGCCCAATTCTATCGTTGGTGTGGTTCAGAATGGTCTGTGATTGTAGGTGAACTATAAATCCCAGCAACTCCAACTCCCAAATGTCAAGATTCTATTTTCCCCAAACTCCACCAGTGTTCACATCTGGGCATATTGAGTATTCGTGTAGAGTTTGGTCCAGATCCATCATTGTTTGAGTCCACAGTGCTCTCTGGATGTAGGTGAACTACAACTCCAACACCAAATCCTTCCAGTATTTTCTGTTGGTCATGGAAGAACTGTGTGCCAAGTTTGGTTCAATTCCATAGTTGGTGGGGTTCAGAATGCTCTTTGATTGTAGGTGAACTATCAAATCAAATCAAATCAAAACATTTATTTCTGTCATTGACCAGCACAGGAAATAGTGTCTCATTTCCATACAAACCTGGCATGTTTGGTACATTAAAAATATAAATACAACTACTAAAAACACAATATGGGTGAGGGAGCAGAAGGGGAAACAGGGTAAAAACATACAATGCCCAGATCCATCACCAAACTGTAGATTCAGGGAAGAAGATTACTAGACACACAGTTGACTTTTGGAACTAGTCATTCCCTGGCGGATTTTGTATGCTGCTGCACAGAACTTTGCGACATTGTAGGTTGTAGCTGAATTAGTATCCGCAAGTAGCAGGGAGGTATAAAATTGTCCTGAATGGCCTGGGTGCTTGTCTATCAGAGGTAAGATAAGCCTGGCACGGGTATCCCTGTAGAACGGACACTGAAGGAGCACATGTTCTATTGTTTCCACATGACCCGAGTCACAGGGGCAGAGTCTCTCTGGGAAAGGGATCTTCCGGTAGCGGCCCTCGAGTACAGCTGATGGGAGAGCGTGGCATCGGGCCAGGGTGAAAGCCCTCCGATGAATAGGAACCTCTAAGTATGTTAAATATGCCATAGGGGAGGCAAGGTATCTGCTGTCTTCACTGACAAGGAAGGTTGGAGCCAAGGCCAGATCTAGTTGGCGCTCTGTGTCTGTGATACGTTGTTTAATAAGTGCTTTGGCTTGATTGTAATCCATAGCTAATAGTAGACCTGGAGAAAATCCCAACGAGGAGATTTTGGATGCTACCGCCTGCTTCCATGTGGATTGGAAGTCATCCTCCATGGTTAGTGGGGCAAGGCCAAGGGGTGCATGGGACAGTCTGAGCCAGAGGTTAAGTATGGCCACCCACACCCTGGCCTCCACTCTCATAAAACCCGTCTCTAGTCGCAGGGTGGCATTAGAAACACATTTAGGTACCTGCAAGGCCGATCTCAGAAACTTGGACTGAACCAGCTCTAATGGGGCAAAACTGGGGAAGGGGCCCAGCTGAGCACCATATAAGAGTTGGGCTAATGACTTGGCTTCAAACAGCTTGAGCGCTGCCGGTGTGAAGTGGCCCCCTCTTGTCCTGAGATATTTGAGAATGGCAATTGAGCTCCCCTGCGCGGTGTTGGATACTTGATCCCCATGAGCTCTTCTGCTACCATTAGATTGGAAAACTACACCTAGATATTTGAAGGATGTAACTTGTTCAATTTTATGACCATCTATGCTCCAAGAGTAAGTCCTGGGCCTATTAGCGAAAGCCATGATTTTGGTTTTATTGTAATTGAGTTGGAGCTGATCTGTGTTGCAATGTTGTATTAATGCTCTCAAAGCTCTTTTGAGCCCAATGGGTGTTCTAGAGAGTACAGCAGCATCATCTGCATAAAGCAGGATGGAGATGTGTCTTCCCGCCAGCTTTGGGGTGAACTATAAATCCCAGCAACTACAACTCCCAAATGACAGCATCGATTTTTTGAGTGAAGGACATAAATTGGGTTGTTAGGTGTATCGTGTCCAAATTTGGTGTCAATTCATCCAGTGGTTTTTGAGTTCTGTGAATACCACAAACGAACATTACATTTTTATTTATATAGATTTTCTGGTTTTGTTATGTTTTGTAATATTGTGTTATTGTACTGATGGGCGTACTCGTTGTACTCGTGTAAGCCACCCCGAGTCCCCCTGGGGGAGATGGAGCAGGGTATGAATAAAGTTATTATTACTATTACTATTACTATTATTATTATTATTATTAAACATTCCAAAATGTATCTCTCCCCCTCCAAGCCCCATGGGATTAAAACAACGTTGTTCTTAAAAAAATTGAAAGCAGATTTCTCTGTACAATTGTCCGTTTTGTTTATTTCCCAAGAATACACACTTTTTTGTGTGTACAAAAATATCTAGAATGTTTAATGGGGTCAAAATTGTATGTTGGAAATGTGAGAAATACGAAGATGATGTTTGCCATATATGATGGACATGTGTTAAGGCTAAGAATTATTGGAAGGTGATCCAAACACTGATGCCACCAATTCAAAAGACAAATAATTTTTCCTGAGGGCTTCAAAAAGAGGATTTTTTTTCTTTCCTTTTCAACAGTTCTTGAAAGTTTGAAGTGGTCAAGCAAATTTGGAGACAATATGCAGCTATTTTGCCCACCTCTGTTCTAGGCTTTCATATATAAGCTGTGAACAAAGCAAACACACAATGTGCTCCAAAAACAGTAATCCTGAAATGTTTACCATCTAAATTCTCTAGGCTAGGAGTGAGTGACCCTTATTAATTCAGATATTTATGGCTTGGATTTCCCACTATCCCTACTCTGCATAGGGAGTAGTAATTGTGTTTGTCCAAACCATCTTGGGGTACAAATGTTCCCAACATCTGTTGGAGAATCACAGAAAAAATTAACTGTATTTGAGATCCCAGAAACATTCAACAGGAAAACGTGAGATTTAATATTTGTTTATCATTGTCTATTTACATATAGAAGGTGTTAGCAGAGCACCTTATACAAGAAAGAAAGAGAACCTGTAAAAATCTGCAGGCCTAATCCCTAAAATCATTTTGCTTGAGAGGCAAGTCTGTTGGGGAAAAATAGGCTCTCTGTGTGTAAAGAATGAATGTTCGAATGTATGTAGAAGGGCAGAAGAAACAGGTCTAAAGAAAAACCAACATGGAGTTCTCACAAGGCATGATATGGGACGGCCTTGGCAGTCGAAGCGAGGAGGCAGCAAGGCATAACTGCATGACAATGAACAATAAGGTGTGTGACCAAGCATGTAAGGAGTGTAAGGAACGTGCAGGAGGTACCCCATAAGTCATGTGGCCTGGAATGTGGATGTCCTGAACTTGAAAAGAACAAGGACTTGAAAGGGACAGAACAGCCTGATTATTAAAAAGAAGAAATATGGATTTTGGCCCATAAATGCAGGGGACCCCAAGAACATGCACGTTTCCTGATCCATGGCAACGGAGCGTCCGCACCTCCTCGGGAAAGATGATCATCTTCATCTGGAGCCCCCAGTGGCGCACTGGGTTAAACCCCTGTGCCAGCAGGACTGAAGATCGACAGATCGCAGGTTCGAATCCGGGGAGAGGTGGATGAGCTCCCTCTATCAGCTCTAGCTCCTCATGCGGGGACATGAGAAAAGCCTCCCACAAGGATGATAAAACATCAAATCATCCAGGCGTCCCCTGGGCAACGTCCTTGCAGACGGCCAATTCTCTCACACCAGAAGCGACTTTCAGTTTCTCAGGTCGCTCCTGACACGACACACACACAAAAAAAAAATCTGGAGAAGGCCTGTGTGTGTGTGTATGTAAGAATGTGTGTGTGCACGAGAGCTCTCCCTTGATGTGATTCTGATATGATTCTGTAATGATTGCATTTCAATAAGTGTTACATGAATAGTGTCAAAACCAAATTTGGTCTCTAAAGGGTCTCATTGGTCTAAACTGCCTTACTATTCCTTGAACACTCTGCACAAAAGAACAGGAACCTCTTTGGGTTCATAACATGTGCAACACCATGGGGAATGTCTTCTCTCATCTGTTCCCCCTGTCTTTTCAAAGTTGGTTCTCGGCACCTTTATTCACTGAAGATGTTTTCCACTTTAACAGATGCACAACACAGGGGTTTTCTGCAATAGCACCTGACTCCTGGAAACTGTGCCTCAGAGCAAATAACCAGTGTGTATTTATTTATTTACCATATTTATACACTGCCATTCTCAGTGCAAGGGCGACTCAGGGCGGTTTACAAATGGCACGATTTGTTGCCCACAATAACATAAAAACAATTAAAACATTTAGCATAAATAACATTAAATAAAATAATAAAAAACGATAAAAATATAGATTCTCAGCGCCTCAATTACTAAAATCATTATCCAATCACATTGTCCAGTCGTTCTGAAGATCAGAGTTTGTCTGCTACACTGCATTTGGGAAAGCTTGCTCAAAAAGCCAGGTTTTAACTTTTTTGCTAAATGTTAAGAGGGTGGGGGCCAATCTTAGGGAGGGCGTTCCATAGCCGAGGGGCTAAGAAGGCCCTGTCTTTCACTCCCGCCAACCAAATCTGTGAAGAAGGCAGAACCGAGAGCAGGACCTCCCCAGAAGATCTTAGGGTCCTAGACCATTCATAAGGAGAGATACGTTCGGACAGGTAAGCTGGGCCAGAACCATTTAGGGCTTTATACTTTGAATTCCACTACCTATTCCAGTATATGGGACTCTGGTCAAAGTACATGTGTCAAACTCAAGACCTGAGGGCCAAATCCAGTCCACTGTGTCATTTTATGTTGCCCTCCAGATGCTGGACTACAATTTTTGTCAACCTCATTATGACTAGAACTGATGGGAGTCTGGAAGGCTGTAATTTGTTCTCTTTAGTCAGGAGAGTGGACTTAGAATTTAAATACAAGGCTTGTGGATATGAGGTCGGACATTAAAACGCCCTTTAACCTTTTCCTAACTTCAGAGCCACAAAAACTGTTGGGATGCAACTCCCATTATCCCCAGTCTGCATGGTGGATGATCAAAAGTGATGAGAGCTGTCATTCAATAACAGCTGGTGATCCAAATTGGGTAAAAACTAAAGAGCACTGATCACTATGTGAAAAATTATAGTTGGCCCTCTGTATCCACGGATTTGCCGTTCATGGATTCAATGGCCCTGTGAAAGCAGCTATATGGTAGCTGTGGATGAAAATAAGTTTGATACCCCTGGGTTACAGGATTTAAAAAAAATACTGTGTTTAATTTTTACTGATTATCTCTTAAAATGGCACTTTATATAACAATTCATACAAATGAAACACCAAATAATGATTTAAAAATACAATGAAAACGTTCTTAAATGTCTCAATCCACAGCAGTGACAGTGGTACAAATTAAATGGCTGCTGATTCAGCTCTGGAAAAGAAAAGGCTAGGATTGAAAACTAGCAGCTCACCACATGAGTCTAGGGGCCTAGCAGGGGTTGGTTCTCACCTGAGCTCATCGTAGTCTGCGCCACCCACTTGCCGACTGGCCTTGAGCAGGTCCAGGATCCCCGCAGCACTAGCACTGCCCTCCAACTGGTCGTCGCCGGAGGCATCCTCTTCCTCCTCTTCTGTTGTATAGTCCTCCTAAGAACAGAATGAGTTCAGAGAAGCCTGGCTGGAAATTCATTATCAATACAGGGCACTCTTGTCTGCCCATCAAAGTGGCTGTTTCCTTCCTCTAGGGAGGGATGGACTAGATCAGTGTTTCTCAACCTGGGGGTCGGGACCCCTGAGGGGGTTGCGAGGGGGTGTCAGAGGGGTCACTAAAGACCATCAGAAAACAGTATTTTCTGTATTGTCGAAGGCTTTCATGGCCGGAATCACTGGGTTGTTGTAGGTTTTCTGGGCTATATGGCCATGTTCTAGAGGCATTTTCTCCTGACGTTTCGCCTGCATCTATGGCAAGCATCCTCAGAGGTAGTGAGGTCTGTTGGAAGTAGGAAAATGGGTAAATGGGTTTCCTACTTCCAACAGACCTCATTCCCTCACTACATCTGAGGATGCTTGCCATAGATGCAGGTGAAACGTCAGGAGAAAATGCCTCTAGAACATGGCCATATAGCCCGGAAAACCTACAACAACACAGTATTTTCTGTTGGTCATGGTGATTCCATGTGGGAAGTTTGAGCCAATTCTATTGGTGGAGTTCAGAATGTTCTTTGATTGTAATGAACTATAAATCCCAGCAACTACAACTCCCAAATGTCAAGATCTATTTTCCCCAAACTCCACAGTGTTCACATTTGGGCATATTGAGTATTCGTGCCAAGTTTGGTCCAGATCCATCATTGCATGAGTCTACAGTGCTCTCTGGATATAGGTGAACGACAACTCCCAAACTCAAGGTCAATGCCCACCAAACCCTTCCTGTGTTTTCTGTTGGTCATGGGAGCTCTTTGTGCCAAGTTTGTTTCAAATCCATCGCTGGTGGAGTTCAGGATGCTCTTTGATTATAGGGGAACTATAAATCCCAGCAACTACAACTGCAACATTACAAAATCAATCCTCCCCCAACCCCACTAGCATTCACATTTGGGCGTATTGGATATTTGTGCCCAGTTTGGTCCAGTGAATGAAAATACATCCGGCGTATTTATAACAGTAGTAAAATGATGTATAAAATGACTGTTGTGAAGTAGCAACAAAACCAATGTTATAGTTGGGGGTCACTACAAAATAAAGGACCGTATTAAGGGGTCACAGCATTAGGAAGGTTGACAAACACTGGACTAGATAGATCTTTGGTTTGGGAAGCAAAACAATCACGTTATGTTTTCAAGACTAACTGAAACCCTTGGGTATTTGTTGCTGAACTGGTATTACGCAGTGACATAAGGAAAATCTATATAAATAAAAATGGAATGTTCGTTTGTGGGATTAACAGAACACAAAAACCATTGGACGAATTGACACCAAATTTGGACACAAGACACCTAACAACCCAATGTATGTACTTCACTCAAAAATTGATTTTGGGAGTTGTAGTTGCTGGGATTTATAGTTGACCTATAATCAAAGAACATTCTGAACCCCACCAACGATGGTATTGAACCAATCTTGGGACACAGAACTCCCATGACCAACAGAAAATACTGGAAGGGTTTGGTGGGCATTGACCTTGAGTTTGGGAGTTGTAGCTCATCTACATCCAGAGAGCACTTTGGACTCAAACAATGATGGATCTGGACCAAACTTAGCACGAATCCTCAATTTGCCCAAATGTGAATACTGGTGGAGTTTGGGGAAAATAGACCCTGACATTTGGGAGTTGCAGTTTCTGAGATTTATAGTTCACCTACAATCAAAGAGCATGCTGAACCCCACCAATGACAGAATTGGGGTGAACTTCACACACAGAACCACCATACTGAAGACCATCCAGTCAACTCCCTTCACCAGGGCAAGAAAATGTAATCAAAGTCCTCCTGACAAAGAGCCATCCAGCCATAGATATAGATAGATATGATTCACACACACACACACACATAGTATCATCAATTTGAAAGGGACCCCTAAAGAAGGACAATTATATGTCGCATGTTCCAGAGTAGGCAAACCAGACAATCTCCACATCAACACTGACATAAAAACAACAAGGAATACTGTTTACCCACAAGCATAAAGGAATTACATATATTAGAAACCTTTACTTTATTTTCCAGATCACGAGACTGAGCCACAGCAACGCGTGGCAGGGGACGGCTAGTATTCAGTACTTCAGAGACCATCTCCTTCACTGTAAGCTCAACATGCTTCTAAATTTACACTCAGGCATTTTAAGTCAGGTTCCAGGCTAACCCTCAAGAACATGATTAACACAACATCCCCATGAATCCTACGTACAACAGCACAACTTACTTGAAGGCCCACAATAGACTTACTTCAATGTCAAACTCCACTTCACCAGGTTCTCGTACCCGGTTTGGGTCAGAACAAGGCTTGGCTCGTGGCAGTTTTCGAGGAAATTCTGAAAAAGAAGGAAAAAATGTTCAGTGAGTTTCCAAATAAGCCCCACAGATCTCTGTGAGACTTAAAACCAAATAAAAATGCATAGAATTGAATGGGAAATTTGTAAGCTCTCTGATAGGAAGTAAATGTAGCTCTGCCCACTCATGTCTTACTGGTAATGCATGTCCCAAGTAGGGTCCAAATGGGGAATGGACACCATGCAGCTTCTATCTCAAGGTAATATGAGAAAAAGAAGATACACATTTATTGAAGGTGGCGCCAAGAAAAACTTCATGACAGCAGAAAGGACAGAAAGGCAGTCTTTTGGTTATTCTATAGTCGAGTTCTTGATCCTTAAGGTTATCATCATCATCTATATATATAAAAATGCTCTGTCCCAAATGAGTACCTTAAAAACAAAAAAACAAGACGAAATGACCCAAAATTTGGCAACAAAACTCCTCACAATCCAAGGACTGACCATCACTGAAAAAACCCCACAAAAACACCTTTAAATTCAAAAAAGGAAGAAGACAACACACCTCCCCCTCACGCTGAGGATACAGAATGAGGCTTCCGAAGCAGTTGGTTGCTGCTCCCTGCATGTCTCTCGGCCCCTAACTAACACTAAGGCAAGGGTTCAAAGGGCAAGAGATCCCTTTCCTTCCCTCCCTTCCCTTCCTTTTTCTCCTCCCCTCGCCAGCTTCATCCTCCTTTATTAAATCTACAGTGTAGATGCACCTAAAGTCACCCCTTTCACACTGCCATGTAAAATCCAGATTATCTACTTAGGACTGGATTATATGGCAGTGTAGACACATGCGCACACACACCTGCGCGTGCACACACACACACACACACACACACACACACACACACACATATATATGGAAGGATGTTGGATCACTGGATGGTGTGTGTGTGTGTGTATGTGTGTGTGTGTACGTAATTACAATACTTTATATATTACTATTATATATATTGCTATATAAGCTATATAAATAAAAATGTAATGTTCGTTTGTGGGATTAACAGAACTCAAAAACCACTGGGGGAATTGACACCAAATTTGGACACAAGACACCTAACAACCCAATGTATGTCCTTCACTCAAAAAACTGATTTTGTCATTTGGGAGTTGTAGTTGCTGGGATTTAACTTGGCACACAGTTCTCCCATGAGCAACAGAAAATACTGGAAGGGTTTGGTGGGCAGTGTCCTTTGGTTTTGGAGTTGTAGTTCACCTACATCCAGAGAGCACTGTGGACTCAAACAATGATGGATCTGGACCAAACTCTACAAGAATATCCAATATGCCCAAATGTGAACACTGGTGGAGTTTGGGGAAAATATAATCTTGACATTTGGGACTTGCTGGGATTTATAGTTCACCTACAATCACAGAGCATTCTGAACCCCACCAGCAACAGAATGGTGCCAAACCTCCCACATAGAACCCCCATGTGGGCCACAGCAACGCGTGGCAAGGGATGGCTAGTACATATATATTATTTAATATATGTTATTGTTATATACACTACTATATAATGTTACTACTATATATTACTATATTAAATAGACTCATAGAATAGAGGTATTGAGGGAGAACAGACAGGAAGGAAGGAGAGAAGAAAGGAGGGAGGGAAAAAGGAAGGAATGAAGGAGGGAAAGAAGGAAGGAAAGACAAGGAGGGAGGATAAGAAGGAAGGAGGGAAGGAAAGAGGGGAGGAAGGAGAGAAGGAAGGAAAGAAAGAGGTACCAAAGGAAGGAAGAAGAAAAAGTAGAAAGGAAAAGGAAGGGAAAGGAAAGGCAGGAAAGAGGTAAAGAAGGAAGGAAGAAGAAAGGGAAATAAAAAGTGAAAGAAGGAAGGAAACAGGGAGGGAAGAAAGGAGACAAAGGAAGAAGTAGAGAAAGGGGGAGGGAAGGAAGGAAAGAGAGAAGGAAGGATGAAACCAAAGAGTGAAAGAAGGAATGAAAGAAAGAGGTAGAGAAGGAAGAAAGGAGACAAAGGGGAAGGGGAAGAAAAAGGGGGGGGGGAGGAATAGGAAGGTACCTCTTTTTCATAATAGTCCAGATATCTACCTCTATTTCGATAATTTTTACTATAGGCCATAGCAACGCGTGGCAGGGCACAGCTAGTATATCGGTAAAAAAGATACATATATTTCAGACTGAGAAGATGCAGAATAAGATTGGGACTTCAGAGTCCTGTGTGGAATTTTTCCCATGCCCAGTAAAAACAGAGCAAATGAGGAGAAGAAATTATGCAAAAACATTTCATTTGTACAAGCAGTACAGGTTGCCATGGTTGCTTTACTTTCCCATTTATTTTGTTCCTCTACTTCAGTCCCAAGTACATTGTGTACCTAAGGGCTGCCCACCAATGTTTTTGTTTAAAGAGGTAGTTTTCAAGAAGGGAAGAAACTGTTCTTAATGATACACTGAGGGATACAAACCCAAGCCAGAAAATGAAGGAAGATGAAAAAAGAGATATGGCTTAACATGCAAAGGGTGGCCTTGACTCAAGTCAGAAATAGCTACTGCCTCCAACTGTGCAGCATTCAGCTTTAAGGTCTCAAAGGCAGAAGGAGAAATCACATACTGGCCAATCTCTTGTGCAGGACTAAGTTTCTCCTTTCGCGCCGAGGTGTCTCATCAATCTGCAAATCCTCCTCAGAGTCAATATCGACGCCCTCCGCATCAGAGGGGCTAGGTGGGGCTCGTGCGTGCACTCCTTTGCGGCTGCGGGCGCGCTCCGAGGCCTTGATTTTCCTGCCAAGAGGGGGGGAAAACAAAGTAACTCTCAATCTGCCTCACTAATCCCTTGCAGATTGTCATGATGGCAAAATGGGGCAAAAGCCAGGAGAAAAACCACCAATTTCTGTGTGTTTCTGTGATAAAGGGTAGGATATGATCAAGGGTCTGGAGAACAAGCCCTATGAGGAGCGGCTTAAAGAGCTGGGCATGTTTGGCCTGAAGAAGAGAAGGCTGAGAGGAGACATAGTAAAGGTAAAGGTTTTCCCCTAACATTAAGTCCAGTCATGTCCGACTCTGGGGTGTGGTGCTCATCTCCATTTCTAAGCCGAAGAGCCGGCGTTGTCCATAGACACCTCCAAGATCATGTGGCCAGCATGACTGCATGGAGTGACGTTACCTTCCCACCAGAGCAGTACCTATTGATCTACTCACATTTGCATGTTTTCGAACTGCTAGGTTGGCAGAAGCTAGGGCTAACAGCGGGTGCTCACGCTGCTCCCTGGATTTGAACCTGAGACCTTTTGGTCAACAAGTTCAGCAGCTCAGTGCTTTAACCCACTGTGCCACTGGGGGAATGACATGACATGATAGCCATGTATAAATATGTGAGAGGAAGTCATAGGAAGGAGGGAGTGAACTTGTTTTCTGCTGCCCTGCAGACTAGGACGAAGAGCAAGAAAGGAGATTCCATCTGAACAGTGGAGAAATTACATTGCTTAGCCGGTATTGCACCACCTGACATCCGCCGAGAAGTAGCAGCCAATAGTGAAAGGACCAAGGCAGAGACATCTCCAGCTCATCCCCTGTTTGGGTATCAGCCAGCACATCAACAACTTAAATCTAGAAATAGTTTTCTAAGATCTACAGAGACACCTGCTGGAACACCTCAGCAAGCGAGAGTCCAAAAGTGGCAGGCTCAAACCCAGAACCTCAACCAATGGCTGATACCAAATGAGAGACTCCCCCCTGGGCACACAGAGGACTGGGCGACTTGGAAGGCGCTGAGCAGACTGCGCTCTGGCACCGCAAGATGCAGAGCCAACCTTCAGAAATGGGGCCACAAAGTGGAATCCTCGACATGCGAGTGTGGAGAAGAGCAAACCACTGACCACTTGCTGCAATGCAACCTGAGCCCTGCTACATGCACAATGGAGGACCTTGCAGCAACACCAGAAGCACTCCAAGTGGCCAGATACTGGTCAAAGGACATTTAATCAACTACCAAACTCGCAAATTTTGTATTTTGTTTGCTTTGTTCTGTTAGAAATGTAATATAATCGACTGGCTGCCCTGACACGATAAATAAAAAAATCTGAACATGAGGAAGAACTTCCTGACTGTGAGAGCTGTTCAGCAGTGGAACTCTCTGCCCTGAAGTGTGGTGGGGGCTCCTTCTTTGGAGGCTTTGAAGCAGAGGCTGGATGGCCATCTGTTAGGGGTGCTTTGAATGCAATTTTCCTGCTTCTTGGCAGGGGGTTGGACTGGATGGTCCACGAGGTCTCTTCCAACTCTATGATTCTATATAACCTGAAGTGCTGAGTGCCTGCAAGTCGTTTCCAACTTATAGTGACACCAAAGAGAAGATATCACAGAGTTTTTGGGGCTGAGAAAGTGTGACTTTCTAAGGTGAGCTGGGAATTCACAATTGTAGCCCAATGCTCAAAGCAAACCACCCCACTGGTACTAAAATAAACTGTACATCAAATGGTTCTTGCGTGGTGTATGAACTGGCCCTGGGAAACATGTTTAGCCCTATCTGTTGGCCTGTTTCTTAAGCATGGGATTTTTAAAGAGGATTTGTACCCTGCTCTTCAGTTACCAAGGCACTCAGAGAAGCTGACAAAGTGTTGATTTGTCCTCAGAATTACAATGTACATACTTAAAAAAAAACAAGTAGAACCTGAAGGGCCAGGCTATTGACTGCTACAGCCCAAGTGCTCTTGAGCCCACTCTTCCCTACCATCGCATGAATGTTATTTGCCAACATGTCTGCCTTTGACCCAGAAAGCATGAGTGCCCAGGAATAATAATAAATTATTTATATATATACCACTCTATTAATTAGTCTTAATCAGTTTCTTTTAAATTTTTTAAATTTTACATGTAGCCCACCCAATGTCCCTGTACATGGCCCGCCCATTGTTATTGTTACTGTGATTGTGTTTATTAGAATGTTATTTTATGACTGCTTTTTTTTCCTCTTGTGTAATTTTGGATGTTGTTGTTATTTGTCGTTTATGCTATGATTTTATTGCTGTAATATGTTGTCCCCATGTAAGCCGCTCCGAGTCCCCACTGGGGAGATGGTGGCGGGGTATAAATAAAGATTATTATTATTATTATTGTAGTTTGAAACCATTGTTACGCGCCCTAGTCTCGAGGGCAGCAGGAAACAAGCTTACTCCCTATTCCCTGTGACTTCCTCTCACATATTTATACATAGCTATCATGTCTCCTCTCAGCCTTCTCTTCTTCATACTAAACATGCCCAGCTCCTTAAGCCGCTCCTCATAGGACTTGTTCTCCAGACCCTTGAATATTTAAGTCGCCCAGGAAGACGGATTTGGGGCCTGTGACATGCCCTCTGGCTTTCACTTCCCCATACATAACATAGTGGCATGGAGGAGTGTGGGGAGCAATCCCTATTAGAGCATCACACTATAAACAAACCTGGTGCCCCGGCCATTGGCCACCACCAGGGTCACCTCTTCTTCCATCAGGTCAGGTTCCGCATCTGTATCTTCCATGCTGGAACTTGGCAAGTCAAGCTAGAAAGGAAAAACAAGCATGCATTTGCAATTATGGGAGGTCGGAGGGAGGTGACTACAGATTTCAAGAAACAAGCAAGGAAAGTCAAGGCAACAAGAGAGAGCTGTCCTCATATGGCCCTGCTTCCCTCCCTGTCTTAAAATTCACCCTAAGGCAGTGTTTCTCAACCTGGGGGTCGGGACCCCTGGAAGGGTCGCCAGGGGGTATCAGAGGGGTTACCAAAGACCATCAGAAAACACAGTATTTTATTGGGTTGTTGTAGGTTTTTCCGGGCTATATGGCCATGTTCTGGAGGCATTTTCTCCTGACGTTTCACCTGCATCTATGGCAAGCATCCTCACAGGTAGTGAGGTCTAAGGATGCTTGCCATAGATGCAGGCGAAACGTCAGGAGTAAATGCCTCCAGAACATGGCCATATAGCCCGGAAAAACCTACAACAACCCAGTGATTCCGGCCATGAAAGCCTTCAACAGTATTTTATGTTGGTCATAGGGATTCTGTGTGGGAAATTTGGCCCAATTTTATCATTGATGGGGTTCAGAATGCTCTTTGTCGATGAACTATAAATCCCAGCAACTACAACTCCCAAATGTCAAGACCTATTTCCCCCAAACTCCACCAGTGTACGCATTTAGAATACTGAGTATTCGTGCCAAGTTTGGTCCAGATCCACCATTGTCCACAGTACTCTCTGGATGTAGGTGAACTACAACTCCCAAACTCAAGGTCAATGCCTACCAAACCCTTCCAGCATTTTCTGTTAGCTGTGGGAGTTCTGAGTGCCAAGTTTGGTTCAATTCGATCGTTGGTGGAGTTTAGAATGCTCTTTGATTGTCGGTATACTATAAATCCCAACAACTACAATTCTCAAATGACAAAATCAATTCCCGCCCCCAACCCTACCAGTTTTCAAATTTGGAAGTATTGGGTATTTGTGCCAAATTTGGTCCACTGAATGAGAATACATCCTGCATATTGGATATTTGCATTATGATTCACAACAGGAGCAAAATTACAGTTATGAAGTAGCAAAATAATTTATTTATTTATTTATTTACTTCATTTGTATACCGCTCTCGCTCAGCCCGTAGGCGACTCAGAGCGGTTTACAACCAGCAGTATACAAGTGCACAACATTAGCATATAAGACGATAAAACAGTAGCCATAGGCCTTACATCAATATAACAATACATCAAAACATCAATATAATATCAATACATCCATATAACTAATCCATTACGTCTCATCAGAGAATAATGTTATGGTTCAGAAAATAATGTTATGGTTGGGGGGTCACCACAACATGAGGAACTGTATTAAGGGGTCGCGGCATTAGGAAGGTTGAGAAACACTGTCCTAAGGGAAAGCCAGCTATGTATCCCACTCCAAGTCGGCACTGCAGTTCTACCTCTATCACCACAATGGCAGCTCACCTCTTCCTGTGCAGGGCTGTCCAGGCCTTTCAGGGCCTGCCGCTTGTATTTGCGTAGCAACTCCAGGTCCAGGGCTTTGACTGAGGCAACCTCTTTCCTGCTCGCTTTCTTGCTCAGCTCCTTGGGGCTCTGGTCTCCCTTTTTGGCAGCTGTACCAGGTTGGGTGCCCCTCTGCAGGCCAAATGGACTGCCCGTCTTCCCAATGTTCTGCTGGAATATATCCTGAAAGAGCATGAGTCCCAACACTCCAAGGAAACATCTTGCTCTCACACAAACATACTGTATTTGAACTTCATGCCCCAAACACTGAGTACGGTGCTTTGTTTGCTCTCCCCACATATATCCAGTAATTTGCAGAATGAAAGGAAGGAAGATGTTTGCCATGAGACAGTGCTTACGCTTCCTACCTCACAAGTAAGGACATGTATGTTAATGTTTTAAAATGTATTTATGTTTTGTGGCATTGAATTTTGCCTTGTAAACCGCCTCGAGTTGCCTGGGAGCTGAGAGGGGAGGTATACAAATATAGTAAGTAAATAAATAAATATAAATAAATGCTTCAAAAAAGGCAAAAACTGGGAAGCATTCCACAGAATCTGGAGTCTTTATGCCAAGTCAGCATATGAAAGTCAGTCCCACTGATTACTGAAAATGGCTCTCCAAGAGAAATGAGAGCATCCCATCTCCATACGTAATACCCAAGTTTTAAATAACAGATGGATCAATTGTGACCCTGGGACAACACAGTTCACCAAGGATGCTTGTATATCCTTCACGCCCTGCTTTTAGTCAAAACAAAAGACTATATGAGTAAATTGCCTCTCCTGGAGCAGCAAGTCACCATTTATTTATTACTAGCTGTCCCCTGCCACGCGTTGCTGTGGCCCAGTCTGTTGATCTCGAAAATAAAGTAATGAGAAAGTGTTGGTTTCTAATATTTGTAATTTCTTTATGCTCGTGGGTAAACAGTACTTCTTGTGGTTTCTTTGCCAGTGTTGATGTAGTGATTTTCTGGTTTGCCTACTCTGGAACATGCGACATATTATTGTCCTTCTTTAGGGGTCCCTTTCAAATCTATGATATTATATCTGTCATATGTGTGTGTGTGTGTGTGAATCATATCTATCTATCTATATCTGGATGGCTCTTTGTCAGGAGGGCTTTGATTATGTTCTTTTGCTCTGGCGAAGGGAGTTGGACTGGATGGCCTAAGGATGCATTTCTTAAACCTGGGGGGTTGGGACCCCTAGAGGGGGGGTCGTGAGGGGTGTCAGAAGGGTTGCCAAAGACCACCAGAAAACAGTATTTTCTGTTGGTCATGGGGGTTCTTTTGGGGAGGTTTGGCCCAATTCTATCGTTGGTGGGGTTCAGAATGCTCTTTGATTGTAGGTGAACTATAAATCCAAGTAACTACAACTTCCTAATGTCAAGGTCTATTTTCCCCAAACACCATCTGTGTTCACATCTGGGCATATGGAGTATTTGTGCCAAGTTTGGTCCATATCCATCATTGTTTGAGTCCACAGTGCTCTTCGGATGTAGGTGGACTACCAATCTCAAGGTCAATGCCCACCAAACCCTTCCAGAATTTCCTGTTGATTGTGGGAGTCCTATGTGCCAAGTTTGGTTCAATTCCATCATTGGTGGGGCTCAGAATGCAATTTGATTGTAGGCGAACTATAAATCCCAGCAACTACAACTCCCAGATGACAAAATCAATTTTTCGAGTGATGGTCACTCCTTGGGCTAGTAGGTGTCTTGTGGCCAAATTTGGCGGCAATTCGCCCAGTGGTTTTTGCGTTATGTTAATCCCACAAACGAACGTTACATTTTTATTTATATAGATTTTTGAATTTACATTCATCTTTTCTGCCATTAGGGGGTCTATATGGCTTATAATGTAGGTTAAAACAAACTAGAACTGAAACAATGGGTAATACAGAAGTTAAATGGCTGGGATCCATAGTTTAAGAAGCAGTTGTCTAAAAGATATTTTACAATAATAGGCAAAAGAGCTTCTTGTAACATTTTTTTTTAAAAAAAACCATCAGTTTTTCAAAACCAGAAAAGTACTTCCAATCCTTCTGTGGCTTCCTTTTAACCAGGGGTCCTCAAACTAAGGCCCAAGGGCCGGATACGGCCCTCCAAGGTCATTTACCTGGCCCTCACTCAGGGTCAACCTAAGTCTGAAACTACTTGAAAGCACACAACAACAACAACAATCCTATCTCATCAGTCAAAAGCAGACACACACTTCCCATTGAAATACTAACAAGTTTATATTTGTTAAAAATTTCTTCATTTTAATTATTTTATTGTTTTTAAGTGTTTTTTGCACTACAGATATTATTATTATTATTATTATTATTATTATTATTATTATTATTATTATTATTATTAGATATGTGCAGTGTGCATAGGAATTCATTCATGCTTTTTTTTCAAATTATAATCCGGCCCTCCAACAGTTTGAGGGACTATGACCTGGCCTTCTATTTAAATAGTTTGAGGACCCCTGCTTTAAACTCTTTTGGCACTTTTATTTATGTCACCATAGGATCCTGGGGGAGAAAATGGGCCCTTGTACCCAACAAAATTGCTCATCTATTTCAAACGGGAATGCCATGACTTCACTTTCAACTTTTGTAACTGTGTCCATAAAAGGCAAACATTAAAGCAGCCTTGTACATAAATTGCTAGCCTGGTTTAAAAAATGGACTAACCTCTTATCAGTTTTTACTGACTTGCCTGGTGGTATTAATTATTGCCTTTGGAAACCAAGCGAACAGCTAAATACAGGGCTGAGCAAGGACATTTCTCCTTCAGTCGAAATACAACAATCAGAAGTTGTCTGGTGTCCCCGGGACAGAGAGGCCAAGCTTGAAAGCCTTCTCTGTATGGATCTGGGGTGCCAGTATATTTATTCTACGGTGCGGTATAAACAGCCAGGCTACAATCTCTGCCATGGCAGCTCTGAACACACCGAGACTCAAACCAGTAACCCTTAAAATTAATGTACAAATTACCAACATGAGAAGCCAGTGTTACATTTCAGCTACCAGAACAAATTTGAAGTTGGAACCTCTCAGCTCACATTCTATGTCATGACCACTATGTTCAACTATCAATGCTATCTGGGCCTGATCTGTGAGGTAATACGCCCAACTGCTATTTTAAGGGACAGGCTGGGCCTCAAAAATCAAGGCTACATTCAGTCAATGATTTACTTATTTATTTATTAATTTACTGTATTTGTATACCGCCTTTCTCAGCCAATCGGCGACTCAAGGCGGTTTCCAACAAATCAGTATACATAAAACATAATATAGATAAAAACATTAAACAGTATAAGACATCACAAAAGCAGTAAAAACAACATCATCAGCATCTCATTATTCTCAAGCATTGTCCAGTTCACTGTCAGATCATTCGATTTCCTATATTAGCTACTCTGTATTTGTAAACGCTTGCTTGAACAGCCACATTTTAACTTGCCTCCGAAATGTCAAGAGGGAGGGAGCAGATCTGATCTCCCTAGGAAGGGTGTTCCATAGCCGAGGGGCCACCACTGAGAAGGCCCTGTCTCTCGGCCCCGCCAAACATGCTTGTGACAAAGGTGGGACCGAGAGCAGATGATCTTAAAGTCCTCAGTGGTTCGTAAGGGGAGATACGTTCAGACAGGTAAGTTGGGCCATAATCATACCAACACACTGTTCTGGAAGGCAAACTGGGACCAGCAAAACTGCCTGTAAAAGGCTGCAGCTCTTGCACCTGAAGTTTCAAGCAGTATACCCAACCCACAATCTGACCCACTCAGGAGGGGGCAAGCCAGTTTTAAAACACTAAAATAAATTACAGGGAGTCATCTCCCTTTGTGATGTTCATCCAGATGTTCATCAGAAGGAAGGGTGTCAAGATTCCTAAGCAGAGAATCAGCATACCTTCAAGATGCCCCAAAGTGGAAATTTATCTCTCTGGCACCAGAATCAAACAGCTCTAGTTATGTCCTCTAAGCCCCATCCAGTGCTGAACACGTAGGCAATTATTCTCTTTACTTGCAGCACCAAATGTTAAAAAGCCTTTATTTCCTGATTTCCCCAACTTGCGGAAATTTGTTGCGTAAGTACACTAATCAAAGTAGAAGGTTGCTATGAGACAAGAAGGGTTGGTACTGTCCTGCTATACTCACTTCTACAAGTCTGATTTCCTTAGCCAGATCCTTGATTAGCTGTGCTGGGCGGACAGTCCCAGGGATTTCTTCCTCATGGTCAGCCAGGGCCTGAAAGGAATGACAACTGATGATCACAAAGTCCAGCATTCTGATTAATGATAAGACATCATGGAAGCCAAAACTAAAGTTACAACAACATCTGTTAAAGAACTCCAGTATGCTGATGATAATGTTGTCTGTGCGCATTCAGAAGAAGACCTACAAGCCATTCTAAACACCTTCGCAGAAGCATACGAGAAGCTCGGCCTGTCATTGAACACAGAGAAAACCAAAGTGCTCTTCCAACAGTGACCAGCCAATCCCTCTCCAATGCCAGAAATACAGCTTAATGGTGTAACATTAGAAAATGTTGACCATTTCCGCTACCTTGGAAGCCACCTCTCCACAAAAGTCAACATTGATACTGAAATACAACACCGCTTGAGCTCTGCGAGTGCAGCTTTTTTCCGAATGAAGCAGAGAGTGTTTGAGGAGCGGGACATCCATAGGGATACCAAGATGCTTGCTTATAAAGCTACTGTCCTCCCAACCCTGCTATATGCCTGCGAGACGTGGACTGTCTACAGACGTCACATGCAACTCCTGGAATGATTCCATCAGCGCTGCCTCTGAAAAATCCTGCAAATCTCTTGGGAAGACAAGTGGACAAATGTCAGCATGCTGGAAAAAGAAAAGACCACCACATTGAAGCGATGGTCCTCCGCTATCAACTCCGCTGGGCCGGCCACATTGTCCAAATGCTTGACCAACGTCTCCCAAAGCAGTTGCTCTACTCCGAACTCAAGAACGGAAAACTGAATGTCGGAGGACAGGAAAAGAGATTTAAAGATGGGCTCAAAGCCAAAAGGCCATGAGTTTGAAGCCAGCCCGGGTTGGAGTGGGTTTCCAACCAATTGTGTAGCTTGTTGTCGACCTTTGCAACCCGAAAGACAGTTGCATCTGTCAAGTAGGAAAATTAGGTACCACCTTGTGTGGGGAGGCTAAATTAACTAATTTATGAGGCCATAAAAAAAACTCCAGCAAAAAGCACTCCAGCAAAGCATGCGGGGAATGCGGAAGTACTTCATCAGTGTCGCAGATGGACGATGAAAGCGACAGCTACCCTGGCGGCCATAAAAAGTTAAATAGCCTCTGTGTATGTCTGTATATGTTGTATGTCAATTGGCATTGAATGTTTGCCATATATGTGTACACTGTAATCCCCGAGTCCCCTGCGGGGTGAGAAGGACGGAATATAAAAGCTGTAAATAAATAAATAAATAAATAAATAAATAAATTCTTAAAAACACTGGCATAGACACTGAGAACTGGGAAGCCCTGGCCCTTGAGCGAGCTAGCTGGAGGTCAGCTGTGACCAGCAATGCTGTAGAATTTGAAGAGGCACAAAAGGAGGCCAAAAGAGAGAAACGTGCCAAGAGGAAGGCGTGTCAAGCCAACCCCAACCAGGACTGCCTTCCACCTGGAAACCAATGCCCTTGATGCGGGAGAACATGCAGATCAAGAACAGATCTCCACAGTCACCTACAGACCCACCGCCAGTACACTGATCTTGGAAGACTATCCTATTCGGACAACGAGGGATCGCCTAAGTAAGTAGTAGTAGTATCATGGAAGCTATCACCTGCTAACCTCAAAGAGACCAAAAGCTCTTCACTCCTAAGGTTAGAAACCCAACTCAAATAATTTCAGACAAATAGATCCTTCCACCAACACTTTACCTCTTTTTTAGTCCATGAGCGGAAGGCTGTGTTCAGGGCCTTGGCCCCATAAACCAAATAAGCAGCTGGGTGTCTGCGATTTTCTCGAAGACCTGGCAAGGATGAGACAGGGAGCAGGGGTGACAACCACTCTCATATTAGATAACAGAAGATAAATATGAATGCTGGACGGGGTCGGGGATTTGAACAAAGGACTCGAGGCCTACCTCGGAAGATATCCAGGAGATGCTTGCCAACATACCAACAGATTGTTTCAAAGTTGGGAAATTTGAAGAGATCGGCTGTGCTGAGGCGTTTTTCAATCTCATAGGCCCTAGTGAAAAGGGGGAAAAAGAAAAACTGGTGATACAACCTTGTGCCAAAAGAATGTAATTTTTATGCCTAAAAGTAAATAAATAAAGCCAAACACTGCATCTCCAAAAAGAATTCTGTAAATGAAACATATACAGTATTTTGTGTGTGGGATTTTTTTTTGGGGGGGGGGGGGGGGGGGGGGGTGAGAGTTTAAAGTAATTTGAATTGTATTTATTATATCTTGCTTCGATTTTGTCTTTATATCCACACAGTACTATTTAATTGTTTCTAATTGTTCTATTTATTTTAATTTTTTGTCGTGTCTGGAGTGACTTGAGAAACTGCAAGTCGCTTCTGGTGTGAGAGAATTGGCCGTCTGCAAGGATGTTGCCCAGGGGACGCCCGGATGTTTTGATGTTTTTATCATCCTTGTGGGAGTCTTCTCTTAAAAACACTGGCATAGACACTGAGAACCCATTGTCCTAATTCCAACAGACCTCACTACCTCTGAGGATGCTTGCCATAGATGCAGGCGAAACGTCAGGAAAAATGCCTCTAGAACATGGCCCTATAGCCCGAAAAAACCCACAAGAACTTAGTCTTCTGTTATGTCCCCGTATGAAGAGCAGGAGCTGATAGAGGGAGCTCATCCGCCTCTCCCCGGATTCGAACCTGAGACCTGTTGGTCTTCAGTCCTGCCGGCACAAGACTGATTTGTTCTATTTACTTTGTTTTAAACTTTGATCAGATTGTGTGGTTATTATTTATTTATTTCTATCCTGCTTTTCTCCCTGCAAGGGGACTCAAAGCAGCTTACAATCTACAAAACAGACAATTACAGTCAAAAAATATAACATAAATCCCCATGTAACAATTAACAAATTACAACATTAAAACATTTTTAAAAATCCCATTCCCCATAACAAAAAAATATAAAACTGACATTGAAACATATTAAACAAATGGTTGTTAGCCGCCTTGAGATCCTATGAGAAGAATGGCTAGGTATAAATAAAATTAATAAATAATAAAAATGAATAATAATAATAATAATAATAATAATAATAATAATAATAAATAAACCTTGATTTATACCCCGCTACCATCTCCCGCAGGACTCTGTGCGGCTTACAAGAGGCCGAGCCCAAATACATCAATAAAACAACAACGACAACAATACAACAATAAATAAACTCATAAACAAAGCAAAACAATAACAATAATATCAAATATTTAATATCATTCTCTGTCCTAGCTAAAAATATTTTGAGATTGAATCTGGGACTTTCTGTACGCAAAGCAAGTGCTCTACTACTGGTCTTCCTCTCCTACTGAAAAAATCTCGAGAGGCTCCACCACAAACTCTGCCAGACTCACCTGAGCTGCATCTCAATGTTCAGACTGTGGAGAAAATTGCCCCCAAAGGCTAGGCAGTCGACAGGGGTCAGTACAGCATGGATCCAACCTGAAAAAGCAAGCGGGGGGGGGGGGGGGGGAGTATCAGGTGGACTGCAGACTGGCTTCCCATAACCAGGCCCTGCTCACAGGAAGAGGAAAGATGGTCATTCCTGGTACAAAGGACAAGACAAAAAACTACAAAGAAAAATTCCTGCTATTCTGGATACTCCCAAGAGCTCACAGCCAGCTCCAGATATTTTTCTACCTGAGACAAATGATAACTGCCCCCTTCCATTTTGTGTGCAACAGTAAAGTAACTGGATTGGAATCTGAATTTTATTTCAAATTTGTTGCATTGCCAATGTCCTGAACTATGCCTTAGGACCGCGTTCTACTTGAAAGGATGCAACTCAAGAGGGAGTGACTGCTGCCACCGCCACCCCATGTGAACCTGCTGTCTGAAATTACAGTCTCCTTTTGTCTAATGCTCATCCATAACTTCCAGAAATAAGCAGACCTTCTTTACACTGTATGGAAGCCTATTTTGTCAATATGACAGCTTCAGTAAGAGGAAAAGTTGCCCCTGAGAATTAGGAAAATAAAGTATTAATGGTGGCAAAGACACCTGCAGCAAAGAGTATTTAACTCAGCTGCTAAGGGGTGATACCTGTGGGTATGAAGAGAGTCTGGCCCTGACGAACAGGACAGCGATAGCATCTGTCCACCTGATCCCCAAAGAACATTTCGTTTTGATTGGATGAGCTGCTCCACGTCTCAAAGAGCGTCAAGTTGGCAGTAGTGGGGCGCACCAGGTAGAAGATTTTTTCTCCCTGTAACAAAGCAACAATAGTTGTTATTGTGTTTTGGTTTTATTTTATTGTAATATGCTGTTGGGCTTGACCTCATGTAATAATAATAAATAATAATAATAATAATAATAATAATAATAATAATAATCCTTTATTTATACCCCGCTAACATCTCCCGAAGGACTCGGTGCGGCTTACAAGAGGCCGTGGCCAAATACATCAGCAAAACAACAACATAACAAATACAACAATAAATAAACTCATAAAACAAAGCAACGAACATTAATTTATTATTTATTTATTTATTTTATTTCAATTACTTCTACCCCGCCCTTCTCACCCCGAGGGGGGACTCAGGGCGGCTTACAAAGAAGGCACAATTAGATGCCTATGTCAAATATACATGCATACAAAACAGCAATTAAACCATTAACAGGTTAAAATCATCAGTACATAACACAATCAGTAAACTAATCTCATGCTCAGTGTTCAGAGTTCCATAAATCCATTCCGTTCAATCAATTCCTGTCCATCATCAAGGTCCTTCCTCTAGCTGCCAGAACGTCCAAATGCCTGGTCCCACATCCAAGTTTTCAATTTTTTTCTAAATGACAAGAGGGAAGTCGCCGATCTAATCTCCCCGGGGAGTGAATTCCACAGGTGAGGGGCCACCACCGAGAAGGCCCTGCTCCTCGTCCCCGCCAGCCTCACTTGTGATAGAGGCAGGGTCGAGAGCAGGGCCTCCCTAGAAGATCTTAAACTCCGAGGTTTAAGATAGCAATAAACATTAAACAATAACACGATAGCAATAAATATTAAACAATAACACCACGACGCAAATCGTGGAGAGCATGGGTGAGCTCCCTCTGTCAGCTCTAGCTCCCATGCAGTGACATGAGAAAAGCCTCCCACAAGGGTTGTAAAACATCAGAACATCCAGGTGTCCCCATGGCAATATTCTTGCAGAAAGCCAATTCATTCACACCAGAAACAACTTGCAGTTTCTCAAGTCGCTCCTGACACAGAAAAAAACCAGTAAATGTTTGATTTTTATACTTATTTTATATACCTATATATCGTATCGTGTAAAAAAATTTTGGACTGAAAGGGGTCTTGAGTGGAAAAGTTTAAGAAGCCCTGGGCTATAGCACTTTGGAATATTTAATAGTTTCATAGTTGAAACCACTGCTTCTCAAGCTATCTGACGTGGAACTGTCAATTCAATTTTTCCAATGGGACCATTACTATATTGGTGCCCACTGACTACTATAGTCATTATTTCCTAGAAACTTTCCAGGGATTGGAAGCTCAGGACCACTATTTTGAATAGCATTAGCTTAGACAGCATCCAGAAAACTCTAGTCAGCATAGCCATACATGCAGGAAAGTCTTTTAAAAGAACACACGAGGAAGGGAAGAGCATTTCAACATTCACCTCTATTTCCTTATTTTCCCACTTTTCTTCAAAATACTATGTTCCCCCACTTTACTTGGAATGTATATATGTATGTATATATACATTTTTTCTTTTCTCTTTATCTATATATATAAAAATGTTCTGTGCATAATGAGTACCTTAAAAACAAAAGAACCAATGATCAAAATCACACCAAATTTGGCAACAAAACGTCTCACAACACAAGGAGTGACCATCACTCAAAAATCATGATTTTGTCATTTGGGAGTTGTAGTTGCTGGGATTTATAGTTTACTTACAATCAAAGTGCATTCTGAACTTCACCAGTGATGGAATTGAACCAAACTTGGCACACAGAGCTCCCTTGACCAACAGAAAATACTGGGTTTCGTGGGCATTGACCTTGAGTTTGGGAGTTGTAGTTCACCTACATCCAGACAGCACTGTGGACTCAAATAATCATGGATCTGGACCAAACTTGGCACAAGGACTCAATACACCCAAATATGGGGGAAATAGAGCTTGACATTTGGGAATTGTAGTTGCTGGGATTTATAGTTCACCTACAATCAAAGAGCATCCTGAACCCCACCAACGACAGAAATGGGGCAAAATTTCCACACAGAACCCCCATGACCAACCGAAAATACTTAAGGCCATCCAGTCCAACTCTCTTCACCAGGGCAAGAAAATGTAATCAGAGCCCTCCTGACAAAGAGCCATCCAGTCATAAATATAGATAGATAGATAGATAGATATGATTCTCACACCCCTACACACAGATATAGTATCATAGATTTGAAAGAGACCCTTAAAGAAGGACTATGATATGTTGCATATTCCAGAGTAGGAAAATCAGACACTCTCCACATCAACACTGACAAAGAAACAACAAGAAATACTGTTTACTCACAAGCATAAAGGAATTACATATATTAGAAACCAACACTTTCTCATTACTTTATTTTCCAGATCACCTGACTGGGCCACAGCAACGCGTGGCAGGGGACAGCTAGTACCAAATAAAAATGTATTTTTTAAAAAAAAAATCACCCATGTTTAAATATTCCACTGCAACACATTTCATGAGTCCATCAACTATATGCCTCAGTTCTAAGATGCTGCTCTTTCCGCCAAGTCTGGTCCATTATATTCTTACCCGTAGTACGTGATACCAGACAGAGGTGCCCCCAAAGTCAATGTGGAAGTCTGTGTAGCTGTCCCGCACCCCCATCAGGCAGTACTTTTGCACATTGGGTCGTTCAAATACGGACTCCCCTGGCCAAAGGTTCTCCACCCAGGACAGTTTGCGCACAATCTTTGGGGTCTCCACAAAGTTAGACAGTCTGGAAAAAGGGGAAGGAAAATAAACAGAAAATGAACATAAGGCATAATTCTGAAGACATCTCATGTGAACACATCACTTGATGTTGTCACAGGATACTGTGCTTCAAACTTTTATTCTCACAAGCCCACATAATCTGCTCTCTGTCTCCATCATTCATCTGCAAAAGGGGTCATCGTACAAAGGGATGCGAAAATCTGGGAAAACATATTGACTCGAGTATAAGCCAAGGGTGGGAAATGCAGCCGCTATGGGTAAATTTCAAAATAAAATAATTTCAAAATAAAAATAGATATCAATAAAATTATCTTGGAGCATTGGCAGGTTAAATGGTTTTGAATATTTACATAAAACTGTAATTTAAGATAAGACTGCCCAACTCTGATTAAACTATTATTCTAACCTTCAATGTAAATGTGCTTACGTATCCTTCCAATAATAATAAATTATAGAATCATAGAATCAAAGATTTGGCAGAGACCCCATGGGCCATCCAGTCCAACCCCCTGCCAAGAAGCAGGAATATTGCATTCAAATCACCCCTGACAGATGGCCATCCAGCCTCTGCTTAAAAGCTTCCAAAGAAGGAGCCTCCACCACACTCCGGGGCAGAGAGTTCCACTGCTGAACGGCTCTCACAGTCAGGAAGTTCTTCCTCATGTTCAGATGGAATCTCCTTTCTTGGAGTTTGAAGCCATTGTTCCGCGTCCTAGTCTCCAAGGAAGCGGAAAACAAGCTCCGCTCCCTCCTCCCTGTGGCTTCCTCTCACATATTTATACATGGCTATCATATCTCCTCTCAGCCTTCTCTTCTTCAGGCTAAACATGCCCAGCTCCTTAAGCCGTTCCTCATAGGGCTTGTTCTCCAGACCCTTGATCGTTTTAGTTGCCCTCCTCTGGACACATTCCAGCTTGTCAATATCTCTCTTGCATTGTGGTGCCCAGAATCGCACACAATATTCCAGGTGTGCTCTAACCAAAGGGGAATAGAGGGGTACCATTACTTCCCTAGATCTAGACACTATGCTCCTATTGATGCAGGCCAAAATCCCATTGTAACAATAATAATAATAATAATAATAATAATAACAACAACAACAACAACAATAATAATGGAAATTCAATAATAACAATAATAATAGAGTAAACTAATAAATGTAATAATAATAATAATAATAATAATAATAACAATAATAAATACATCACACTGTCCTAGACTCTTGGGAAGTGTTTGACTTGTGATTTTGTGATACGAAATCCAGCCTATAGATCTTGTTTGCTGTGACATACTGTACTTTTGTGTCAGTAAAATAATAATAAATAATGGAAATTCAATAATAACAATAATAATAGAGTACCATAATAAATGTAATAATAATAAATAGAGTAAAATAATAAATGTAATAATAATACGGTTAAAAACTGTAAATATAATAATAATAATAATACATTAAGTAAAATAATAGATGTAATAAAAATAATACTAACAACAGAGTAAAATAATAAATAACCTTGACTCGAGTATAAGCCGAAGGGAGCTTTTTCAGCCTAAAAAGGGGGCTGAAAAACTAGGCTTATACTCAAGTATATACAGCAATTTTTTTTATTTAGGCAAGCCTTCCTGCATCTGACCCCACTGTGCCCTCTCTCTTAGATGTAGAGCCGCTCACCCTCTCCCAGCAGTCTCCCGCTGAATGACTCCATTCATTGTAATGCTCTCCTCCTGGTCACAGCTGAAAAGGAGCAGTGACAAAGGACCTGCTGCCAATTGACCTCCTCTCAACCTTCTGTCAAGCATGAAGCCAGCTAGATTCCTCTTTAGAAAGATGCTGCTGTTTCATCTCATGGGAAAGTCACCATAACAGAGACTGCTTTGAGGGAAAACAATCTCTGGCACAGGTTCCAGAGGTTTCTCCTTTTTGAAGGCCTCCAATGAACAAGAAATTGAACCTCTTGGTACGAATATCCATAGTTATTCCTACACAGATGTATGTAAGCAAGCTTTGGATGGCATAGGGAAGGGTTAACACCCCTATGATGTCTGTTTTGTTCATAGGGAAGGGTTATCACCCCTATGGTGTCTGTTTTGTTCATAGGGAAGGGTTAACAACCCTATGGTCTCTGTTTTGTTCAGAAGATTTCACCTCACTTTCTGTCTCTGTGAACACTGGATTTTGAAAAAAAAAATGGCTTGTTGTGGAAATAAGGATTGGTGAGAAAGTCTCAGTGGATACTCCTTTTCCTCATGATAACTCTACCAGAAGTGATTTGGGGGACACCTAGCTCGAGAGCAGTACGTGTGAAAAGATCTTGGACTTCTCATGGACAACAAGTTAAACATTTATTAATGACTTAGATGAAGGGTTAGAAGGCAGAATCATCAAGTTTGCAGACGACACCAAATTGGGAGGGATAGTCAATACTCCAGAGGACAGGAGCAGGATTCAAAATGATCTTGACAGATTAGAGAGATGGGCCAAAACTTACAAAATGAAGTTCAACTGGGACAAATGCAAGATACTCCACTTAGGCAGAAAAAACAAAATGCATAGATACAGAATGGGGGACAATGCCTGGCTCGAGAGCAGTACATGTGAAAAAGATCTTGGAGTCCTCGTGGACAACAAGTTAAACATGAGCCAGGAATGTGATGTGGCGGCAAAAAAAGCCAATGGGATTTTGGACTGCATCAATAGGAGCATAGTGTCTAGATCTAGGGAAGTCATGCTACCCCTCTATTCCGCCTTGGTTAGACCACACCTGGAATATTGTGTCCAATTCTGGGCACAACAATTCAAGAGAGATATTGACAAGCTGGAATGTGTCCAGAGGAGGGCAACTAAAATGATCAAGGGTCTGGAGAACAAGCCCTATGAGGAGCGGCTTAAGGAGCTGGGCATGTTTAGCCTGAAGAAGAGAAGGCTGAGAGGAGATATGATAGCCATGTATAAATATGTGAGAGGAAGCCACAGGGAGGAGGAAGCAAGCTTGTTTTCTGCTTCCCTGGAGACTAGGACGCGGAACACTGGCTTCAAAATACAAGAGAGGAGATTCCATCTGAACATGAGGAAGAACTTCCTAACTGTGAAAGCCGTTCAGCAGTGGAACTCTCTGCCCCGGAGTGTGGCGGAGGCTCCTTCTTTGGAAGCTTTTAAACAGAGGCTGGATGGCCATCTGTCAGGGGTGATTTGAATGCAATTTTCCTGCTTCTTGGCAGGGGGTTGGACTGGATGGCCCATGAGGTCTCTTCCAACTCTAGGATTCTATGATTCTATGATTTTCCCTTCCGAGGAAAAGATTTGTCTCACTTCCTGTTGCCTCATCCCCATTTTTAACTATAAGTCATTTATAAGTCAAATATTTGTAACTAATGGACTGCCTGTATGCACATACACACTTGTTAAAGAGATGATAGATATGTGCACCTTCCTTTTTCACACTTGGTTTGCTTTCAAAAGAAAATCACAATGGGAAGAAAAATACGCATGTGGAAATTTGTGCAAAAGAGAAGATTCAAAACATTGTCTTTTTGGACTTCAGTTTACTGATCCCTGCAGCTATAGAGCTGCTGATTCTGGGAGGTGGAATTAAGCAGAAATTAACCCCATAACTTTGAAAGTTCTGCATTTTATCACAAACCCTCTTGAGGGTAGAAAGTTTTAGAAGGGAAAAGTTTCATATCAAACAGAAGACTTCTGCTACTAGAAAATGCTTCTTAGTGGGGGAGAATCAAAATTGGCACAGCAACAAGTTTAATCCACTTCAACATCTCTTTGCTTGCCTTGTCTCAGAGAATTCCAGGCTGATGACATTAAGGACCTTTTCTCTGCGGTTGCTGGTATAATAGCTGACAAAGTCACCCAGGCGCATCTTGAGGTCAGCCTGGCGGGTCACGTCAATCACATCAATCTCTTTGTCTGCACCTGTTGAAAAAGAATGAGATAAGCCATATAATGGGCAAGACAAGTGAGATGTTTTGGGAGAAGGAGAGACGTGGGCTTCAGCCACAGCAGACTGAAGCTCAGTGAATTTTCAACTTCCTGTGAGCACCATCATTAACAGTAAACACTTTGTATTATACTTCCATTATTACTGACCACACAACAATGCTGCCATGCATTTGTTTAAAAATGTATTTTTATTATTTTTTTATATTATTTACATAAAAAGAGTGGATGGAATTGAAGGAAAACCATTACAAAATGATATACAGATGGCATATGACGCCACAGAAGTTAAGCTTAATGTATAAGAAAACTTCAAATAAATGCTGGAAGTGTGAATCTCAAGTGGGGACGTACTATCATCTCTGGTGGATCTGCCCCATAGCCCAAAGCTACTGGAAGGAAATCCAAGATCTATCCCAAGAAATACTTAAAATCAAAATCCAAATGAAACCGGAATACTTCCTGCTGGGCATCACAGACAATGACATAGAATTGGACTCTAACCAAGACATCCTCTTTACCTACCTCGTGACAGCCGCAAGAATTGTATACGCCAGGAGATGGAAATCAAAAGCTCAGTGGAGGAGTGGTTACAAAAAATTTGAGACTTGAAAAACATGAACAAGCTAACCTACTATCTAAAAGATTACACAAGTACCCCTTTAAAAAGAACAAACTGGAAGCAATTTGAAGATTTTATGAGTATTCATTAAGAAAAAGCAGGGCCCTACTAGAAGAATAATAGGACAAAACAAACCATAAACTTATACTAACAAATGTTAAAGGGAAAAAAAGGAAAAGAAAATGAGCCGAGAAGAGATTTCAAGACAGAACGAAAGGAAAGAGAGTGTGAACGTCGGAAGGAAGACTGGGAAGTCAACTCCCTCCCCTCCCCACCTTCCCCCTTTTCCTTCCCAACCCTATATCCCATCCCCCCTACCCTCCCCCCCCTACCCATCACACTATCCTATCCAGTACCCCCCACACTGTATATCTATTTTGTAAAATTCTAAAAAAGATTTATATTTAAAAAAAGAGTGGGAACAATAAATCTTGTGAAAGAAAGTAGGAAAATAGGATAGTGAAGATGTACTTAAAGAAAAAAAGTTTTAAAAAACAAACAAAAACACAAAGGTAGGGGTGGGTAAAGTACTACCAGGATCTTCCAGGACGTCACAATTGTTCAATTTTTTTTCTCCTTATCTTTATTTGTTTTGTCATTGGTTTCGTATAGATATTTCCTTTGAGTTTCCATTGTAAGGTTTTAATATAATATTTATTTATTTGATCAGCCATATGACCATTTCAAATAGAATACGAGTAAAAAACAAGGCAAAAAGGTGAGGACAGCAGCTGACCTATTTATAGTCAGAATCATATTTTCCTGGTTCTTCTTTCAGGAAATCTGCTCTTTTCTTAATAGCTTTCAGAATAAAAAGGCTTACTCTGATTATGCTGGACCTTTCCTGCCCTTGCAAGAGGGATGTCAGAATATCATTTCTGTTGGGGGACCTGCAGTTGGATAATATTGGATGTAAATATCTGTCTCGCAGTTCAGTATATGCTGGACAGTCAATTAAGAAATGTTCAATGTCTTCCACTGTTTGTTCTCCCCAGACGCAGAATCTCTCACTTCTTGGGATGTTACAGTAGCGCCGTTTGCACCATAGTACCGAGTTGTTCAAACCTAGCCCTAGTATATATTCTTCTTAAGGGTAAAGGTAAAGGTAGTCCCCTGACATTAAGTCCAGTCATGTCTGACTCTGGGGTGTGGTGCTCATCTCCATTTCTAAGCCGAAGAGCCAGCGTTGTCCGTAGACACTCCAAGGTCATGTGGCCGGCATGACTGCATGGAGCGCCGTTACCTTCCCGCCGGAGCGCTACCTATTGATCTACTCACATTTGCATGTTTTCGAACTGCTAGGTTGGCAGAAGCTAGGGCTGACAGCGGAAGCTCACGCCGCTCCCCGGAATCGAACCTGCGACCTTTCGATCAACAAGCTCAGCAGCTCAGTGCTTCAACCCACTTAGCCCTAGTATATGTTCTTCTTAAGGGTAGAGGAAGTGGAATAGTTAGGTAGTGCTCTAAATGAATATTCCTTTTGTGGGAAGCTAAAAACCTTGTGGCTGAAGACCTACCTATGCTCTCTAGGTCCAGCTGTGCATAGACATCCCTAATGCGCCGCTTGAGCACTTGCCCTGCCCCCAGACCCAAAACACCCAGAAATTGCAAAGGCAGACCGAATCCAGCCAATTAATTATTCAGAGCCGCCATCCATGATGACTTCTGGTCATGCTGGACTTGATCCTCTAGACATAGGCGAGGAAGTCTACTGGGATCCATAGAGTTTACTTTTGACCAGTAATTAAATTGTCTCATTAAGATTTGAGCTTTTACTGGGAGTATTCTTAGCTCAGCCCTTACCGCCGTCAGCGTTGTTCTGGAAAGGCCCAGGAAGGTGCGAAGCTGCTTACCTTGGAAGGCTTCGATCTTGGCCAAATTGATGTGCCCCCAAATTTCAGCCCCAAATATAAGTGCTAGGTTCTAATATATACTTCTTTATTTCTTCTTATATATTCCAGATTTTTTTTCCAGTCCGTTCTTTGGGGTTTGATTATATTGTTTGAAATTTTTTTGGGTTAGTATGTCCATATTTATTATGTCCAATACCTTTATCATCCAATATTCCACTGTATTTCCTTGGATCTCCATACTTTGGCCAGGGTCATTCTCGCGGCCGCTATTAGGTTAAAAATATCTTGCCTGTATTTTTATCCATTTTGAGATCCACGATCCCTAGCAGTAGTGTTTCTGGTTTTGGATGAAATTTTATATGTAGGATCTGCTCTATCTTCTTGTGTATTTGGTACAAAAATCCTTTATTTTCTTACACCTCCACCACATGTGGATAAAATTGCCTTTGTTTTTTTCACACTTCCAACATTCATCTTTTGTTTTGCCTTTGCCAATTTTTGAAAGTATTTCTGGTGTTAGGTACCATCTATAAAAAAATTATACCAGTTCTCCTTGAGATCCGTTGCATAGGAGTATCTTAATTTCTTTAACCAGATCTCTTCCCATTCTGCCATCAGTATGGAGCGGCCTATATCATTTGACCAGTTTATCATGTTATCCTTTACTTGATCAATTTCCGTAGACCAAATCAGTAATTGATGATATATATTTTTATTAATTTTGTGTCTGTTCTTAGGACTTTATCCCAAAATGTATCTATTGTTTCTTATTATCTACTAGCTGTCCCCTGCCACGCGTTGCTGTGGCCCAGTCTGGTGATCTGGAAAATAATGAAAAGGTGTTGATTTCTAATATATGTAATATCTTGATGCTTGTGGGTAAACAGTATTTCTTGCTGTTTCTTTGTCAGTGTTGATGTGGAGATTGTCTGGTTTGCGTACTCTGGAACATGCAACATATCATTGTCCTTCTTTAGGAGTCCCTTTGAAATCTATGATATTGCATCTGTCATATCCATATATATGTGTCTGTGAATGATACCTATCAATCTATATCTATGGCTGGATGGCTCTTTGTCAGGAGGGCTTTGATTAGGTTTTCTTGCCCCGGTGAAGGGAGTTGGGACTGGATGGCCTGAAGTATTTTCTGTTGCTCATGGGGATTCTGTGTAGGAAGTTTGCCCCAATTCTGTAATTGGTGAGGTTCAGAATGCTCTTTGATTGTGGGTGAACTATAAATCCCAGCAACTACAACTCCCAAATGTCAAGGTCTATACTCCATCTGTGTTTATATTTGGGCATATGGAGTATTTGTGCCAAGTTTGGCCCAGTTCCTGGATGTAGGTGAACTACAACTCCCAAACTCAAGGTCAATGCCCACCAAACCCTTGTGTTTTCTGTTGTCATGGGAATCCTGTGTGACACATTTGTTTCAATTCCATCGTTGGTGGGGTTCAGAATGTTCTTTGATTGTAGGTGAACTATACATCCCAGCAACTACAACTCCCAAATGACAAAATCAATTTCTTTGAGTGAAGGACATACATTGGGATGTTAGGTGTATCGTGTCCAAATTTGGTGCCAATTCATCCAGGGGTTTTTGAGTTCTGTGAATACCACAAACGAACATTACATTTTTATTTCTTTGATTTTCTTTGATTTGGCGATACCAAAACCATGACCTGGTTGGATCTATTGAAGTTAGTTCTTCTTGTGTTTTTAGTGATGCCCCTTGCATATTTATCTTTAATAATTGGTTGTATGTTAGCCATACAGCCGTGCATTTGTGAATGCCTTCTCTACTGGGGGGGATGGGGGCTGTAAGGAGGCTTGCCTTGTCTGACCAAGATACCTTGGAAAGCTCTGACAGGCTCTGACACAACCTCATTCAAAACATTCAAGAAATGTTTTTGCTCCCAAATGCCCTCTGGGGTCATAAGGCTAGTTTTGTCACATTTCTGATCCCTTAGCACTTTGTCCCTCTAAAGCACTTTACATTTTTAGGTCTGCTCGTATGTCTTAACACAAGCGCCACTATCACCTTTTCGTCCATGTTTCAGCACTATTTCCAATTTTAATTTTACATTTGGCCTTCCCACAGTTTTAATTGTATATTGTCTTACTGATAAGGTTATATGTTTATTGTTTATGTTTATATTTTAATTGTTTGTATTGTTGTAATTATTGCTTGTATTGCTGTGTTCGGGCTCGGCCTCATGTAAGCCGCACCAAGTCCCTTGGGGAGATGGTAGCGGGGTACAAATAAAGTGTTATTATTATTATTATTATTATTATTATTATTATTATTATTATTTCTGCCCCTAGTTCAAATAATATGGAAATTACGTAACTTTTTAATTACCTCCTTTTAGAAAAAAGTCTGGACCACTTAGAAAAAAAATGGTAAAATCGCTAACATATCAGAGAGTATTTTAAGACATTCTGGAATATTTGAAAAACATTTTTAAACGTTTTGGGACTCCTGGGAGAATTATTGTTCCCTGTAGATGGCACTTCCCCATTCCTGCTGACTGCTTTTGCTCCAGCACCATGGCCAGCAACTGCTTCTCCCAAGAGGCTAGAAGTCCCCACACAAGCTCACCTCTTTCATTTCTGGACTGACAACAAACCAGCAAAATGCCAGACACCAATTTTTAAGTGGCAGGATTTGACTTAGTAACCACTAGGTGCTAAATATTATACCGATGTGAAGATGTGGAGCAACAAATAGTGCTGGACAGCAACTTCCTATGTTCCTCCCTCTGAGCAATACTGAATAGGGCCAACCAAAGCAGTAGTCCCACAACATTTCTGGTACCAAAGTTCCCTGTCTTTGCATGAATCACTACAAATGTTACGCAGCCATAATGCACAGTGGAGAATCGAAGCAACACCCGCCTCCTGAAATCCCTTCCAAGTAAACACTAGTCTAAAAATAGAGCAGAATCATATGGTGCTGTTTTGCTTTGTTTTCCCTGGACAGTTTCACTGTAAACTGCATAGTGCACTACAGAACAGCCTGTAGCATTATCCTAGAGAAGCAAGTCCTAAAATAAGATCTCAGAAATCCCTGAAATAATTCCCAGTCAATGTGGTGTGTCAAGCAGAATTCCAGCAGATATATTCCAACAATATTTTGGGTTCTGCTTCCTTGCTATCCGAGGAGCACTAATCTACTGAGCCAACTAGCCTCATGTTTGCTCTGCCTGAAGTGAGAAAGAATCAGAAAACACATCCGAAAAGGATATGTGCCAGTGTGGGCCATCTGTTTTCTGGAAAAAACTAAACAGCAGAGCTTAGAAAAGTTACTATTTGGTCCCCAGAATCCCCCAGTTGCCACAGCTCAATTGTAGTCCCAAAAAGCAGCTTCATCAAGGTCTACTAAGGCTTTTAACAGAGAAACTTCAATTGAATCTGCAGCAGTCCTTCTATATAAATAAAATGTAATGTTCGTTTGTGGGATTAATAGAACTAAAAAAACACTGGGGGAATTGACACCAAATTTGGACACAATACACTTAACAACTCAATATATGTCCTTCACTCATAAAAACACTGAAAAACACAGCAGAAGGGACTTTAAAAGCCCCGAAAAGCTAAATGACAATACAGAAAAAAGAAGAAAGAGGAAGGGAGGGGGGAAAAGAAGAAAGAAAGAAAGAAAGAAAGAAAGAAAGAAAGAAAGAAAAGAAAAAGAAAAGAAAGAGGGAGGGAGGGAGGGAGGGAGGGAGGGAGGGAGGGAGGGAGGGAGAAAACAAAGAAAGAAAAGAAAGAGGGAGGGAGGGAAAGAAAGAAGGAAAAGGAGAAGGAAGCAAAGAGAGAAGGAAGGAAAGAGGTAGAGAAGGAAGAAAGGAGAGAAAGAGGGAGGGAAAGAAAAAGGGGGAAGGAAGGAAAGTTAGAGAAGGAAGGAAGGAGAAAAGGAAAGAAAAAGGGAAAGAAGGAAGGAAAGAGGGAGCGAAGGAAGGGGGGAAGATGTAGAGAAAGAGGGAGGGAAGGAAAGAGAGAAGGAAGAAAAGAGAGACAGCAGAAGAGAAAGAAAAAGAGGGAAGGAAGGAAAGAGATAGAGAAGGAAGGAAGAAGAGAAGGAAAGATGGGAAGGAAGGAAGGAAGGAAGGAAGGAAGGAAGGAAGGAAGGAAGGAAGGAAGGAAGGAGGGAGTGAAGGAAGGAGGGAAAGAAGGAGAGAAAGAGGGAAGGTTGGCCACAGCAATGCATCACAGCAGGGCATGAGCTTCCACTGTCAGCCTCAGCTTCTGCCAACCTAGCAGTTTGAAAACATGCAAATGTGAGTAGATCAATAGGTACCACTCCAACGGGAAGGTAACAGCACTCCATGCAGTCATGGCCTTGGAGGTGTCTATGGACAACGCCATCTCTTCGGCTTAGAAATGGAGATGAGCACCAACCCCCAGAGTCGGACACGACTGGACGTAATGTCAGGGGAAAACCTTTACCCTGACTACATCTTTACTGGCTACATCTGAAGAGCCCAAAGTCCCACATCTCTGCAATGCATAAATCCCTTTCACTTCTGCCAGCCTACCCAGCAGTGTCTGTAACTCCCAGGCACTCACCCACATAATGCTCCACATCACGCACAGTGAACGAAGGTGGAGGAAGGGTCATGCCCAGCCCATCTTTCTTCAGGACAAGGATGGGCACACTGAAGCTGTTCTCCTCCAGGAACTCCACAGTCAGCTGGGCCCCACTTGGCTTTAGAATCACCTCATCAGCACTGGAAAAACGCAAGGAAATTAGGTCAAATCTACAAGTCTTGCAGAAGGGTATCAAGCTCCCAAACTTGGGCACATCTGTCTAAGAACAGTAAGAAATCACTCAATAACCCTCTCATTTTGTCTAATACAGTAGGCAGAGAACCTTTGGATCCCAGATCCCAGGTTCAGTGTACACAAACACTTTCATGAAAAAACTATTAAAATAATGTGAATAAAATTAACTTCAGACTATGAGTACAAGGTATATGTGAAACATAAATGAATTTCGTGTTTAGATTTGGATCCCATCTCCAAAATATCTCATTATGTATGCATACATTCAATTAAAGCCATTCCAAAAGTACAAAACTCAAAATGCCTTTGGTCCCAAGCTTTTCAGGTCAGGGGTCCTCAACTGCATATTTACAAAGTGCTCTTCATCGCATTCATTTCCAGCAGTTTAGTAAATCTACATACATTTCTAAAATAGAATAAAGCTAACATCCAGTATCCAATGAGATATGGTTTTCTATATGTTACAGCAGCGTTTCTCAACCTGGGGGTCAGGACCCCTGGGGGGGGGTCGCGAGGGGGCGTCAAAGGGGTCACCAAAGACCATCAGAAAACACAGTATTTTCTGTTGGTCATGGGGGTTCCATGTGGGAAGTTTGGCCAAATTCTATCATTGGTGGAGTTCAGAATGCTCTTTGATTGTAGGTGAACTATAAATCTCAGCAACTTCAATAGCCAGATGTCGAGATCTATTTTTCCCCAAACTTCACCAGTGTTCACGTTTGGGCATATTGAGTATACATGCCAAGTTTAGTCCAGATCCATCATTGTTTGAGTCCATGGTGCTCTCTGGATGTAGGTGAACTACAACTCCTAAACTCAAACTCAATGCCTACCAAACCCTTCCACTATTTTCTATTGGTCATGGGAGTTCTCTGTGCCAAGATTAGTTAAATGCCACCATTGGTGTAGTTCAGAGTGCTCTTTTATTGGGTTGTTGTAGGTTTTTTCCAGCTATATGGCCATGGTCTAGAGGCATTCTCTCCTGACGTTTCGCCTGCATCTATAGCAAGCATCCTCAGAGGTAGTGAGGATGCTTGCCATAGATGCAGGCAAAACGTCAGGAGAGAATGCCTCTAGACCATGGCCATATAGCCTGAAAAAAACCTACAACAACCCAGTGATTCCGGCCATGAAAGCCTTCGACAATAAACTGCTCTTTGATTGTAGGTGTGCAATAAATCCCAGCAACTACAAGTCCCAAGTGATAAAATCAACCCCCCCCCCAACCCCACCAATATTCAAATTTTGGCAAATTAGGTCTTTGTGCCCAATTTGGTCCAGTGATTGAAAATACATCCTGCATATCAGTTATTTACATTCATAACAGTAGCAAAATGACAGCTATGAAGTACAATGAAAATAATGTTATCATTGGGGGGTCACCACAACATGAGGAACTGAATTAAGGGGTCGCGACATTAGGAAAGTTGAGAACCACTGTGTTACAGGCTTCTTTTGTTTTGGACATTTTATTCCCCTCCACCCTCAGTCATTGCCACCTGCCTATCTCTTTGGAGACTCTTTGTGAAGCTGCTTAAGGGGGGGGGGGGGGCAGGGAGGGTTGAGCAGATGTACAGAGATTCCCCAAAGAGCCACCTATTTCAGTGCTGAAAGAAAGACGGAAAACAAAAAGTCATCCAATTTGTAGAACAAAGAAGGGCTTTTGAGCCAGAAACGACCTGGCCTCAAGAAAATATCAGGTTGCTTAAGGAGCTGTCCTCTTGATCTGCTCTGTATATGCCACAGTTTTCAGTTTAACAAAAGGCTGGTGTTTAATACGTTTTGACAAATGTGAAGAGCTTGTAAAAGTTATTTTCTAGGACTACAACTCCCACAATCCTCAGCGTGTACAGTGGAAAGGAGGAACAGACTTAAGAAAACCTAAACACTATGAATTAAACAATAAATATTGGTACCGCAAATTGTTAATGCACTATGCTTCACTCTTGTGCCAGCCAAATTCTCTGGGGTAAGGAAAGTTATTGTATATACTCGAATATAAACCTAGTTCTTCAGTCCTTTTTTTAGGCTGAAAAAGTCTCCCCCGGCTTATACTCGAGTCAATGTTATTTATTATTTTACTTTGTTGTTGTTATTATTATTATTACATTTATTATTTTATTATTGTTATTATTAAATTTATTATTTTACTCTATTATTGTTAGTGTTACATTTATTATTTTACTCTATTATTATTATTATTATTATTTTACTCTATTATTATTGGAGGACATGTAAGCATATTTACATTGAAGAAGGTTAGAATAATGGTTTAATCAGAGTTGGACAGTCTTATCTTTGGAAGAATACCATCTCTTTCCTCCTCAAGAGTCAAACACCTACTTGTTTTTTGGGTTTTGTTGTTGTTGTCTTAGACACCATCTCATTAAACCATGGCTGGGTCAAATTTCTTCTCCCATGCGGCCTCTCCACTACTATGGGCATCACTGTGGCTCTTTAGCACAATAAAAGTGGTATCATATCATCTGCCTGATTGTGACTATTTGTGTCGACAGGGTGAGGAAAACACAGTATTTGTGGCCAATTTTAAGCCAAATTGATCAACTCCCCCCCTTCCTAAATTAGCATTTTAATAATTTCAGTTGTGTACGGAACATTGGAGGGCTTCAGGAGCCATACTTTGAGTCCCAAGGTCTGTATGTGGCTCATGGCCACACTCTGCACACCCCTGTATTAAATCCTGGGTGGGAAATACGTGGCCCTCCAAGTATAAGCCGACCCAAATATAAGCCAAGGCACCTAATTTTACCACAAAAAACTGAGAAAACGGATTGACTCGAGTATAAGCCGAGGGTGGGAAATGCAGCAGCTACCGGTAAATTGCAAAATAAAAATAGATATCAATTAAATTACATTAATTGAGGAATCAGAGGGTTATATATTTTTTAATATTTATAAAAATGGTAATTTAAGATAAGACTGTCCAACTTTGATTAAATGATTATTTACCTTCTTCAATGTAAATGTGCTTATGTATCCTTCCAATGATAATAAAGAGAGCAACATAACAAATGTAATAATAACAACGATAATAAAAGAGTAAAATAATGAATGTAGCAATAACAACAATTATACAGTAAAGTAATAAATGTATAATAATAGAGTAAAATGATAAATGTAATAATAATAAATGGAATAAAATAATAAATGAAATGAAAATAATAATAATAATAATAATAATAATAATAATAATAATAATAATAATATAATAATAATAACCTTGACTCGAGTATAAGCTGAGTGGGACTTTTTCAGACTAAAAAAGGGGCTGAAAAACTAGGCTTATACTCGAGTATATACAGTAACTCCCATCAGTCTCAGCCACTATGGCAGTGTTTCTCAACCTGGGGGTCGGGACCCCTGGGGGGGTCGCGATGGGGTGTTGGAGGGGTCACCAAAGACCATCAGGATACACAGTATTTTCTGCTGGTCATGGGAGTTCTGTGTGGGAAGTCTGGCCCAATTCTATCGTTGGTGGGGTTCAGAATGCTCTCTGTAGGTGAACTATAAATCCCAGCAATTACAAATCCCAAACGTCAAGGTCTATTTTCCCCAAACTCCCAACAGTGTTTGCATTTGGGCATATTGAATATTCGTGCCAAGTTTAGTCCAGATCTATCATTGTTTGAGTCCATAGTGCTTTCTGCAGATAGGTGAACTACAACTCCCAAACTCAAGGCCAATGCTCACCTAACCCTTTCATTATTTTTTGCTGGTCATGGGCATTCTGTGTGCCAAGTTGGGTCAATTCCATCTCTGGTGGAGTTCAGAATGTTCTTTGATTGTAGGTGAACTATAAATCCTAGCAACTACAACTCCCAAGGTCCAGAGAATGAAAATACATCCTGCCTATCAGATATTTACATGACGATTCATAACAGTAGCAAAATTCCAGCTATGAAGTAGCAATGAAAATAATTTTAAGGTTGGAGGTCATCACAACATGAGGAACTATATAAAGGGGTCGCGGCGCTGCACTATGGGCAAAAGCCAGGGATGATTGAAGTGGCACTACAACAGCCACTGGAGGGCCTCGTGGTTCCTTTCTTTGACCCAGAACAGGGTTGCACTGGGGAGGAGGCATTTGAGTAAGAGATGGATCTGGAGCACAAGAATCCAAGACCAACTCCCAAATGTCTGAATCATGTTTAGGAGACTCCTGAAGTTATTAATCTATCATTTATTCATTTTCTCCTCCTGAGAATTGCCAAGTGGAGAAATACCTTCCTGGCTTATCAGAGCAAAAGCTTTGCTATATCTGGAGCCCTAACACACACCAATGTGGTTTTAGGCTAGGGCTATCTGCTTTTCTCTTGAGCGACCCAGAGAAGAAAACGTGTGGCTGCCCACCTAGGAAATGTCCTGCTGCGAAGTTCCTTGACAAACTGAGTACTGCCTGTCTTCACGGTCTTGCCAACCTCTTTGCTCACAGAGGAGTCCGGATGCTTGGGGTTCCCCCGGCGTCGTTTCACTGAGGGGAAACACAGGAAGAGAAAATCAGTAACAAAAGGATAAAGAAAAAGGCAAATACGGGTAGCAAAGAAGTTACACATATTACATGGATAATAGATCAGTCCCCTCCCCCTTGACCTTCTTGAAAAACAGTGAAAACATGGCTATTTGAACAAGCCTTTGGAATCTAACAGTCAAAAACGGTATTAGACGAAAGTGAACATTGGAATGGCTTTGGCGCCGATTTATGGACAATGAGACTAACAATGAAAGCATTGGTTTTATATGTTTTGCTGAATGTATTTTTAATTATGTTAATTGCATATTGTCAGGCATCAAATTGCTGCCTGGTTGTATTTATTTTATTTATTTAAAGTTTTTATAACCCGGTCTTCTCGACCTCCGAGGAGGGACTCAGGCGGGCTAACAACATAAGATTCAATACAATAAGAAAAAATAGTATAAATCATCAATATAAAATACATTAAAATACAATTCATACAATTCATACAAGTTACAGCAAAAGTCAGTTCGTCAGAATGAATCACAAATTCATCGCCATCCGCCAGAAAGGTCAGCAGTTACTGACTCAATCATCATTCTGCAAATACAGTATCCCAAAGCCATGTTTTTACCAGCTTTCTAAACGTCAGGAGGGAAGAGGCAGATCTAATCTCCATCAGGAGGGAGTTCCAAAGCCGAGGGGCCACCACCGAAAAGGCCCTGTCCCTCGTCCCCACCAACCGCGATTGCGAAGGCGGTGGGACCGAGAGCAGGGCCCCTCCAGAAGATCTTAACAAGCTTGATGGTTCATAGGGGAGAATCCGTTCGGACAGGTAAATAGGGCCAGAGCCATTTAGGGATTGTAAGTCCCCTTGAGTCACCTTCAGGTTCGAGAAAGGTGGGATAGAAATATCGTAAATAAATAAATAATACATATTACATCAACAAGGCTTGTACATGAGTGAAGCTGTGCTAAAGAGATGTGTTAGAAAGTAGAGGGGTTTTTTTGGGACTACAACTCATGGAATTCTCGACTTGGTATGATTATGGGATCATACAAAGGGAGAGAGCCTTCTCCTCTGTGGCCCCCCAACTCTGAACTCATTGCCCGGTGAGATTAGGAAAGCCCCCACCTTAGAAATTTTCAAGAGGGATCTCAAAACCTGGTTTTTCCGATGCGTTTTTGGAGAGTAGCCATATTATCATACACAGTTGCTCCCCTCAACGGTTTTTGTCCCCAGAGTATATTTCCCCACCTGCATGAAGGTCTATATTTATGTCCCCGTTCCTTTATGAGTTTCTCCCCCACAAACAACCTGCTCCATCCCTATCTTATCCTGATTTTAGTATTTTTAGTATCTTAGTTTTTATCTTGCACATGCTCATTGTTATGTTATTTTATTGTTTATGACTTTGTTTTATCATTTTTGTACTCATATGTTGAATGTATTTTACTGTGTTGTTATTGTGTTTTGGTTTTACTTTATTGTAATATGCTGTTGGGCTTGGCCTCATGTAAGCCACCCCGAGTCCCCATTGGGGAGATGTTGGCAGGGTATTAAATAAAGTTTATTATTATTATTATATTATTATTATTATTATTATTAATAGTTCAAAACTCTTTATCTCTTTCAAGGACATACTGCATCTGGCAAGCATCCATCCTAATCAACATCTCCAGCTAAAAGACCTCAAGACAAGAATTCATCCTAGAACCTTGAAGAGTGGGACCTAGATATATCCTTTAAAGTACCTGTCTAGACTGGGGACACTTATAATAATAAATAATAATAATAATCTTTATTTGTACCCCGCCACCATCTCCCCGATGGGGACTCAGAGCAGATTACATGGGGCCAGGCCCGAAAAACAAATTACAATAAAGAGAACCAAAAACACAACCAAAAACGCAAACAATAAACAACATCATAATTATCTTCTGAACATCATCTCTTTCTTTTACGGGTGATATAATTTCCAAACTAGCATTACTGGAAGTTTATTTATACCCATACTGATTAAAAACCAAGGTCCGTTGATACTGAATACTTGGCATTGCTTAGATCAGGGGTCCTCAAACTAAGGTCCAGGGGCCGGATGCAGCCCTCCAAGGTCATTTACCCAGCCCTTACTCAGGGTCAACCTAAGTCTGGAATGACTTGAAAGCACACAACAATAACAACAACAATCCTATCCCATCAGCCAAAAGCAGGCCCATACTTCCCACTGAAATACTAATAAGTTTATATTTGTTAAAAATGTTTTTCATTTTAATTATTGTATTATTTTAAAGTTATTTTTGCACTACAAATAAGATATGTGCAGTGTGCATAGAAATTAATGTGTTGTTTTTTTCAAATTATAATCCGGCCCTCCAACTGTTTGAGGGACTGTGATCTGGCCCTCTGTTTAAAAAGTTTGTGGACCCCTGGCTTAGATCATTGGGTCCGTTAGCAAGGGATGTGTGCATATGTTACAATGTTCAATCGAGAGTACAAAGAAACTACAGGGTATAATACTGGACTAGCTTCATGAGAACTTCCTCTCTCTCTCTCTCTCTCTCTCTCTCTCTCTCTCTCTCTATATATATATATATATATATAAAATCCCAAATTTCTAGTCTTTATGTCAGCACTCCAAAGTGGACACAGGTTGTGAAAATTAATAAATATGTCAAATATGAGCAGGTGATGAAAATGTACATAGTAACGAATTGTGTAAATAGCAAAAAATGCATAGATTGTAGAAATTTAAGTGGATTATGCGCATTTTTTCAATTTGCCTATATAAATTGATTTGGGCTGCAGAAACAGGAAAAGAAACCTTGGTAAAAGCATATTTACTACTCAAAAGGTAAATACTAGCCAATTGCAAAAGAAGCACAAATTGAACTTTAAAATCCTACAACAGCATATGGATTTAAGATAAAGAGTAGGGATGTTGGGAAGGGCACCCACTAAAAGCATAAACAAAAAAAACATAAAGCTCCTGACAACCTTCTATACAGTCTGTGCCTTCACATTATAAATCTTTTCTATACGGCTCCGGCCCAGCGTTCCTGTCCGAACGTATCTCCTTCTATGTCCCACCTCGGAGTGTAAGATCTTCTGGGGAGGCCCTGTTCTCGGCCCCACCTCTATCACAAGTGAGGTTGGTGGGGACGAGGGACAAGGCCTTCTCAGTGGTGGCCCCTCGCCTGTGGAATTCACTCCCCGGGGAAATTAGGTCATCAACATCCCTCCTCTCCTTCAGAAGGAAGCTGAAAACATGGATATGGGACCAGGCTTTTGGGTAATCTGGCTGACTGACAAGGTAATGACGACCAGAATTCGGAAAGGACTATTTTATTTTTTATTTCGGGGTTCTTTTACCCCACCCTTCTCACCCCGAAGGGGACTCAGGGCGGCTTACAAAAACAAAGGCACAATTCGATGCCTGCATCACAGAACAATCAAACACAAAATTACATCAATTCACAGGTAACAACGATTCAAGCATTACACCCATAAAATCAATAAAATCAATACAAACCCAATTCCTCCTCCTACATGGTCAGTGTTCGATAACTCATAGTTCTAATTTTCCGTTCCACTTCGTCAATCCTGTTGGTCTTACTCGCCTGAATGTCTTATTTAATTGCCAGAGTGCCCAAAGGCCTGGTCCCATAGCCATGTCTTCACCCTCCTCCTGAAGGAGAGGAGAGATTATGATGTCCTGATTTCCCCTGGGAGAGATCCACAGGTGAGAGGCCACCACTGAGAAAGCCCTGCTCCTCGTCCCCACCAGCCTCACTTGTGACAGTGGTGGGGTCGAGAGCAGGGCCTCCCCAGATGATCTCAGACTCCGAGGTGGGACATAGAGGGACATACGTTCGGACTATGGTAATGCTGAATGGACTTATGGATTTTAGAACTCGGTGAACGGCCACTAGATTGGCTTTTTAGTTGTTATTGTATTAATTGAATGTTTTAATTATTGTGGCTATTGCTGTCATGTATTTTATCTGATGCATTGTTGGCATCAAATTGTGACGGTTGTAAGCAGCCCTGAGTCCCCCCAGGGGGTTGAGAAGGGCGGGGTAGAAGTGCCCGAAATAAATAAAATAAATAAAATTTTCTGAATACAGTATAGGGATTACAAACTTCTTCTTCTTTAAAACCATGCAATTCCGAGTACATAGGAATATGAAAAATATCGTAAATGTTGTGATTTGTGATCAGACAGCAATCATGCAGAAAGTAAGTATACTTGATTCTATTTTCGACAAAAGCCAAGATGACCAGAATCTCAGCAGGAACAGAACTTACTGACAGATGGTCCATGAAGTAGCTGGCAGTTGGGGCAGTGATACAAGTCAATGCTAGCTGCCGCATCCTCTTCTACTCCAACACAGCTTTGAAGAAAGAAAACATAGTCACACTCCTCTTCGAAAGCAATGTTGTTTTCCTTGTGACCCAAAAGCCCTTTCCAGAAACACCTGATAGTCATACAAAGCTCAGAACACCCTTCCTTGCAACACTGGTGCCAGTGAAACTCAGACTTACTTTGTATTCTCCATACCTGCACAGCTCACAGAGTAAATATCCATGCCTCTCTAAACCCCAGTATATCTTCATAACATATTAGAATTAAACCCAAAAGTCTCATTAACAACATAAAGTGCTCTGTATTTCGATACCTTTCCCTCAGGTTTAATAAGATGCACCTTTCTCTAAGCTGGTAATGAAATTGCCTTTGTCTATTTTAATATCCCATATAGATGACATTTAATATAGCTCTTTAGCAGGCCTTGCACGAGGACACTACTACTTGGAATTGTTATTATTGGCTAGAACTCATGACCCAGCACAATACAGATTTGTTGCATGTTCAGATACTCCAAGATACAAAAACGTACTTCATTAATATGCAGAAGGAAGCTAAGTGGAACTGAAACATGCAATGAAAACAGGATGCTTGGGTTTTACATTCTACAGCAACTGCTCCTGTTCATCCCATAAGAGTTACTAAGGACTGAACAGGGAACCTTTAGCTCACCAAATGTTTTGGCTTTCACTGCTAGATTTCCCAATTATCATGATCAACAGTATGGAAGTGCTGATCCACAACTAGCTCGTCTTGCTGTAACAGAGTGACCTGCATCAGACCTGCCATCCCTTGGACCAGACATGGGCAAACATCAGCCCTCCGGGTATTTTGGACTTCAACACATCATGTTTGTGTTGAGGTGGATAGCGGGTGATGTATTTCAGGAGAGCTTGGGATGTGTTAGGTATGGTTGAAAAAGCTGCTCCCATCATCCAAGACCATACACAATATCTGGAGAGTCACGTATTTCCTGGTTTAAGGCATGCCAGTTGTGTGTAAGGTATTTACACGCAGTCTTCCTGGAATCACATTTCTATCATCAGTGTCACAGTTGCCCAAATCCATTCCTGGCAACCATCCCTAAGCCTCCACGTGCATACACAGCTTACTACTAAGTAACAACTGCAAAGGACTGAGACTGTAGTACTTTCACCATCTCATTATAAGATGTGACTCACTAGAAAAGACAACATTGCTCAATAAGGTGAAAGGCAGCAGAGAAAGCGGAAGACTACATTACAGGTGAATAGATACAGTCAAGGATACCTTGTGTTTACAAGAGCTGAGCAGGGCTGTTGATGACAGGGTGACTTGGAGGTCTCTCATGCACAGAATAAGTTGAAATAGATTTGAAGGCAGGTAAGGACAGCAAAAGAGGAAGATTGATTGTTGATGTAGGTGTGCACAGAAATGACAGCCTGTGTGGCATAATGGTTCGAGAATGGACTATGTCTCTAGAGCAGGGGTCCTCAAACTAAGGCCCGGGGGCCAGATACGGCCCTCCAAGGCCATTTACCTGGCCCTCGCTCAGGATCAACCTAAGTCTGAAATGACTTGAAAGTACACAACAACAACAACAATCACATCAGCCAAAAGCAAGGAGCCCCCGATGGCGCACTGGGTTAAACTCCTGTGCCGGCAGGACTGAAGACCAACAGGTCGCAGGTTCGAATCCGGATTAGCTCCCTCTATAAAATCCAGCTCCTCATGTGGGGACGTGAGAGAAGCCTCCCACAAGGATGATAAAAACATCAAATCATCCGGGCGTCCCCTGGGCAACGTCCTTGCAGACGGCCAATTCTCTCACACCAGAAGCGACTTGCAGTTTCTCAAGTTGCTCCTGACATGACAAAAAAAACCCCCCAAAAAAAGCCAAAAGCAGGTTCACACTTCCCATTGAAATGCTAATAAGTTTAGATTTATTAAAATTGTTCTTCATTTTCATTATTCTAATGTTTTTAAGTGTTTTTCTGCACTACAAATAATATATGTGCAGTGTGCATAGGAATTCATATTTTTTTCAAATTATAATCTGGCCCTTTAACAGCTTGAGGGATTGTGACCTGGCCCTCTGTTTAAAAAGTCTGAGGAGCCCTCCTCTTAAACTGTGGGTTCCAACGACAAATGAGGTAGCCTCCGCTCAATGCTGGGGGTCACAAAAATTGTCAACAGTGAAATGCTTCTGAACACCACCAAGACATTTATACAAATCTGTTAGCAACAATGTGCAGGGTTTATAGCAGGCTCTGTAGAAGATGGTTCAGCTGCATGCCACAAAAAAGGCAAATTAGCCTGTTAAGCAAGCTTCACAAATGCTGATTTATTATCAGCAAATGTTTGGTTTTTATACCTATTTCGTATACCTATATATCCAGGGTTGCAAAACAAATTCTTCAGCAGAAAGGGGTCATGAGTAGGAAAAGTTGAAGAAGCTCTGTTGGTCTGAATCCCGGCTCAGGCATGACCCAGTCAAATCTGCACACTCTCAGCCCTAGTAAACCCTGTGGCAGGGTCACCGTATGTCAGGCGCACAACAACGACTTAAGTAAATCGCTACTCAAGAGAATTGGACTGACAATTTTTGAAAAATGGGGTGCAAAGTTGTAAAAAACTGGGTTCTGTCCAGCTATGCCATCCCATTTAGAGTTGTGATTCTCCTCATATTGCTGTATCAGAGTGACCTGTATCTGACCTGCCATCCAGGCATGGGCAAACGTCTGCACTCTAGGTGTTTCGGACTTCAACTCCCACAATTGTGATTCTCCTCATATTGCTATATCAGAGTGACCTGTATCTGACCTGCCATCCAGGCATGGGCAAACGTCGGCCCTCCTGGTGTTTTGGACTTCAACTCCCACAATTGTGTTTCTCCTTGTATTGCTGTATCGGAGTGACCTGTATCTGACCTGCCATCAAGACATGGGCAAACGTCGGCCCGCCAGGTGTTTTGGACTTCAACTCCCACAATTGTGATTCTCCTTGTATTGCTGTATCAGAGTGACCTGTATCTGACCTGCCATCAAGACATGGGCAAACGTCAGCCCGCCAGGTGTTTTGGACTTCAACTCCCACAATTCCTAACAGCCTACGGCTGTTAGGAATTGTGGGAGTTGAAGTCCAAAACAGCTGGAGGGCCAACGTTTGCCCATGCCTGTCTTGGACAGTAAGTAGTCGAAAAGGGTTCCCACCCCATAGACCTTGTGCCTCCCAATGAGGCTCCTGCTCACCTGCCGTGGAACCAGTCCTGGCAAACGTCACACTCAATCATGAAGCGGGTGACATCGTAGGGCAGGCGGCAGAGACAATACACCGGGACAGAGGCCATGGTGGCTACTTCCCCTCCAAGACGCCTCAGGAATCAGACTTTCTGCTCGCTGGAGGAGCCGCCATTCACCCTCAAGTCCGAAGTCAAGTCTCTGTGCCCCCCCAGTTAGTGGGGGGCTCGATGTTTCATCCACTTCGGGCTCAGCAATGTTGAGTGCAGGATCCTCTCCAAGTCTTCTCTTTCACAGGCCCCTAAAAACAAGGGGCATCACCCACAAAGTGTCTCAACTTTTATAGGTTCCCTCAAGAATCTGCAAAGCTCCCCAACCTGCTCTCAGCTCCCCACAAAACCCATGCTGAGAAGTTCAGGCTCCTGGAAATAAACAAAAAGGATAAGCTTTGTTTCTGGAGCAAGATTCCCAGGTATCTTTAGGAGGGAGGGCCCACTTCCCAATTGGAAGGGCCTCCAACTTTGCCCCTCATAAGAAATGGTCAAGGCTGACAAAGGAGCGTTTGAGGCAGAACCAAGTTGCTTCAAGGAAAGGAGACGGGCCTCGCTCCCGCCGCTTTGCCCCTCAGAGCCTTCTTTTGGGGCCTTCCTTCCCTCAAGGCCTAGAGCCAGACCCGAAGCGCCGCTGATTCCCAGGCCAGGTCCCGGAACCGTCTCCCGGGAGGCAGGCTCTACTCCAGAGCGGGGTCGGCGGCCTTCTCAGGGCCAAGCGGCTCCCTCGGCTTCTCCGCGGGTCCAGAGGCCTCCGCGAGGCCCACCGTCCTGGTTTTCCCCTCCGGCTTCCCCAGAAAGTTTATTCAAAACAAGGGAAAGGAGAGGGAGAGAAGAGGGGAGGAGCCAGCCGCCATCTTAGGGGAGGCACGTTGCGGAGCGCCGAGGGAGCCATCTTGAGCGTGGCGAGAGCGGAGGCCGCGCGGGGACCGCATCCGCCATCTTGGAGAGGGAGCCGCAATGGAGACGCATAGAGCTACTCACAGGATAGAACGCTCATCAAGGCCGACCCTTGAACGCGGGGTCATTTCGAAAATATTCATCCCTGGGTTTGAACAAAATCTGGCTACCAGTATTACAAAACTCTATAATCATAAGTTCTTGTGGGTTTTTTCGGGAATCATAGAGTTGGAAGTGCAGCCCCGGTGGCGCAGTGGGTTAAAGCCCTGTGCCGGCAGGACTGAGGTTCGAATCCGAGGAGAGGCGGATGAGCTCCCTCTATCAGCTCCAGCTCCTCATGCGGGGACATGAGAGAAGCCTCCCACAAGGATGATAAAAACGTCAATTCATCCGGGCGTCCCCTGGGCAACGTCCTTTCAGCCGGCCAATTCTCTCACACCAGAAGCGATTTGCAGTTTCTCAAGTCGCTCCTGACATGACCAAAAAAAAAAAGTTGTAAGAGACCTCATGTGGCCAGCATGTGGTCATGCTGGCCGCATGACCTTGGAGGTGTCTATGGACAACGCTGGCTCTTCAGCTTAGAAATGGAGATGAGCACCACACCCCAGAGTCAGACACGACTGGACTTAATGTCAGGGGACAACCTTTACCTAAGAGACCTCATGAGCCATCCAGTCCAACCTGCTGCAAGAAGCAGGAATATTGCATTCAAAACACCCCCAACAGATGGCCATCCAGCCTGTTTAAAAGCTTCCAAAGAAGGAGCCTCTAAAATAAGGACAATAAATAACACAAATATATATGTGTATTTATATGTATATGTGATATCAGATGTTTGATGCTGGTTTTTTCTTTCTATTTTAGCTTATTTTATTTTTGCTTTCTCCATATTCTTTATTTCCGACTTCTCTTTCAATCATGTTCACTCAGTGAGTTGTAGGTTTTTCAGGCTATACGGCCATGTTCTAGAAGCATTCTCTCCTGACGTTTCGCCTGCATCTATGGCAAGCATCCTCAGAGGTAGTGAGGTACTCTGAGGATGCTTGCCATAGATGCAGGCGAAACGTCAGGAGAGAATGCCTCTAGAACATGGCCGTATAGCCTAAAAAAACCTACAACAACCCAGTGATTCCAGCCATGAAAGCCTTCGACAATACATGTTCACTCGCTTTTGTTGTACAAGAAACCAGTTATCGTAGTCATGGCAATGACTTTTTACTTTGTAAAATGTGTGATGTCATTTTGGTTTGGTATTGTATGTTTTTATTCTACTCTTTACTATTATTATAATTTTTCTCCTTTCTTTTCTCCTCCTCCCGTTGATGTATTCTTATTAGTTTGTGCATATATGTGTATAGGTGTGTGTATATATGTAATATATATATATATATATATATATATATATATATATATGTATATATATATATATGAGAGCGGAGGAAGATCGATGCTTTTGAACTGTGGTATTGGAGGAAAGTTCGGAGAGTGCCTTGGACCACGAGAAGATCCAACCAGTCCATACTCCAGGAAATAAAGCCCGACTGCTCATTGGAGGGAAGGATACTAGAGGCAAAGATGAAGTACTTTGACCAAATCATGAGAAGACAGGAAAGCTTAGAGAAGACAATGATGCTGGGGAAAATGGAAGGAAAAAGGAAGAGGCCGACCAAGGGCAAGATGGATGGATGGCATCCTTGAAGTGACTGGCTTGACTCTGAAAGAGCTGGGGGTGGTAACAGCCGACAGGGAGCTCTGGTGTGGGCTGGTTCATGAGGTCACGAAGAGTCGGAAGCAACTGCGAATGAACAACAAATGTATGTGTGTGTATACATATATATATGTAACCTTCTTAATCAATGGAATCATAGAATCAAAGAGTTGGAAGAGACCTCATGGGCCATCCAGTCCAACCCCTGCCAAGAAGCAGGAATATTGCATTCAAATCACCCCTGACAGATGGCCATCCAGCCTCTGTTTAAAAGCTTCCAAAGAAGGAAAGAGCCTCCACTTGGTCTTTATCAGTTATTGGAATTTTTTTTTGTCGTGTCAGGAGTATCCTGTTGTGAGAGAATTGGCCGTCTGCAAGGACGTTGCCCAGGGGATGCCCGGATGATTTTGATGTTTTATCATCCTTGTGGAAGGCTTCTCTCATGTCCCCGCATGAGGAGCTGGAGCTGATAGAGGGAGCTCATCCGCCTCTCCCCGGATTCGAACCTGCGACCTGTCAGTCTTCAGTCCTGCCGGCACAGGGGTTTAACCCACTGCTCCCTCGGAGTCAGGAAGTTCTTCCTCATGTTCAAATGGAATCTCCTTTCTTGTAGTTTGAAGCCATTGTTCCGCGTCCTAGTCTCCAGGGAAGCAGAAAACAAGCTTGCTCCCTCCTCCCTGTGGCTTCCTCTCACATATTTATACATGGCTATCATATCTCCTCTCAGCCTTCTCCAGGCTAAACATGCCCAGCTCCTTAAGCCGCTCCTCATAGGGCTTGTTCTCCAGACCCTTGATCATTTTAGTCACCCTCCTCTGGACACATTCCAGCTTGTCAATATCTCTCTTGAATTGTGGTGCCCAGAATTGGACAAGCCCTATGAAGAGCGGCTTAAAGAGCTGGGCATGTTTAGCCTGAAGAAGAGAAGGCTGAGAGGAGACATGATAGGTATGTATTTGAGAAGAAGCCACAGGGAGGAGGGAGCAAGCTTGTTTTCTGCTTCCCTGGAGACTAGGACACAGAACAATGGCTTCAAACTACAAGAGAGGAGATTCCATCTGAACATGAGGAAGAACTTCCTGATTGTGAGAGCCGTTCAGCAGTGGAACTCTCTGCCCCGGAGTGTGGTGGAGGCTCCTTCTTTGGAGGCTAGATGGCCATCTGTCAGGGGTGCTTTGAATGCAATATTCCTGCTTCTTGGCAGGGGGTTGGACTGGATGGCTCTTCCAGCTCTATGATTCTAAGTAAAGAATCTATCTCCATACAACAAAATATATCCCCCCATCTAGATATGGAGCCAAGCTGCATTAATTCTATAGTGTAGATGCACCCTAGGTTTCTAGAAGGAAGGCCACTAACGCTCCTCCATAGAGAATGGAGGTTAAAAAAAGCCTTCAATCATAAGAGGAGTTTCAGTGTTTCGCCCAAACCCAATTGACGCAGCAACTGCACTGACGCCGCCATCTTGAGGGTGGCAAAAACGGAACAGGAAGCTCTACTTCCCTCCCTCCGGCAGTGGGCGCCATGTTAGGAGCGGCGTGGCGAAAGGGAGTTCAGCCAATCCCTAGCGAGGACCTGAGTCATGTGACACGGAGGTGAGCTGGTGCTTCAAGACTGAGCTGCCTCTGGGTGGCGCTGTCGGCTGTCAGCATCCTGTTTGTTGCAGGGAAAGGATTGCAGGTTAAGATTATTTTTGTAGTGGTGACAGATCTGTAGTCCTTCTGCTCTAGCTTTCTTCCAAATTTCTGGAGGTTTTCCTGCATATCTCTCTCTTTATGCCGGCATTAGCTTTCACGGCTCTGGCAGGAAGCCTAGCGTTTGGGGTGATGGGTTTGTAGCTGGGAACAACAGGGAATTAGACCCCCAGGGCTGAGTAATTGTAATGTCTGGTATCCAATACTGACATTTTTGTTTAACTGTTTCGATGTGCTGACTGGCACAACCTGGGGATCACAACCAGACACAGTGAAGACATCTGCCCTTGCGCTATGCTACTCTGCTGCTGAGTATGCATGCCCAAGTGTGGAACACATCTCACCACGTTAAAACAGTAGACGTGGCTCTTAATGAGACATGCCGCATTATCACAAGGTGTCTGCAGCACCCTACAACACTGGAGAAATTACACTGCTTAGCCGGTATTGCACCACCTGACATCCGCCGGGAAGCAGCAGCCAATAGTGAAAGGACCAAGGCAGAGACATCTCCAGCTCATCCCGTTTGGGTATCAGCCAGCACGTCAACAACTTAAATCAAGACATAGTTTTCTTAGATCTACACTCACTGAAACACCCCAGCAAGCGAGAGTCCAAAAGTGGCAGGCCCAAACCCAGCACCTCAATCCATGGGTGATACCAGATGAGAGACTCCCCCCTGGGCACTCAGAAGACTGGGCGACTTGGAAGGCGCTGAACAGACTGCGCTCGGGCACCACGAGATGCAGAGCCAATCTTAAGAAATGGGGCTACAAAGTGGAATCCTCGGCATGCGAGTGCGGAGAAGAACAAACCACTGACCACCTGCTGCAATGCACCGTGAGCCCTGCCACATGCACAATGGAGGACCTTCTTGCAGCAACACCAGAGGCACTCCAAGTGGCCAGATACTGGTCAAAGGACATTTAACCAACTACCAAATTTGCAAAATCTGTGTGTTTTTTTCTTTTTCTTTTTAATCTGTGTGTTTGTTTTGCTCTGTTAGAATTGTAATACAATGGTATGGTTGCTGATGACACGATAAATAAATGGGGTTAAATGGTGACTTCTGTTTTAAATCCAGAGTGATTGTATTGAGAACTTCCATGAGGTCAATTAAAATATTATATACATGCTATTTGCCATTCACAATAGGGGCCTGCTTTTTTCTAATATGACAGGAGACTGGTATTTTCCTAGTTCCAACAGACCTCACTACCTCTGAGGATGCTTGCCATAGATGCAGGCAAAACGTCAGGAGAAAATGCCTCTAGAACATGGCCATATAGCCCGGAAAAACCCACAACAACCCAGACTGGTATTTATTGCCTAGAGCAGTGTTTCTCAACCTGGGGGTCGGGACCCTGGAGGGGTCGCAAGGGGTTTTCCTGTGTGCCCAGAGGGGAGTCTCTCATTTGGTATCGGCCATGGATTGAGGACCTGGGTTTTAGCCTGCCACTTTTGGACTCTCACTTGCTGAGGTGCTCCAGCGAGTGTTACTGTAGATCTTAGAAAACTATTTCTTGATTTAAGTCGTTGACATGCTGGCTGATACCCAAACAAGGGATGAGCTGGAGATGCCACTGCCTTGGTCCTTTCACTATTGGCTGCTACTTCCCGGCGGATGTCAGGTGGTGCAATATCGGCTGTTGTTGTTCATTCATTCAGTCGTCTCCGACTCTTCGTGACCTCATGGACCAGCCCACGCCAGAGCTCCCTGTCGGCCGTTACCACCCCCAGCTCCCTCAAGGTCAGTCCAGTCACTTTAAGGATGCCATCCATCCATCTTGCCCTTGGTCGGCCCCTCTTCCTTTTGCCTTCCACTTTCCCCAGCATAATTGTCTTCTCTAGGCTTTCCTGTCTCCTCATGATGTGGCCAAAGTACTTCAACTTTGTCTCCAGTATCCTTCCCTCCAATGAGCAGTCGGTCTTTATTTCCTGGAGGATGGACTGGTTGGATCTTCTCGCAGTCCAAGGCACTCTCAGAACTTTCCTCCAACACCACAGCTCAAAAGCATCGATCTTCCTTCGCTCAGCCTTCCCTAAGGTCCAGCTTCTCACATCCGTAGGTTACTACAGGGAATACCATGGCTTTTGACTAGGCGGATCTTTGTTGCCAGTCTGATGTCTCTACTCTTTACTATTTTATCGAGACTGGACATTGCTCTCCTCTCAAGAAGTAAGCGTCTTCTGATTTCCTGGCCACAGTCTGCATCTGCAGTAATCTTTGCACCTAGAAATACAAAGTCTGTCACGGCCTCCACATTTCTCCCTCTATTTTCCAGTTGTCAATCATTCTTGTTGCCATAATCTTGGTTTTTTTGATGTTTAGCTGCAACCCAGCTTTTGCGCTTTCTTCTTTCACCTTGATTAGCTAAACAGTGTAATTTCTCCAGTGGTGTAGGGCGCAGACACCCCGTGATAATGCAGTATGTCTCATTAAGAGCCACATCCACTGTTTTAGCGTGGTGAGATGTGTTCCACACTGGGCATGCCTACTCAGCAGCAGAGTAGCATAGCGCAAGGGCAGATGTCTTCACTGTGTCTGGTTGTGATCCCCAGGTTGTGCCAGTCAGCTTTCGTATGATATTGTTTCTAGCACCCACTTTTTGCTTGATGTTCAGGCAGTGCTTCTTGTAGGTCAGAGCATGGTCCAGAGTGACTTCCAGGTATTTGGGTGCACTGCAATGCTCCAGTGGGATTCCTTCCCAGGTGATCTTCAGAGCTCGGGATGCTTGTCTGTTCTTAAGGTGAAAAGCACATGTCTGTGTTTTAGATGGGTTGGGGATCAGCTGGTTTCCCCTGTAATAGGCAGTAAGAGCACCTAGAGCTTCGGAGAGCTTCTGTTCTACCATCTCAAAGCTCCCTGCTTGAGCGGTGATGGCACGATCATCAGCATAGATGAAGCTCTCTGTCCCTTCTGGCAGTGGCTGGTCATTTGTGTAGATGTTGAACATGGATGGAGCAAGCACGCTCACCTGAGGCAGGCCGTTCTTCTGTTTCCGCCATCTGCTTCTCTGGCCCTGGAACTCAACAAAAAAGCTCCTGTTTTGTAGCAGGTTTCCTATGAGGCGGGTGAGGTGGTAGTCCTTTGTGATATTATACATTTTTCTCAGGAGGAGGTGGTGGTTCACAGTATCATAGGCTGCTGACAAGTCTATGAAGACAGCTCCTGTGATATGCTGCCTTTCAAAGCCATCTTCTATGTGCTGAGTCAGGTTCAGCACTTGCGATGTGCAGCTTTTGCCTTTTCTGAAGCCAGCTTGCTGTGGGATCAGACAGGGTGTCTATATTTTCCATAATTCTATGCAAAATAAGTCTCTCCAGAACTTTGTAGAGGTGGCACAGCAGGGAGATTGGTCTGTAGCTTTTTGGGTCATTACGGTCTTTGCCTGGCTTCAAGAGTGAATAAGGAGAGAAGTGCAGATCATAGCAAACACAATCACCACTCATATATTTCTCAGGAAAATACCATAAACGGTATTAAATTAGTTTGGGGACGAGGATGGGAACAGGAACGTGCATTGTCTTATTTAAATAATTCAACAGGAGACAATCTGGGTTTTTTTTTACTAAAAGAATAGACTTTATTAAGCACTGTAAGTCTCTCTCCATCATCAATAGATGAACAACGCGCCAAGATTCCACCAGCAAAAAACATTCCCAAAAGACACCCAAGCCTTCTGATTGCAAACCTACTGCGAGTTTCCCCTGATTTTGAGCAACCTGTCCAAACTTACACTGATTAAAAAAACCCAACAACCTATGGAGCTTGTTGTGGGGTGCAAGGATCGGGGAGATGGGGATTTGATTATCAAGGTTGTTTGGGGGGTAGTAAAGAGAACATTTATCCATCCACTAAGAACAAGTGTTATAGCATAAAAAGAAAAATGATAATCTCTTTTTAAAAGAAGGGAACAATGAATTTCTTATCACCATCCCATTTAAATAAAGCATGAGCTTGCAATTGACGGGGGATCACTAACAAGAAAAAAAAATCAGATTTACTCCATTCGGCAAAAGATTGGTTTGTATGTTTGTCTCTTTAAAGCTAAAATCTTAAGCTAAACATCTTTAATAGTGGTGGTGGTGGGGAGATATATAGATATAGATATAGATACGGTAAAAATGGAACTTCAAGGTTACTCGAGAAGGGTGTGTGAGGGGAAAGACTGGCTTAAAAGAACAACTGAGATTGAAGTTTTTACTTTTAAAATCTTACTAGGCATTTAGTTACTATCAACAAAGCATCTACCAAAATACAAGAGCAATGGTTATAGTCAGAAAAAGTGTACATCCCATCTGAGAGGGTAATATTATAGACAGATAAGGTGCATGTGGGAAGGGAGAAATCTTTCAAAATTGAAAAGGAAAAAATAATCTAATTTTAAAAATTAACTATAAAATGAGCAACAGTGTCTCTCCTTTATGCAATGACCAGTAAATAGCAATTAAAGACGGAAAGGTTTCTAACCAAGTGTGTGTTCATTAGGTTTCTTTTAAACATTAAAAATGGACTTCAAATAAATCAGCACAAGATAAAACCAGAACAAAGGAGGTTGTGGGGTGGAGGTGCGGGGAAAACAAAAATTAAAAATAGAAGAACATGCATATTTAGCAAAATACATGTCAGGTAAGTTAGCTACTATAATGATTCAACCTCTGCGGTTCAAATGCTGCTAACTAGATTAAAAATTAAAAACAAAAGAGAACACATTGTAGTTTGTTTAGGATTCTTATCGCCTGATCCTAACCATGTTTACTTAGAAGCAAGCCCCACTATTTCAGTGGGCTCACACCCAAGTAAGTATGCTCTATCTGCAGCCTAGGTTACTTTTAAACGTTACGTGATGAGGGGGGGGAAGTTGTTTGCCTTAACTGGCTTCTCAGTGGCACCGTGGCCTCTTTCACAGGCCCTAGTGTATACGCAGAAATGATGTGTGGACTGGGATACCCCCATTCCCTGCCACAAAAAATCAGGTCCCTGTTGAAACGTTTGTGATTTCCCCCCAGGGATCTAAGGGTTCACTTTTTTGCTTCTGAATCCGAGAAAAAAGTGGAATTCTAAACCACACCAGAAATGGTTTAAAAGCTGCTCATACATAGGATCTGCAGCCTTTTCTAGAGTACAATACACATATTGCAACTATATATATGAACATTTTTGTTTCTCAAGAAGTTCTGGTTAAACTGACTGGTAGCACAGCTTGGGAACCACTAGGCTAGTGGTTCCTGCAGTCCTGCCTCAAGATGGGATGAAAGACTCGTAAGAGATATGCGGTATTATTGGTCAATAAGTTGGTTTTAAGCCCCCTCCTCCCCCCGCTGAGTCACAAAACTATGTAGGAAGTATGCCAACGCTTCATGTTAAAACTGTATGGATTAAATTTGTATGAAGGCTGTTGGACTTCAAGAAACATGCTTGGAGAGCCTGGAACTGATGCCTAGTACAAGAAGCTAAAAGGGCTGGTTTTGTTCCCGCTTGAACTCATTTGCCAAAGAAGAAAGTTTCCTTTATCTGAACTCAATATAGTTTGACTATATTCTACTATAATAGTAGTAGTATTACTACTAGAAGAAACTTTTCTGATGGGTTTTTAGGGTCCAGTGTATGGCGAGGAAACAAAAAAAATCACCAGATTTTCTCAACCTCTAAGTTAATAGCATAGCAACAATTCATAATAAAACATGATCTCTCACCTATTGGTGTGAATACGCCATTGGGATCAAATGTGCAATGCAGATTCAGTGACCTTAAAGAAAAGGTCTCAATTTCTATCACCCAAGGACTGAGTTCCAGGAAGTGTAGCCTTAGTGTTACAGAAGTGGAATGAAAAAGAAGAATATTTCAAGAGCCCCACTCTTGCAAAGACCTGGGAACATCATTCAGTAGCATCTTGAGGTCCTATTTATGACAGTTAGCTTTGGTGCATCCTCACAGAGTAAATGTGATGGACACAAATGGATGATCTCAGTGTCACTATCTTATTTCCCAAACAAATATCCTCCATCTAAGCCGGTGGTGCTCAACCTGGGGTCCCCAGATATTTTTGGCCTACAACTCCCAGAAATCCCACCCAGTTTACCAACTGTTATGATTTCTGAGAGTTGAAGGCCAAAAACATCTGGGGACCCCAGGTTGAGAACCACTGATCTAAGCCATATCAAATTCTGCAAGTGGCCATATTTTGCACTGGGCCTTGTTTTTCCTCATCTATATAGCAGCATGCTTGACTCAGTGGTTCTCAACCTGGGGTCCCCAGATGTTTTTGGCCTACAACTCCCAGAAATCCCACCCAGTTTACCAGCTGTTATGATTTCTGAGAGTTGAAGGCCAAAAACATCTGGGGACCCCAGGTTGAGAACCACTGATCTAAGCCATATCAAATTCTGCAAGTGGCCATATTTTGCACTGGGCCTTGTTTTTCCTCATCTATATAGCAGCATGCTTGACTCAGTGGTTCTCAACCTGGGGTCCCCAGATGTTTTTGGCCTACAACTCCCAGAAATCCCACCCAGTTTACCAGCTGTTATGATTTCTGAGAGTTGAAGGCCAAAAACATCTGGGGACCCCAGGTTGAGAACCACTGATCTAAGCCATATCAAATTCTGCAAGTGGCCATATTTTGCACTGGGCCTTGTTTTTCCTCATCTATATAGCAGCATGCTTGACTCAGTGGTTCTCAACCTGGGGTCCCCAGATGTTTTTGGCCTACAACTCCCAGAAATCTCAGTTTACCAGCTGTTAGGATTTCTGGGAGTTGAAGGCCAAAAACATCTGGGGACCCCAGGTTGAGAACCACTGTGCTAGATCACTGGTTCCCAACCTTTGGTCCTGCAGGTGTTTTGGACTTCAGCTCCCACAATTCCTAACAGATGGTAAGCTGGCTAGAATTTCTGGGAGTTGTAGGCCAAAAACATCTGGGGACTCCAGGTTGAGAACCACTGTGATCACTGGTTCCCAACCTTTGGTCCTGCAGGTGTTTTGGACTTCAGCTCCCACAATTTCTAACACATTGTAAGCTGGCTAGAATTTCTGGGAGTTGAAGTCCAAAACACCTGGAGGACCACAGGTTGGGAACTGCGGTGCTAGATGGTAGACTAGGTTACACGTATCTTGTAGTACTAAGGTGACAACTTTAGCTTTTTAAGTTCATATTCAGGTACTACCCACTTCCAACATCAAATAAGGATCATCTGAGTTTTGACATGTATTACAAAAAATAATTTAAAGCAAAGATTTTCAAATGTCTGTGCAAAAATCATAATTTCATTGTGATGGGGGAGGTGATGATAATTGAAAATTAGTTAAGCTGCATAATTCTTCCTAGTTCAGTACCATCTGCCCAAACTTTTGATTTCTGACACTAAAAGCAAAAGTTTCTTTGATGTTAGCGCCATGTTTCAAAAATATCTTTTATCAGCTGCCATAAATACAAGTGAAAACATAGAACAGACTGGCTGGAGAAGGGTAAATCTACCACAAAGTATATGTAACACTATAAGGAACCGTATTTCAACAATTAAGAATAATATTTTCTAAAACCAGCCCAGGAATTCTGGCTATAAGTGAATCTATGGAAACAAGTCTCATTTTTCACAAAGCAAGAGTCACACCAGGAGGTATACAAAAACTCGTACAACCCAAGCATTACAGACTTCTCTCAGTTTTCACCTGACAGATTTAAACTGGAACAGAGGATCGTAATTACACCTTAGCCTAAAATGAACCCTTGCATCAAAACAAATGGAAATCTTGGAATCAAATACGCATATCGAAGTCAGAACTGCCTGGCCCAGCTTTGAAAAAAAGTCTTTGCCTAATACACTCGGATGACACCAAATCTCCCGAGGACATGAATCATTTCTCATTATGGCTTGTGTGTCACGGAGCAACGTGAGTCTCAAGGATCACACTTTTATATTTTGTCATGTCAGCAAGGGTGTTAACATTATGCAAGAAAAGAAGAGGCTTTAGAGTATGGCAATGAAACTCTAAACAAAATAAATTCAAAAGTCCAAACATACACAGGGAGGGGCCTTGTTGTTTGGATCCATGCAGGAGGATCGAAGCCTGTAGTTTTCATCCACGTCTTTAGTGCAATGCAAGAGTTCAAATGAAAATCCCTCAGGATTAAGTATCCCACCTACCACCAATATGGAAGCATTATAACAATCCAGTTTTCTTAAAAATGCAGAATGACTACAATGCTTTTGAGCTCAGCAAAAGTGAGCAATTCTCAATAAAATCATACCCATTGTGAAAAGGGACTGCTATAGATTGAAGGGAAAGCTATCTAAAATGTTCAGAAATGAAGTTATTTCAAACTTCCATTTTTTTCCTAGCAAGGAAAACAAAGAACTGTTTTCTGTATTATTTTGAGCTAAAATGAAATAGATTTTATCGTATTCAAACATTGAATTCTAATACTTGTATCAAGTATGTAAACAATATGTATTTGCTCACCCTTCTTTTGCCTAATTTCTTTTTAAAAACCAGATTATTCTTGATTTGAATGGTCATTGAATGGAGTATGTTCTACCCTAACATTGTAATTCTTACTCAGCTAGCCCTCTAGCATTTAAATTTTTTTCATCTAGGCTAACAGTTCTCAACCTGTGGGTCCCCAGGTGTTTTGGCCTATAACTCCCAGAAATCCCAGCCAGTTTACCAGCTGTTAGGATTTATGGGAGTTGAAGGCCATAACATCTGCGAACCCACAGGTTGAGAACCACTGATCTAGGCATTTCCCGCACTTTGAGGGATGTACCAAAGAAATCACAAATTTTAAAATGGAAGAAACTAGGATTCTGAAGAAGCTGGATATACCTCCTCCAGTGCTACAGTCTGTGCATCTGCAGAAAAATAGCGGATAGAAACCCCTGTAGTAAGAAATCCACAATAGTAGAGTGGATTTGATTCTTGGACCCGACCCTCCCAAGTGGTGGCCTTAAAAAGTAGACTACCACGTCCCATATTATTAAATGGCAGCAACATGTGTGTAACCACTTCAGCACATCCATGTTCGTGCTGCTGCCATTTTATGCATAGGACATGATGACCCCCAATTGGTCGAAACTGCTGATCTGAAGCCACAGATCCGGAGAGTCTACTATATTTTCCTGCTACAGTATAAGAGGGGTTAGCCTGTACCTGAGTCTCGCTAACTTTTGTGACTCGTTCAGGTAAGAAAGTCAAATTAATCTGCTTCCTATAGCAATACCTTCCCTGGCCATATGCTAAAGAAAAAATACAGAAAAAAAGATTGGATCCAGTAGCAAAGTATTCCACTTCTCAAGCACTGGAAATATGTATGAGAAAATTACAGCAGAAGACTGAGAAACAGCTCGAACGGCCCCCTCCCCATGTGATATTGCAGCGATATGCCAAACCTGGGTTGCAACTCACCAACCCAAGCAGGTAGATGTCTTCAAATTCTGGGGTACAACCTCAGAATTGGCAATGGTTAAGTTGCTTGGAAATTTATGCCATTGGCAGAGAGAGGAAGTTGTCCTTCCCCCGCAGACAATACTGTCAAGTTAAAGTGGCAAAAACACCCCCGGCGAAAAAAGGGTGCTAAATCCCTTCTCCCTGGGACACCTCTTCAAGGCGCCAATCCCTTTCCCAAACATTTTCAGGAACCCAAGGAAAAGGGTAAGCAATGTCCTGTTTGTTTAACACATGTATCATTGTGTCAGGGTGATTTATGCATATCCTTCCCACCCATAACCCTGGGAATAAAGTGAGTGCCTTTTACCACCACATCATTCCCACCCAGAGCAGAGCATGTGAGGGTACAATCAGGATTTAAAACAGTTCATTCTTCCCCACCAACTCTCCAAGATTGATTTAAATTATCTGAAGTGGAAGCTAGGATGTTTTCTTAAAAAAAAAAAACTAATTAAAATTACTGGTATTAAGTTTTAAGTCCTGCCTTTTTCTACAGCCATGCTACATAAGACAACTAAAAAAAGGTACTCCGGCCCCAATTTGAACTTTGTTTTCTTTAGAGTGAGATCCACTATACGAACACAATGCCGTTAACTCTACATGCTTCCCCACCAGACATACTTTCTATGTATTTCAAGTTAATACAGGGCGAAGAAGCATAATTTCCTTTTTTAAAATGCGCGCCATTCAGTCGGTTGAAGACGTAGCGGAGCGCTAGTGGTCTCGTTCGAGAGGCGGGAGTATAAAGTTTTGTCCTGACACAGTTCAGTCGCCATCATGCGTTGGAACAGTGAGGAGTGTGCTTTTGCTGCTGAGGCCTACTTTTCGAGCGGATTTGGAGTGGCCGGCCTGCTCTCCAGATCTGGCCCCTTGTGATTGGGGTTTTTTGAAATCTCGTGTTTATGTGAACTGTCCAAGGACCCTACAAGATTTGAAGACCAACATCCAGGAAGAAATTGCCAACGTAACGCCTGCTATGCTGGCAAGAGTCATGACAAACGCCAACGTCAGTGTATGGAGATTGGGGGACGTCACCTATCTAATTTGGTCTTCAAAACTACCTAAAACAAAACTTTAGGTATGCGCCTACATTATATTAAAAAATTCTGATTCATACAATGGGTTTTATTAAGTTTTGAAAAAAGGAAGTTATGCTGCCTCACCCTATAGAGGTTTGGGAAGACCTTTCTTTGCTTGCGATCACAGCAGTCAAGATGGTAAAGACCCTCGTTCCTGGGCGTTCTCACTTTGTGAATATTTGGTGTCAAGGAGAGATATATATAACCAAGAAGCTTGTATGTTAAGATATTGCTGAGCTTTCTAAAATGTATTTGGTTCAATATTAGGTCATCGTCATCCCTCCTCACCTTTAGAAAAAAGGTTAAAACGTGGCTGTAGGACAATTGATATTGTTTGACTATGGCATGGAAGAGGATTTGGGTAAGTTAAATGGAATATTCATTAGTAGATGGCTAGCTAAACAGCCACCAGACGGGCAATAGCTAATCAGAGTGTAAGTATACTGTTTTAATCTTTATTTATTAATGTTAATTGTTATATTTGTTATTCTGTATTCTGTATTTTATGATGCGGCATTGAATTATTGCCAATTGTAAGCTGCCCTGAGTCCCCCTAGGGGTTGAGAAGGGCAGGGTAGAAATGTTCGAAATAATAAATAAATAATAATATTTTGCAGGACTGCCATTTATTAAACCTACAATTCAAGCTCTTTGTTTGATTTTGCTGAAGGCAACCTGCATTGCCTCATCTAAAAGCAAGTGAGCAGTGCACATCTCTGCCAAAAAAGGTTTCTGTCTTCCCCTTGGAATCTGCTTGCTGAGGGAAAAGGGACTGGCGTGCAGCTTCAAATTATGGCACTTCCTCTGGGGGAAAATTTCTCTCATTGGCACCGATGTCCACAAAGCTGAGAGAGGCCAGGAATGAAGGGTCTTCAGCATCTTGACTGTTGTGATCTCAAGCCAAGTAAAGTCTTCGCAATTACTTAGAAACCAATAACTAGAAGTACACACAACAGAAGTGAGCTCTCCAACCTGCTTAAAACAGATTTTAACTGTCCTTTTATATTCACTGTTGCCAATTAGAGAATGGATGAGTGAATATCCCTCCCTGGTTTGTTTCCCAGAAATTTAGATTCAAGACTATATTGTCCTTGATTGTGTGCATTCCTTCTAGCTTAACCAGCTATACCGCTTTTCCTTGAATTTGTCTAATCGGTTTACAAATAGATCTGACTGTTTATCTTGTGAAAGAGAACTGCATTCACTTCTTATGCACTGTTATAAAGTACTTTCTTTTGTCTGTCCTGGTTATGTCAGAGGTGGAACTACCCAAAACAATCTTATGTTTTGTGGAGGAAGCTGGAGAGGAAAAGTGACTGAGGAGGAAGTTAAAATCAAAGCACATTTGAGAACTGTAGGATTTTTCTGAAAAATCTAGTCATCCAGATTCTGAAGCATGAGCCAAGGACATGCTTCACCGCAAATCTCCATGCATGGAGCCAGTTGGGGAAATTATTTAAAGTTCTCTTTTTCACAGACTTGTGTTCTTGTTTGCCCTAACTTCCACTTCAAATTAATCTCTTTTAAACCACCCATTTTACCCACAGTGTAAGCAAATACACTGTGTTAAAAATACATTATATGATGGGGGCAAAAAGAGTAGCCAATCCAGAGGGGCAAGGACATTCCCCAGCCATGCCCAGCACCAGAGCTTAGAAAAATTACTTCTCTGTACTACAGCTCTCAGAATCCAACTAAGATGGCTGTGGAGGAATGCTGGGAATCCTAGTTTAAAAAAAAAAACCTATGCCAATGAGGCATTGAAAACCTTGACCAGTAATTTCAAGAAGCTATCCACGCCTTTAAAAACGTTCTCATAACTGTTAGCACTAAAATTATAGTCAGTTATTGTTCTATAGCTAATACCTATGATTCCTAAGATGCCAACTGATCAGATTCTAGACTGTGTACGGAAGTGGCAGAGTACATGTCTGTAGCGAAGACTTTGATTCATATTCTCTCAGCCATTTTTAACAAGGGCAAGAACTAGAACCCTAACAACCATCGCTACCATCATCCACTAGGCTCTGGGTAGGACTGATACTATTATCTCCCCAACCCCCCACCCCACCCCACCCCCAACTTGCAAAGCGAATGGCAATATGCCCCTTTTCAGGTCACAACCATGTCATTTGCCCACAGTCCTGGAAAATGCAACAGCAAGTGCTTGTCTGTTTTTAGGATAAGAAGTTTTCTGTCTGATATCAAGAGACCTGACACATGGTGTCCCAGCAACCTTGTTTACAAGGCCCGTCACTGGGAACTAGCTAAGCAGGCCTTTAATTCATAAAACGCATAGCGCTTTGGAACGTAAGTTGTCTCCCGGGAACATTTTCAACCCTTCCGGGTTTGCCGCCTTCATATTTATATATAGCTCTATTCATGTTATATATAAATATAATCTCTCTCTCTTTCATATACAATAAAAAGCACAGGCTGACCACTCTACATATACTTTTGCATATACGCCGTGACAGCTGTGCCAATCTTTCTCTCGCTCTCTCTTTTTTAAAAATTATTTTGTCTCCCTCGCTTGACTCCACACCGTTACCACCATCATCCAAAGCAACACTGCTATTTGGCCTGATGGTGGGGGAGTTGGCAAGAAATAAACAAGGCAGGCAGGAAAAATCTGCCCCACTTTAAAATAAAACCTTGCCGGCTTTTTTTTTCTTTAAAAATATCCCCTTCCCCAAATCCATAATTCTTGTCCCCTAAAAATACTCCCTCCCCCACTATAAAATAAAAAATAATAAATCAAAACTCAAATAAACTTTAAAAAGAAGAAAAAATATCCTGCCTCCATGGATCCGATTGGCACAATAGCAAATTCAAAGGGAAGAGTGCAAAAAGCTGATGTGGTCACAACCCAGGTTGGGATGAGAGCCCCATGGCATTTCACTTGATCGCACACTATGAAAATATTTCCTGCTGACAAGAAAGCAAACCTCATCATAGAGACCCTCAAAAAGATGCAGTGTGAGGTATCTAGAAAGCTCCACCCGCGATCCCTCAGCCCCACAGCATTTGATAATATCAGTGTTCCAGGAATTTGCTACATCTTCCCCTCTTTCTACCCTCCACACTCGCAAAGTAATGGAGACACCACCTCTTCTTTCTCCACCCCACCCATTTGCCAACCAATCGGAGCCACAGTGGCTTCTATTCACTCCTCTTTCTGCAGAGCTTGGAAGGAAAGCTTGTTCTCCGAGCATCGTTCAGGGTCCCCACTCAGCGTCCCAAAGAAGGGGCTATTGTTATTGCATGAGTCAGCGTCTCTGGCTAAGGCACAAGGTGATGTGGCTGAGGGGTATGCTCCAGCGGCTGAGTCCTCACCCACCGCGGGGGTGGTGCTCGTGTTCCCATTCACCTGGGACTGGGGACGGCTACTGCTGCTGCCACCACTGCCACTGTTGTTGTTGTTGAACTCGGGTGTTTTTGCAGGCCCGTCCGTTGAACCCTGCCAAATACAAGACAAAAGTGTTAGCTAAAACAGCAAGGTAAACAACTGAGTTGGTAGAAGCAGGCTAAGTTAAGGAGAGTGAAGTTACCACCTGCGGCAACAAATTTTGGGTGTGAAGGAAAGATAGCAAACTGCTTTACCTCTACCTCACACGCCTTGGACAGGCATCCGAGAATTATGTGAGGACTATGTGGTGGAGGCTCCTTCTTTGGAAGCTTTTAAACAGAGGCTGGATGGCCATCTGTCAGGGATGATTTATTATTTTTATTTTATTATTAACTTTATTTATACCCCGCAAAATCTCCCGAAGGACTCGATGCGGCTTACAAAGACCAAGGCCGCCAACAAACAATAACATACACATACACACTAAAAGTCATAAGCAAATAAAAACATCAAGCAAAGCATTAGAACAATAAAAACAATGACACAGTGACGCATTTAAAACCAAGGGCCGGGCCAAATGTAATAGACAAAATTTAAAAGTGCTAGACTTGACAAGTGATATGTAGAGGTATTTGGAGGTAGGTGCAATGTGCAAATAATCCTGAATCTCTAACAAAGTGCATTTGGGACTTGATGCCAGGAGTTTCCTATTCTGGAAAGGCACACTGGAACAGCCAGGTCTTCAGGCTCTTCCTAAAGACAGCCAGTATTGGGGCTTGTCTGATGTCCCTGGGGAGAGAGTTCCAGAGTCGGGGGGCCACCACAGAGAAGGCCCTGTCCCTCGTCCCCACCAAATGCGCCTGTGACGCAGGTGGGATCGTGAGCAGGGCCTCTCCAGATGATTGAAGGGAATGCGTGGGTTCATATATGGAGATGCGATCACGCAGGTAGGCAGGTCCCAAACCATTTAGGGCTTTGTAGGTAATCACCTGCACCTTGAATTGGGACCGGAAGATGAACGGCAGCCAATGGAGCTCCTTAAACAGGAGCTCCATTCCTGCTTCTTGGCAGGGGGTTGGGCTGGATGGCCCATGAGGTCTCTTCCAACTCTATGATTCTATGACTCTGCAAGAGCAGGATTCAAATCCCTGCTCTGGCATAGAATTATACTGCGTGACCTTGGGCAAGCCATACTAACTCATTCTCAAGAGGAAATTGGCACATCTCCGAATAAATCCTGCCAGGAAAATCCTCTGATATGGCCACCATATGTTGGAGTTCACTTGAAGGCACATAACAGCAACACAATATTACAAGTATCATTGTAAAATGGATCCAATATAAAGCTGCACAGAATTCTCCAATGAGGATAAGAAGCCACTTCTATTCTTCACAGAATTCGCATTAATATTAATGGAAAGTCAATCTTCAAATGAGACCAAGGACATACACACACTTCACACGAAGGGTCGGTGAATCAACTCTGTACATAACAGACCTAGGTTAAGAGAGCCAAAGCTGCTTTATAGCACAGCTTTGAACTGTGTTAACGAAAGTTGCAGGTTGCTCTGAATTCTCCCACAGAATCTAGAGCAAATTGTGACTTTGAACCCATGTAAACAGTTGGCCTGGTTCAAAGATGGAACCAGAAGCAACTGTTTACACAGCCACTTACATGGTACTCATACACAACAGTCTTCTCATTACGCTGGTTAGCAGACACAACACGATCAATATAATTACGATGAAGTCATCACGAGAGAAAATATCCTTGGTGGCTGCTCTTAGGTTGTGGAATTCCCTTCTATGAGAGGTTCAGTTGTCCTGCTTGCTACTCTCTTATTACTAGCAGGCAAAGACTTCTTTAATTAGCCAAATCTTTGGCTCTTAATACATGTAGCAGAAGGGGCTTTTAATGGGATGCACTGTGCTTTTATATATATTTTATTTTTAAGTGTGTTCTAAAACTGGTTGAACTTTTGTGTTTTGATAACATAGTTCTTGGTTTTAATTTGAGTTCTGTGCTGGGAAAAGTTCCGAGCACAATTCAAAGTGCTGGTTTTGACCTATAAAACCCTATACGGCTCCGGCCCAGCGTACCCGTCCGAACGTATCTCCTTCTATGTCCCACCTCAGAGTTTAAGATCTTCGGGGGAGGCCCTGCTCTCGGCCCCGCGTCTATCACAAGTGAGCCTGGTGGGGACAAGGGACAGGACCTTCTCGGTGGTGGCCCCTCGCCCGGGGAAATTAGGTCATCAACATCCCTCCTCTCCTTCAGAAGGAAGCTGAAAACATGGATATGGGACCAGGCCTTTGGGTAATCTGGCAGACTGACAAGATAATGACAACCAGAAATTGGAAAGGACTATGGTAAGGCTGAATGGACTTACAGATATTGGAACTCGGTGAACGTTGGCCACTAGATTGGCTTTTAATTGTTTAATTGTTATTGTTTTAATTGATTGTTTTAACTACTGTGGTTATTGCTGTTATGTAATTTATTTGTTGAATTGTTGGCATCGAATTGTGCCGGTGTAAGCCGCCCTGAGTTTCCCCTCGGGGGTTGAGAAGGGCAGGGTAGAAGTGCCCGAAATAAATAAATAAATAAATATGGGGGGGGGGGGGGGGGGAGAGACCTAGCAATCTACTTAGTCACATAATCTAATACTATTGCTCCCTCAATGTTCCTGCCCTAGGAGTACAACCCCCCCCCCATGTACGAAGGTTTGTTTATGAGTTCTCCCCTTACAAATAGTTCTGCCCTTTTATCTCACCCTGAGTTTTTAAATCATTTTATGTACATGTGGCCCGCTCACTGTCATTATGTTTGGTTTACTGGTTTTTTTTAATGTTTTGTGTATATTGTTTATATGCTTATATGTTTTATACTTTAATGTTATGTTGTTCATTTTATTGCAATTTGTATTTTATTGCATTGTAATTTGTTGTTCGGGCTTGGCCTCATGTAAGCCGCTCCAAGTCCCCATTGGGGGAGATGGTGGCAGGGCCGTAGCCAGAAAAAAAAAATCGGGAGGGGTTGACATTTTGGGGGGGGGGGTTGAAAATTTCGCGGGGAGGGGGGTTGAAACCTGCCTCCTAGCTCACACTGAAGCAAAGAGCACAGCAGGGGTCAGAGCAGCCTTCAGTAGCCTGCAGCTATTGAAGGTCCATACCCTGTCAACCACCTCCACCAAGTCTGGCCTCCTTAATGAGAGCATTCAACACACACACACACACCCAACTTGGTTGCTTCACTACATCGGCTATTACTGCAAGTAATGACAGTGTGAATAAATTGCTTGAGATATTTGCCTGAGATAGTGCTTGCAGTTCTGGAGGAACTCTTAATTTTTTGCATCTCATAGACTTAGCATGGGGTTAACCAGTTAAAATTCATGAGTAAACCAGGTTTTTTTAAAAATCTGAAACATTTCGGGGGGGGGGGGTTGAACCCCTGAAACCGCCCCCTCGCTACAGGCCTGGATGGTGGCAGGGTATAAATAAAGTTGTTTATTATTATTATTATTATTATTATTATTATTATTATTATTATTATTATTACTTTCCAGGAGAAGGCCAAGCAGGTGCTGTTATTTGCATTTTGTCATTCTTTATATTTAAAAAGGTTTTTCATATATTCAGCAGATGCAGCTGTTATCTCTGTTTTATGGATATATGGATGAGAAAAGTAACACATGAATAAATCAGGAAGAGAACAGAGACTTCCTGGTTTTCAGAGACTTCCTGATTTTTCAAAGTCTCCCTGAGAGTGATGGGCAAAATCTCCAATAACCTTCTGTAGCAATCCTGTGGGGTTTTTTTTTGTTTCTCACTTTTACAGATTCAAAAGGAGTACATTCAAGCCTGCCATACAGTGACAAAAATGGAGTATGCTCAGAATGTGTAGAATGGCCAGGGAAAAAACGTAAGGAGAAATCCTTTACTTAGATATGCAGAAAAACATGTCACAATGAATAGGAAAATAATAGGAACACATACTTGTTTGTTCACTTTCTTGTTTCCTTTGGGGGATTTTCCAGAGTTATCACGGCCACGGCTGCATAAAAAAGGAAAACAGGTATATAAAAAGATCAGGTTTAGTAAAGGAAGAGAGTTACTTCATAATCCATTCTGCAAAAAAGTTAATGACTGGCAGTCCACGAGTTACCAACACCCAACTTACAAATGACTCATAATTAAGAATGGCGATGAGACAACAGGATTATTATCATGGGGGAAAGGTGTCTCCACTGAAGCTTTATCACTAATCCTTGTTTCCACAACAAGCCACATTTTTCAAAATCCAATTCTCACAGAGTCAGAAAGTGAAGTGAAATCTTCTAAACAAGGGCACAGAGAGCAAAACAGACATTATAGAAATGTTAACTTAGCCTAGCAAATATAGCCCTTTGCTCGGGGTAGGTAATAGCCAGGGACATTTTCTGGAGCTGAGAATTTTAAGCCAATAACTATGATAGGTGCAACAACAAAGATGGAGGGAAGGACCAACGACAACGTCTGACCCAAGGTGAGACTATGAGGGGACCAGAGCACACACAAGGCCAGACAGTGGGAAGCCACCACTGTATATCAATTATTTCCTTGCTGCCACCAAATATTTTTTTAAAGGTTTCTTTTGCTGCCACCCATCTATTATTTCATAGGCCACCTCCTTCAATAGAATGTTTAAAAAGCCACACAAAGTCTTCAGTTAAAATAAAACAAAAAATATGTAGTTTATTTGGTTCTGGAACATCCTAAGGGCTGAGGAAAGCAGTATATAAATGAAGTAAATAAATAAATAAGCATAGCAGTTTCAACAGATTACCAGGCTTTACTTGGACAGAGAAAAAGTCATATAACTTGAGTTTATTAAACAAAGTTCCCCACACAGGAATACAAACAGGTTATTTGGAAGCTTTTGAATCTTCCTTCCTCACCAGCACTCTAATCACTATAGAGGCCAACTATAGTTCTTCTCCTTCTTCCTGAAGGCCTTAACTATTGCCCTCAAAGAGGATTCTTTCATAGAACAAATAGTTCCCAAACTCTTCCTTCTCTTCTAAACTCCTAACCCTTCTTCCCATTCCAAACTTCCATCTGAACTAAAATGGCTGCCTGAGCATCTTCTCTTTCCCTCTCTCCCTCTGGCTCTGCCCATCTCCAGTTGCTAAATGTTTCCCTCCAATTTCATCAGCCAATCAGACTGCACCTCTGGCTATGAGGTTGCCTGATTGTTCCACCCCTCAGTTCTTCTTAGCTTTGGGAAGCCAGGCCTGTTTACTGCCTTTTATACTTTTACAGGCAGGCTAGTAAAGATAGCAGGCTATCTAATGTTGATTTATTCATCAAAGTGCACAAATTATAAAGAGAATTTAACAAATATCTAATGGGAGCTGTAGGGTAAAGCATCTGGAAGGCCAAACTATACTTTTATATGTCATTTACTTATCTATATAAATAAAAATGTAATGTTCGTTTGTGATACCATCAGAACTCAAAAATCACTGGGGGAATTGACACCAAATTTGGACACAAGACACCTAACAACCCAATGTATGTCCTCCACTCAAAAAAATTGATTTTGTTATTTGGGAATTGTTCTTGCTGGGATTTATAGTTTACCTACAATCAAAGAGCATTCTGAACTCCACCAGTGATGGAATTGGGCCTAACTTAGCACACAGGGCTCCCATGACCAACAGAAAAAACTGGAAGGGTTTGGTGGACATTGACCTTGAGTTTGGGAATTATAGTTCACCCATATCCAGAGAGCACTGTGGACTCAAACAATGATGGATCTGGACCAAACTTGGCACGAATATTCCATATGCCCAAATATGAACACAGATGGAGTTTAAGGGAAATAGACCTTGACATTTGGGAGTTGTAGTTACTGGGACTCAATACACCCAAATATGGGGGAAATAGAGCTTGACATTTGGGAATTGTAGTTGCTTGGATTTATAGTTCACCTACAGTCAAAGAGCATTCTGAACCCCACCAACGACAGAAATGGGGCAAAATTTCCACACAGAACCCCCATGACCAACAGAAAATACTTAAGGCCATCCAGTCCAACTCTCTTCACCAGGGCAAGAAAATGTAATTAGAGCCCTCCTGACAAAGAGCCATCCAGTCATAAATATAGATAGATATGATTCTCTCTCACACACAGATATATTATCATAGATTTGAAAGAGACCCTTAAAGAAGGACTATGATATGTTGCATATTCCAGAGTAGGAAAACCAGACACTCTCCACATCAACACTGACAAAGAAACAACAAGAAATACTGTTTATTATTATTATTATTATTATTATTATTATTATTATTATTATTATTATTATTATTTTAATAATAATAATAATTATTATTATTCCTTTATGCTGTTTACTCACAAGCATAAAGGAATTACATATATTAGAAACCAACACTTTCTCATTACTTTATTTTCCAGATCACCAGACTGGGCCACAGCAACGCGTGGCAGGGCACGGCTAGTTATTAAATGAAAAGCATAAGAGCAGCAGTAAAGTTCCTCCTCTGCCTCATTTGTGAGCAGTTTTTCCACCTCGCTACAGTTGAGGGAAAAGTCGGGCCCATTCCATTAGATCAAATGAAAGAGACATTGCTATGTGGCCTTCCACACCATGAAGAGTTTCTATTCAAGAAGGTCCAGAATGTAACTTTAAGAAAGAGCGTTTTAATTTGCTAATTTTCTCCTTCCATTCCCACTGCTTTTTATGCAGTCTTATTCATTAATAAGATCATAATCAAATCGACAGGATGCAGTTATGAAGCTCGTACCCAATTCTCCCCATGAGATGAAACACTCATATAAAGGGAATGACATGGTACATTTAGAATTTTACAAAAATAGGAGCTTAATTAGTTTGGGCTAATTAATCAGTGGGGGAATACTTTAATCAATGTAACTAAGATTATTTTGATGTCAGGGTTTTACACAACTATAGAAAGGAATGAAAAATGAAAAGTATTGTCGAAGGCTTTCATGGCTGGAATCACTAGGTTCTTGTGGGTTTTTCGGGCTATAGAGCCATGTTCTAGAGGCATTTCTCCTGACGTTTCACCTGCATCTATGGCAAGCATCCTCAGAGGTAGTGAGGATGCTTGCCATAGATGCAGGCGAAACGTCAGGAGAAATGCCTCTAGAACATGGCTCTATAGCCCGAAAAAACCCACAAGAACCTAAAAATGAAAAGGTCAAAGAAAAGCAGACTTTACTTATTAAACTGTTGATTCGCAAAACGGTTTTTCAACTTTCAAAAGGTTGTTTTAAATATAACTGATTAATTAGGTAATTGGTTAAAAGACAAACTGAATCAGCTTTACAGTGTAAATAGCTTGACAGCTTAAATCTACTTAAGTAAGCTTTACCAGTTTTAGGTGACTTGAAAGTGTATACAGTTGGTGCTCTACATTGGTCGTTCTGACTTCTGCAATTTGATTGCAGAAGGTCTCGGCGGTGGTCAGGGGAGCTTTTGCACAATTAAAACTTGTGCACCAGCTGCGCCCGTACCTTGGGAAATCTGGCTTGGCCATGGTGGGGTTGCCTCTGAAGACTGCCCGGAAGCTACAACTAGTACAACGAGCGGCAGCCAGATTACTAACGGGAGAATACTACTCCTCTGTTGCGCCAGCTCCACTGGCTGCCAATCAGCTTCCGAGCACAATTCAAAGTGCTGATGTTGACCTATAAATCCCTAAACGGCTCTGGCCCTATTTACCTGTCTGAACAGATTCTCCCCTATGAACCATCAAGGTTGTTAAGATCTTCTGGAGGGGCCCTGCTCTCGGTCCCACGGCCTTCACAATCGCGTTTGGTGGGGACGAGGGACAGGGCCTTCTCGGTGGTGGCCCCTCGGCTTTGGAACTCCCTCCCGATGGAGATTAGATCTGCCTCTTCCCTCCTGACGTTTAGAAAGCAGGTAAAAACATGGCTTTGGGATACTGAGTCAATAACTACTGACCTTTCTGGCGGATGGCGATGAATTTGTGATTCTTTTGGACAAACTGATTTTTGCTGTAATTTGTATGAAGTGTATGAAGTGTATTTTAATGTATTTTATATTGATGACCTATGTTTTTCTTATTGTATTGAATTTTATGTTGTTAGCTGGCCTGAGTCCCTCCCTGGAGGTGAGAAGACCGGGGTGTAAAAACCCTAAATAAATAAATAATAAAATGTTCTCTCTAGGATTCTCTAGATTCCCCAGTATAGTCAACTGTCCAGCAGATCGTGCCCGCTGAGTTGTGTTGAACGACCCAGTAATTCCTAAAGAGATGTTCTCATAGGTTTTTTTAAAAAGATTTTTAAAAGGCATGTATTGAGATTTAAATAACACCAACAGAGAAGATACTTAATAAAAATAGCCACTTTAAATTCATATTTTCTTTACTTTCTCTGGGATCTGTGCCCCTAGCTTCAGTGAATGTGGAGGACTGGCAGTAAGGCTGTCTTCTGATAGATAGGCACTAAGTTAAATGGGACTTATTTCCAGTTAATTCTATATGGGACTGCAACCTTAAGGATATTTAACTTGTGCTAGGCTTCCAATGAAAGTAAAGATAAATGGTAGGAAGGAAAAACTAGAATAATACAGAAGAGCAGACTGTGTGGCAGGGACGGTTTCAAATGGTGTACTTTAATATTTTGATAAATATTTTTTAATGTTTATGTATTGTATGTGAATTTGTGTTCCGGCATTAAATGTTTGCTGTGTATATGCTGTGCTCCGCCCTGAGTCCCCTTTGGGATGAGAAGGGCGGAATATAAATGTTTTAAATAAATAAATAAATAAAATGAGGGAGAGGCCTTGTATTACATGTGTTCTAATGCCAGGTGGTCTGTTGTAGTTCAGCGTGATGCTAACGGTGCTACTACTGGTAGGAGAGAGAAGCGGGCTGTGCAGGTGTTGGAAGAAGAGCAGCAGCGAAAGCGGATTAGGGAAATAATCATGGCCCTGAGCAATTATGAAGGTTTTTCCGATTGTGAGATGGGGGGGAATGCAGGGGAGTCAAGCAGGTTACTCGCGACTCAGACTCTTATGAGGAAGAACAAAGGAAGTGTATCCGTGATATACTTACCGCTCCTACAGAGGACGAAGATTTCATGGGCTTTGAAAGGAGTGATGGGTCTGGGAGTGACATGGGGGAAGAGGATGGGATTGACTGGACCCGTGTACAGGAGATTAGGGATATGTGTAACCAACCCACCTCCAGTGATGATTTTGAGGGGTTTACAGAGGAATGGCAACCGGGGAGCACTTGGCAAGATCTAAGTCTTGACAGACGCTGGCAGAGGTGGAGGGATGGGCGCTCGGGTTCAGCTGCAGGGAATGGGGCAGCGGTGAGAGATGATGAAAGGGTGGGGAGCTCCTCATTTTCTGATGAGGAGCTTTAGGATAAAAGTGAGTAGTGTTTGCATGACTCTTTGCAGAAGGCAACGTGCCTCTTTTGGGGTGTGAATCTTTGTTGCTGCTATTCTTGAGCTTGGGTCCTTGGACTACAGATTCCTGTGTTCCTGTGCTTACTTCTTGTGACTCTGCAAACTACAACTTCTACTCTACGGCTTGACTCCGGACCGCTTTGGGACAACGCGGTTTTTGCTTCTTGGACTTTGTTTACCTGTTTACATCGTGCTACGACTTCGGACCGTTTTGGGAACTGTGTTTTTGCCTGCTTCTAGTTTGCTTTTGTATCTTCTGTGAACTGTGTGAGTTTAAAGCGGATTGCTGAATACCTTAGTTAAACTGGATTATACGCCAGGATAATCCGGGTTATATTCCAGTTGCTTTTTTCACTTTGCTTTTGATATCAACTCTTCCTTTGCACTTTTAGCACTGAAGTAAGTGCTTCAAAGACTATTTTGTGAATAATAAAACTGTGTTTGAACCCTGCATTGTGTGTTGGGCTCCTTTAAGGCTTCTGGGTCTTGACATGGTCCCAGCTGGGGATGGGTGGCAGTGGAAATTAACCCATACCTGAATTGCTCTTTCAACCAAACTGAGAGAGCCCAGCTCTGACAATAACAATCTGATGCAACTGTTATGCCTTCCAGTGCTACTTACCCTTTCCCTGGCCCACCAACTGAGACCACTTGCATGCCAAAGGAGCCCTGCCCTCGGGAGGGTTTGCTTCCGGCCCACTGGCCCACCACCATCCCTGCAATCTCCAGTTTGCCCCCTTGTGGAGGGATAGGATGCAGTCCTAGAAAAAGGGCACATGCAGTAAGAAATAAAGAAACAGAGCTGGAGAAAAAACAACACCTCATTTGATTGTTTGTTGATTTGAGTTCTAGATCCTGTGATTGCCGGCTGAAACAAGAGGGCAAAAAATACTCACTTCAGTGTGCACTCCTTTGGTGCAGATGTGCCGTTATACAGATTTTATATGTGTGATTGTATCTGTTTATTTAATGGCACAAACACTTAACTACATATGGAAGTATATTATGTTTTCTGCAAGTGAAGGAGCATTTGGTTAGATGCCTCCCCTTAGGAAAGAAAAACTTTACAAGTTGAGATGGCTCATCTAGAACTCACAAGCGATTAGTCCCTTAAGTGTTTAAGTGACTTAATGTCCTTAAGGCCTAAATCCAGTTGCTAGTACTAAGAGCCTCATTGAATCAATGGCATTTATGTAAGTGTTGGACCTACTCAGCAATATTTTCAATGTGTCTAGTCCTCTAGGAAAGACGAGCAAGTAGATTCAGCCTCAGCAATTCATTGGCACTGTAGTATAACATTAATATTAATCACTGCAGAGGTTTTACTACCAGATAGTGCTTCCTGTTTTGGATTTATTTTTACAAGCAGATATGTGGGATATAAATAATATGAAAGACACACTTTAAGAATAAATAATCAACAAAACTAATGAACAGCAGAGGCAACTGGGAACCTGGCCACCTACCTGTGAAGCCTCTGGTCCTTCCAGGGCCTGGTGGTTGGATAGAGCCAAAAGTGCGAGGGTAAAGAGGCATTGGGTAAAAAGGTGGGGCCATAGAGGATACAAAGGGTGGAGGCGGGAGAAGGGGTGGTGGGGCCTGGCGGTTGAGGTTGATGCCTTCCAAGATGCTCTGTCTCATCTTCTCCACTTTGGACACCTGCTCGGTCTGAACATGGAGTAAAATGGAGAGAGAAATAACCAAACTAGGGCTTGGTGGTGTTATGGAAGTACCAACAATCCAGGCAGTGAATCGCTGGACCTCCTGTTACTGCCGTTAACATAAAATCTATGTTAAGAACAAATTGGAGTGTAAGTACAGTGAGGAAAAAGAAGCCCCTGCCCTTCATACATACTGAGCATATGTTATGGCCGACTTTGATCCAATCAACATTAAGTGCCTTATCTTTCCCACTGAAATCAATGAGACTTAGATGTACTTACCTTCAGGTGTGTGCAAGATTTTTTTAAAGTTTAAGTTTGTTTTTGAGATGGTAGGTGAAAAAGCAGACAATAGTTTTGTTCAAGGGTGTGGACCAGACAGAGTGGCAGTACTGCAATTTCGCATTTGTGCCTGCCATCCAACAAAAAGCCTATTCAGCTACCGAGTGTGGCTTAGAGAGAAAAGAAGAAAACTGAAGACATGTGATACTGAACAGCAGCAGCTTCATGGTTTTAATTTTTGCCAAGAAGCAGGAGTAGCTTGGTGACATGGAGTTTTAGCAGCAACATGCTTAGAGGTGCCAATCTCCTCTGGATTTAACTACAGTGTGTTCTAGGAGTGGTGAGCATGGTGTCTATGTATGTGTACATCTATGTGCATGCAGATTTGATATCCCACCCTGAGCCCTGGAACTAGTAGGCATGCCACTGAAATCAAAGATTTGTGCATAAAACAGTGGCAGCTGTGCCAACCACAGCATGCCCATTCTCTTCCAGGAATGTGGACACTTACCTGTCCATCACAGAGGTCGATGAGGGGTGCCTTCTCCCGTGTGGCTTTGATCAGCTTATTCTGGAAGAGCTTCCCATCAAAGTAGATCCATGGGCAGCAATGTTCCCAGGGCACAGGCTGCCCACAAGCATCATTGGCAAAGAGGGCTGTGTCCACCCCACTCATAAACAAAGCAGCCAGCTGAACACCCCTGGGATCCAGTTTCTCAATCTGCAAAAGAAGCAACGTTCCTTGGCCTTCAAAGAGCTCTTATTAACTGTCTCCCACTTTGTCCTTTAAGCTTGATTTAAGTGAGCTCTAACCCATGAGCCTGTGGGCATTTGTAACACAGTAATAGGATGCCCCTATTTAAAATCTCATTAGTCTTTCTACAGAGAATGTTGTGCAAAATGCCATTATTAAAGACTAGCTGTCCCCTGCCACGCGTTGCTGTGGCCCAGTCTGTTGATCTGGAAAATAAAGTAATGAGAAAGTGTTGGTTTCTAATATATGTTATTTCTTTATGTTTGTGGGTAAATAGTATTTCTTGCTGTTTCTTTGTCAGTGTTGATGTGGAGAGTGTCTGGTTTGCCCACCCTGGAACATGCAACATATCATTGTCCTTCTTTAAGGGTCCCTTTCAAATCTATAATATATCTCTCTGTGTGTGAATCATATCTATCTACCTACCTACCTACCTACCTACCTACCTACCTACCTATTTATATCTATGTCTGGATGGCTCTTTGTCAGGAGGACTTTGATTATGTTTTCTTGTCCTGATGAAGGGAGTTGGATTGACTGACAAGTTTTTTCTGTTGGTCATGGGGGTTCTGTGTGGGAAGTTTGCCCCGATTCTGTCATTCGTGCGGTTCAGATCGCTCTTTGATTTTAGGTGAACTGTTAATCCCAGTGACTACAACTCATAAATGTCAAGTTCTATTTCCCCCAAACTCCATCTGTGTTCATATTAGGACGTGTTGAATGCTTGTGCCAAGTTTGGTCCAGATCCATCATTGTTTGAGTCCACAGTGCTCTCTGGATGTTGGTGAACTACAACCCACAAACTCAAGGTCAATGCCTACCAAACCCTTCCAGAATTTTCTGTTGGTCATGGGAGTTCTGTGTGCCAAGTTTGGTTCAATTCCATTGTTGATGGAGTTCAGAATGCTCTTTGATTGTAGGTGAACTATAAATCCCAGCAACCACAACTCCCAAAAGACAAAACCATACTTTTTTGAGTGATGGTCACTCCTTGTGTTGTGAGACGTTTTGTTGCCAAATTTGGTGTGATTTCGTTCAGTGGTTCTTTTGTTTTTAAGGTACTCATTATGCACAGAGCATTTATATATATATAGATAGATGAATGCTGTTGCTCTCCTCTACCTCATGTGCCCAATGTAGTCCCCCCCCCCTCCCCAAGTTGTTGCTGGAGTCTGCTCAGACCACAAAAGGTGATGAAGGAGAGAAGAAAGGGGGGATGCCGCTCTTTCTCTAGCTTAGGCAAGGAAAGGGCAATGGGCTGGGAGCTTCTCTTCTGCCTCTTGTCACAGTGTTCATGGGCTGGGACCATAATAGGGAACTTACCCCTTCTTCCATCAGCCTTTTGATTGGGCTGCAGCCTCATTATTTTTCCCATTTTATATTCCTTTCCCTAACTGTATACAGATGTAGACATTTTGAGATCAGCAATGCAATTCCTGCCTTGACTATAATCTCTCAAATAAACAGATGATATTGGCCTATTCCAGTGTGCCTTCCCTGAATAAAGGAAACAATTCCCTGCAAAATGTCCTCAGAAGCACTTTAACTACCCGTTGGGTTGCTTTCCCTACATTTCTTTTAAACTCTCCTACTAGATACATCCTACCTCTGTTCATGCCCAGCGTTTATTTTTAAAATTTTAACTATTACATCTGGCCCGGCCATAGGTTTTTAAATCGCTGCGTGTTATTGTCTATATGTGAATTATATTAATTGTATTGTTTTATTTGCTTATTGCTTTGTTGTTTTTACTTATGTGTTGTTGGCCTTGGCCTCACGTAAGCCGCTTCGAGTCCCCTTGGGGAGATGGTGGCGGGGTATAAATAAAGTATTATTATTATTATTATTATTATTATTATTATTATTTAGCTCCTTCTAAATATGTTCTTTCTATGCATTTGTAAAAGGAGAGAAAAATCTTTTCCACTACCTTTTACACTTGATCTAGCCACTGACTAAAGTAAAATCCACAATGTATACTCCCAAACCTGCCTTCATTTATACATAAGACTACACAATAAGTCTGATTCTCATGAACTACAGAAGTTGTTAACGAATCTGTTTTAGGGCTATACCACTTCAGATGGCAAGAGGCTTTCCCATGACTGAATATTTATTATCTTTAATTAAAAAATTTACCGTATATAATCGAGTATAATCCGACCCGAATATAAGCCTAATTTTACCACAAAAAACCGGGAAAATTGATTGACTCGAGTATAAGCCGAGGGTGGAAAATGCAGCAGCTATTGGTAAATTTCAAAATAAAATTACATTAAATAAAATTACATTAATTGAGGCATCAAGAGGTTGAATGTTTTTGAATATTTAAGATAAGACTGCCCAACTCTGATTAAATCATTCTGACCTTCTTCAGAATGTGCTTGTGTAGCCTTCCAATAAAAATAAATAAATCAAAATAATAAAGGTAATAACAATAATAGAGTAATATAATGGAAATGTAATATTAACAATAATAATAAATAGAGTAAAATAATAAATGCAATAATAAAAACAATGAAGTAAAATAATAAATGTAATAATAATAATGCATTTATTATGTATTTATAACAGAGTAAAATAATAAATAACCTTGACTCGAGTATAAGCCAGGGGAGACTTTTTTAGCCTAAAAAAAAGGTCTGAAAAACTAGGCTTATACTCCAGTATATACAGTATATCCTATCCTATATTTTAGGCTCTCAAAGTGATGTTTAAAAATCACTTTAACAACTCAAAAGCAATTTAGGACAATAGAAAATAGTGTAAACAGATTAAAACATATTAAATAACTACAAGTTAAAAACATGTTTAAAACCAAGTTGAAATACATTCAAAAATGAAAATTTGAACAGAACTCTTTTGACTCAAAGTCTTTAGTAAGAAGTCATGCCTTTACTTGGCACTGAAATGACACCAATGTGAGTACCAATTAGGCCTCTAGGGTCCTGTCCCGTCCCGTCCCGTCCCCCCCCCCAATAAATTGAATGTCATGTCAAGGCGGTTATTATTATTAGTCGTGTCAGGAGCAACTTGAGAAACTGCAAGTCACTTCTGGTGTGAGAGAATTGGCAGCCTGCAAGGACGTTGCCCAAGAGATGCCCGGATGATTTGATGTTTTTATCATCCTTGTGGGAGGCTTCTCTCATGTCCCCGCATGAGGAGCTGGAGCTGATAGAGGGAGCTCATCCACCTCTCCTGGGATTCGAACCTGCGACCTGTTGGTCTTCAGTCCTGCCGGTACAGGGCTTTAAACTACTGCGCTACCGGGGGCTCCTTATGTCAAGGAGGTGTGGACCCAGTAGTGAGAGGACATAGGTAGGCCATGCCAGAGAAAGAAGTCAGGGAGAAAATCAATGCATAGGTGAGATTCTAGCTGCAAGAATCCCTCCTCCCACTAAAAAAAACATAGTTATGTATGGAACACATCTGCATGAATATGCATTCATACGTGTTCGTTCCCACCTGAATTGGGGCAGTCCATTTGTGAGAGAAAGACCCGAGTTCGAAAGGAGATGTTTTGTAGAATGGAGAACTTTGGGATTATGGTGGTGGATGGAGACACTAAGAACAGTGTGATAGCAAGAGAGAAGACAGAATGGGGTGGGGGGGGGGAGCAGTAGGTGTACACGGGAGAGAGCATCCATGAAAACCTAAACAAATGGATATGAATAAAGACAGGATCCATGATGTTTCCTCTCTTGAGCCATAACTTCTCACTTGGGAACTTTCACATGTCCTCAGGACCCCTTTTCAATATAAATATTGCAGAGATCAAATCCAACTATGACTCTACCTTCAGTTCTTGAAGTTGATCTGGCTCATACAGCTGAGCTGAAACAGCCTGGGTCAGGAAGGCATCCAACTCATGCCTGTGCAGGATCCGCCCCCCTGGCCACTGGATCATGTACCTTTTTTATAAAAAGAGAAAAAGATGAAGGAGAAGAAAAGAGAATAACTTCTGCTTTCTTGGAAACTTGGATGAGTACAAGAGTACTTTTTTCTGATTGTAGTCTGAGCCTTAATACAGGGTATTATACAGGTGCAGCTTCACACTCTCAAAAATGTCTTGATTTGCTAAGCTTTTCTGAATTCATGACAATAGATTGGGCAAGAGAAAACTTTGGCCCTCTAGGTGTTTTGGACTTCAACTCCCAGAAATCACAACTGACTTACCGGCTGTTAGGAATTGTGTGAGCAGATGTCCAAACAACCGGAGGGCCAAAGTTTGCCTGTGCCTGTGATAAGATGGTCAGGATCATATTCATCACAATTTAAGTAGAGGGGGAAATCCTAATCCCGAAGGCAGAAGAACTCACAAACCTGGCTAATTCTACTTTTATGTAATTAAAAAAAAATAAACTAATAAAAAAACCTCTCACAATGAAACACATTCCCCACTGAAACCCCTTAGATCAGTGGTTCTCAACCTGGGGTCCCCAGATGTTTTTGGCCTTCAACTCCCAGAAATCCTAACAGCTAGTAAACTGGCTGGGATTTCTGAGAGTTGTAGGCCAAAAACATCTGGGGACCCCAGGTTAAGAACCACTGCCTTAGATGAGCGTTTCTCAACCTGGGGGTCGCGAGGGGTAGTCAAAGCCCATTACAAAATATAGAATTTTCTGTTGGTTGTTGGGGTTCTGTGTGGGAAGTTGAGCCCAATTCTATCATTGGTTGGGTTCTTTGATTGTTGGTGGACTATAAATCCCAGCAACTACAACTCCCAAATGTCAAGGTCTATTTTCCCCAAACTCCACCAGTGTTCACATTTGGGCATATTAAGCATTCATGCCATGTTTGGTCCCGGTCCATCATTGCTTGAGTCCACAGAGCTCTCTGGGCGTAGGTGAACTACAACTTCAAAACTCAAGGACAATGCCCACCAAACTTTTCCAGTATTTTCTCTTGGTCATGGAAGTTCTGTGTGCCAAGTTTGGTTCAATTCCATCGTTGGTAGAGCTCAGAATGCTCTTTTGATTGTAGGTTAACCATAAATCCCAGAAACTTCAACTCCAAAATGACAAAATCAATCTCCCCACAAACCCACCAAATTTGGGCATATTGAGTATTTGTGCTAAATTTGGTCCAATGAATGAAAATACATCCTGAATATGGGATATTTACATTACGAGTCATAACAGTAGCAAAATTACAGTTGTGAAGTAGCAATGAACATAATTGGTTCATACATAACCAACATAATGGTTGGGGGTTCACATAACCAACATAATGGTTGGGGGTCACCACAACATGAGGAACTGTATTAAGGGGTTACAGCATTGGGAAGGTTGAGAAACACTGCCTTAGATGGAATGCCTCACTTACACTCATCCTTTCCAACTGTCCTTTCCTGTGATCTTCAAAACACACATCTCAATATTCACCACCTTTCCTCCACATACCCTTCCTTGCAAGGCTTGTACCACTCACCGTAGCACACAGCACATAAGCAGCAGGTGTGTAGGGACATTGGCAGGGTTAAGCATGCCAGGCGTGTCTGATTTCATGCAGGCCAGGAAGGCTCTCATGCGTCGGTTCTTGTCTTCCACAGCTTTGCCCAACCATAGCTTCTTGAGGTTGGGGCAAGTCCACTCCCGAAAGGCAAGGGCTGAGACCAGTTCTGGAGTCTGGGGTGACTTCCCCTTGTACGCTGACCATTCTTTAATGATAACAGGATGAGCTGTGTAGGGAAGGAAAAGCTCATAAGATCAAAAGATAAATGGCTTCCATGAGTTTTGAGAAGGAGAAGGAGAATGGACACAACTGAGTATGCTGGATTCCCTATCCCTGTGTATGCAAGACAGGGCCAATTAATTACCAAACATGAGCGATGATTCAACTGGTACAAACCAGTCCCATTTATGTTAATGTTACAAAACAACTCTGTTTCCTCAAACCTTCTTGGTGTTTGGAATAATTTTATAAATGATGCTTATTAAACCAGGTAATATGCGAGAACAAGCAGAAGTCCAGGCATTTATTAAGTCAGATCTCCAGACCCACTACTTCCTTTGGATGTGTCTTAGTGCTGGCCTTAGTGCTTTCCCACTGGAGTGGAAATCATCTTTTGGACAGATGGCAAGCTGTTTAACACTGCAGTCAGCCCTCCACATCTGCTGAAGGGCCCACACAAAAGATTTTGAAAAGTAGTATTTTTATTTTATTATTTAGATAATTTTAACCTCACTCTTCAGAGTGGCTCATAAAAGAACCCCACAATTTTTATTTTATTATTTAGATGAGATAATTTTATCCCACTCTTCAGAGCAGCTATACACACACACACACACATACATATACATACACACACACACACATACACATACTTGCTCTCAGGCTGTGTCTAGCTGACTGCCTCTTTCCCACATACTTGGAAGAACGCCTCTCTAGGAATCTCTAAGTCTTCCAGTCTACTTCTGCCAGATATGGACCATAGAGTTGTGCTGGAGGACTCAAAGATTCCCAGAGAAGTGTTCTCTCTAGGAATCTCTAGGTCCCCTAGTACTGTACACTTAACTTTTGGTGGTAGTGGATCATAGAGCCTAACTGGGATACATGGAGCGTCCTAGAGAACCCTCCTTGATCAAATCTACAAATAATTAAATCCATAAGTTAAAACCCTCAAATGTTAAACCTGCAAATGTTAACAGCTGACAATACAGCAACAGCACTATACTACGTAGGGCTGCCCTTGAAAAAAGCTCGGAAATTCCAACTGGTCCAATGGGCAGCAGCCAGGATGCTAATTACAGAGAGAGGTCAACCCTCCTGTTCAAGGAGCTCCACTGGCTGCCGTTTATTTTCCGAGCCCAATTTAAGGTGCAGGTGCTTACCTACAAAGCCCTGAACGGTTTGGGACCACCCTACCTGCGTGACCGCATCTCCGTCTACGAACCCACACATTCACTTCGGTCATTTGGAGAGGCCCTGCTCGTGATCCCGCCCGCGTCGCAAGTGCGCTTAGTGGGGATTTGAAACAGGGCCTTTTCTGTGGTGGCCCCCCGACTTTGGAACGCCCTCCCAAAAGATCTTAGACAGGCCCCTACATTGGCAGTCTTCAGAAAGAACTTGAAGACCTAGCTGTTCTGATGTGCCTTCTCAGATTAGGAACCTCCAATGCCAAGTCCTAGTAGCACTTTAGTAGAACTAAGATCACTGCACACCGCACACTGCACTTAATTTATAATCCTACATACCTCCTGCCACATCAGCACTTTTAATCCTGTACCCATTACTCTGGCCGGCCCAGTTTTATAGTGTCTCGATGTATTGTTATTGTTGTTGTTTATTCTGCTTAACTGTTTTTAATTTGCTTTAGGTATTGTATTGCTGTATTGTGTTTTTGAGGCCTCGGCCTATGTAAGCCGCATCGAGTCCTTCGGGAGATGCTAGCGGGGTACAAATAAAGTCATAATAATAATAATAATAATAATAATAATAATTGTACAGTGTGAAAGGACCCCAAGCTGATATTTGAGATGTTTGCAGCCAAGGACTATTCATGCCCCCGGAAACCTCCCTGATGTATTATTGGAAGACTAAAACACAAAAGGACATGATTGCAAGTGGTAAGCACACATTCATTTGAGGGAAGCAGACATTCACTTACTTTCCACCGGGATGCGCTTGCGCACAGCCAGGCGTTCCAGCCGCCGCTGAGTCTCAGCCACACTGAAGAGAACCCCATATACATACTGCCTGGCAGCCCGGAAAAGGACAACCGCAGGGGGCAGCTCTGTATTGCATTCATCTTCAATGCACACAGGAATCTTGATTTCACCCTGGAATTGTGTTGGAAAATAAGAGTGCCTCCTTCAGTGCATCTTTCCAAAATCCCTAGATCCCCCATGAGAACCCACTGCCCCATTCTCACCTTGGTGAGGACGTGGTAGATAAAAGGGTACATAAGCCCACGGCGATGCCTGTGTTCAGCCACACGAAGCACCTCGGGGGCAACTGGGGGCAGGGGTGGTGTGGTGATGTCCATGTGGTTACGTGTGGCCATGGAGAGCAGTGAGGGGATGTGGGCCTCAGTGGACCCACTCAAGTTCCTCTCTTGGTTGCTGCTGCCCCCTGGTGGCTGCCCCCAGCCTTGGCTCATCACCTTGTCATTCCCAGGATCCTCCCAGCCAGACTTGCGAGGTCCGCTTTCAGATACATGGCTAAGGAAAAGAAGGAATGGAAAGAGTAGTGCCTCCACATTTCAGGCAAACCTGCAATGTCTTCACTTCCTCTCTCATCCCCTCCCCACAGACAGGATCAGGAATCCTATGAATCCTGACTTTTTCATTCCTTTCATGTTACTTTTTGTCTAAGCTGCTCCACTTTCTTAGAGAAGAGCAGTCGTGGTGTCTGGCTCATCTTCCACTGCTTCCACCTAGAGTTTAAGTTACGGGTCTCGGGACCCTTCTCGGCCCACTCACTTGGAGCTGGTTCCATTGTGTTCTTCTCCATCAGATGAAGAGGAAGGCGAAGAGCCAGGACCAGATGATGGGGAAGGTTTGGAGCTCAGGTGGTGGTTAGAGAACTTGGCATGTGAGTTGTCATAAGGTATAGACCAGTTGTTGTAGTGTCCCCCCTTCAAGGAAGGGTCTTCATGGAACGGGGCGGAAGGATCCGTCAGTCCATGAGGTGAAAAGAGAAAACTGGAGCCGGGGCCAGGAAGAAACGATGAGGGGGCAGCAACACCACCGTGTGGCCCTGGTGGCTGGTACGGCATCTTTGGCCCCATATGAGGTGCAAACTGGATGCAAAAGGGAAGTAGGGGGAGGAATTCATGAACTATAGTTAGGCTTGAGGTGGAGGTCATAATTCAGTAGCAGAATATCTGTGCTCTCTATATAACAACAACAACAATTCTTTATTGATTAGTCAATTTTGACCATATCAAAACATGCAAAACATACAAAACATACACACTTGCCCATACATATATGAATACAAGGCATCCCGGCCTACTGGCCTGTCAACCCACTCCTAAATGATTGTGCAACTACAAGATAAAACAATTAAAAAATTAAAAATTGATTAATTCCTTAAAGTAGGGTTTGGACAGGGGCGCGGGTAGGTAAAACTAGTGGCATGTCCATATTAAGTTTTTAAGTTTAAATTTCGCTCTCTATGTAACAATGTCCTATGTTCATTCCCTAGCATCTTCAATTAAAAACACAAGATATTAAGTAACTGGGAAAAAAGTTCTCCACCTGAAATCTTTTAGAGTTGATAACGGAGCAAAGCCACAGGGTTAGGTTTGAACCATTATTCTGAGTGCAAGAAAATGAATATAATAAGGGCACTCCCTCTCATTAAGAGCCTATTCAGCCTTTTCCTAATATCTGTACCTCAAAAATCATGAGTTAAAAAATCGCTGTTTACCAAAAACAAGAGCCATGGTAATAACACATAATGCCAAATTCCACAGAAAAGAAAACCTCTGAATTTTGGTGGAATCATACAACACCATTAATAACACCTTCTCTGTGGTGGCCCCTTGACTCTGGAACTCACTTCCCAAAGCCATTAGGCAAGCCCCTACGCTGGCAATCTTCAGGAAGAATCTGAAAACTTGGTTATTCCAATGTGCCTTGAATGTAAGGTACTTCTTGACCAAAAACTTTGCACTACATGACCTCAGTAGCACTTTATTTATGGTCCATGCAATTAAATCCTTCCTCATCCCTGGACCCCCCTCCCGATGTTTTTTTAATAATAATAATAATAATAATAATAATAAATGTTTGACATTGTCCTATCTCCCAGTGTTTTAAATTTTTATAATTTTATCCTGAATTTGGCCCTGCCCAGCGAAATCTTTTGTGTTTAATGTCTGATTTTATATTGTTGTGTTGCTATTATATTGCTGGAGCCCCCAGTGGCTCAGTGGGTTAAACCCCTGTGCCGGCAGGACTGAAGACTGACAGGTCACAGGTTCGAATCCGGGGAGAGGCGGATGAGCTCCCTCTATCAACTCCAGCTCCTCATGCGGGGACATGAGAGAAGCCTCCCACAAGGATGATAAAAACATCAAAATAATCCAGGCGTCCCCTGGGCAACTTTCTTTCAGACGGCCAATTCTCTCACACCAGGAGTCACTCCTGACACGACAAAAAAAAAAATTGTATTGTTTTGCATATATGTATTTTATTTTTTGGTTTTATTATGTTCTTGTGTTATATTTGTGTAATGTACTGATAGGCGTGGCCTCATGTAAGCCGCACTGAGTCCCCTTGGGGGAGATGGAGCGGGGTATAAATAAAGTTTTATATTATTATGATGATTATGATGATTATTATTATAAGAGGGCAATTCCTGCATAATAAGAAGAGGGGAAATTCCTGCATTTGAATCTTCAAACAGAGCTAGATGTTTGCGCAGCAAGAAGGTGCAAGGGAAGATCTACCTTTGCACAATTCAGCCTGCCTGCTGCAAATGCAGAATTGGTCTTTGATCAACCAATTTACACGCTATGCAGAAAAGGTTAGAATGATATGGTAGAGTTCGTCATATGACTTCACAGTCACTACAGTTGCAAGCAGGGGTGTCAACATTTTTCAACACTTACTATAAGCGAGAGAAAATCTGGATAGATGCTGGCTCCTTAGTGTTCAGTTTGTTTCATTGGGGTGGGGGGCTTTTTACATGGCAGGGTCATTCAAGTCCCCCCACACCATATACACCTATTGTCTGAAGACATAGTCCAAAATGTCATATCATGCAGTTTTGAGGTGCTTAATTTTTTATTTTTTTTTGCTGTGGTCTGGGCTTGTAACAGTCTCTTGAGTAGTTTGATGAGCAGTACAGAAGTCCTGCCCCTATTGTACTCATGAGAAACACAGTTGTCGTCAAACTATTATTTCAAGTTCAGTTTAATCCTAAAGCAGATCTGAGCACTTACCATGGCCTTCCCAGAAGGAAGAGGTATCACCGGATTGCGATTCATAGGTGCTGCCCCTCCAAAATGGTTGGGCCCAAAGGCTGGGACTGAAACACAGAATTATCACCTTATTATACAAAATATACTCTTTATCCCAGCACGCCCTTGCCGGGATCAATAAAGGGCTGGGTGGGGATCCGGGGAAATGTGCAAGATGGTTAAGGGGGGGGGGGGGGRTGGGGATGTGGCTTGTAAAACTCATTGGAGAGTTTTGTATGGCTGTTGTATTTTGGGGTTCTAAGACATAATCATTTCTGCAGTTCTCAAACCTCTGATTTTCATACTTTTATTTCTTCATGAAACCCTTCAAAATTCATTATACAGGCTACAAGCCTTCTCCTCAAAAGTCTGCACTTTTAATGCTCTTTCCCTTGGTATTTGCAGTGTTTGTGTACCTTGTTTTAACTGAAAAGCATGCTATTTGACTCTTATTTGATGTCTTACATTTTAATGTTTTCAGTTTTTTTCCCTTTTTCAGATACCTCTTCGAAAAAAAATTACCTACTGAAATACAAAAATAATATTTGGGATACTCTGTAGTGAAATTCTTCAGTTATGAAAGAGAACAGTTCTCAGTCTTTAATTTTCCACATTATTTGGACTTCTGGGAATATAAATCTAGTTTCTGGAGAACCACAGGTTGTGAACCACTGTCTACAGTGCGTATGTATTTTCACAAAAAGCAATAGCAACACTTGTGTGGTGCTCCATGTGAATTGGACAATGAATTACCATTCATCTTACCGAATAACCTCTGATAAATATCTTTTGAGCCTTGGGGCCCTGTCAAACATAGCTGGGGAAACAGTCTGGAACAGTGCCTTGCAAACATCTCCCCAAATCTCCCAGCAGAAGACTGGGTTGAAAATAAGCTAGAAAGTCATATCTCACTTGAAGTATCTGTACTCAAGTGAGATATAGAAAAATCAGAGTGAAAAAACTGACTGAAATGATAGATGTCAGCTATTCCAGCCTAAAAATGAGATGCCAGAAAGAACAATGAGAATGTGACGTAAGTTACTTTAGGCTGATATGGCTTCTATATGACTTTCCTATTCAGGGATCAGTAAACAGAAGATTATCGTCCACTAGAAGTTCATTATTAAATTATTATTATTATTATTATTATTATTATTATTATTATTATTTAATAATAATAACTAGAAAATCACTAATTTCCAGTAGACAGTCTAATTTCTTCTGTTGCGGGGAATCTTGAAAAAGATGCTGGTTACAGCAAAGCAACAATATTTTTAAATGATGACTGAACACTTCTCAGAGATTAGTTATGCCTTTGCTACTAAAGATATCTGTGTATGCACTTTTGCTCTGTGAATTTAAATACATGTCTATGGACAATGAGGATGAGCTATTGAGAATAATTTACTACAACGACAGAATGTGGGAATGGCCCAGAAAGATTACCAGCACCTGGCCCAGAAAGGTGCTCCTGTGCCTTTAATGGACTTGGCATAGAGAAATCCAACAGATGGAGCTCCTGGTTTTGGACAGTATTATCACTGAAGAAACCGCTCCAAAATTAGCCACCTAATTATTGAAAGGACCAAAGCTTTCTTTGGGCCAGGAGGTGGTAACTAAAGTCCAGACTTGACCTCTCTTAACAGAGGGCGCTGTAGAGTATCAGGCAGGGCCTCACCTTCTTGGATAGCGGGAGAAAACACGGTTGAGAGAGAGGTGAAGTTGACCAGCGTCGCCTGGATACTCACGAACATACGGGGATTGGCCCATTGGCGTAGGGGGTGCCTTCGTGGCCACTGAATAATATTCTACAGCCTTCTTGAAACGCTCAATTTTATCCTCGGTTCTGGACTGGGGAGAAATGAGAAGGAAGGAAGGAAGTGATGGGTAGAGAAAGGTGTGCCATCAACTGCAGCTATGGAATTCAGTGTGGGAATCCTACTAAAGGTGGCTATAGGAACTGTCAAGTCAATCATTCCTAAATATTTTATTTCATTCTTGATTTTTATTCCCATGTCAACCTGTTTCATAAATTCTTCTTCTTCCTTTTTTGTGCAATTAAATAACATCATTTCTGATTTTTTCCAATTAAATTTGTAAACCTGTTATTTTGCCAAATATCTCTAAATGTGACTTTATTCTATCCATATTGCCACATATATTTTTAATAGTCAATAATGTGTCTTCAGCAAATAAACTAATTTTTTGTTTTGTTGTTCCTACCCCTTCTAGTTTCGCATCTTTTCTTATTACATTAGCAAGCAATTCTATCACTGTGGCAAACAATATTGGCGACAAAGGGCAACCTTGTCTTGTTCCCCTCGTTACCTTTATAACTCCTGTCACTCCATCGTTTATTGTTACTACCGCTGTATTGTTTGAATAATATTGTTCTATCAATCCTTTCATTTTTCCCCCCATTCCAAACTTGCTCATAATTATTTTTAGTGTCCTCCATTCCACACAATCAAACGCCTTAAATATATCCAGGGCGAGTATCTCTACTTTTGTTTTCCCCTGTTGCGTTGCCCAAACTTTATTTATTACTCTCCCTATTAAATTTGGCATTTGTCTCCCTTTCACGAAACCACACTGGTCATTCTTTATATATTTATACATACAATTATTCATTCTGTTGGCCATTATTGATGATAATATTTTTGCATCTTGATTTATTAGCGATATAGGTCTATATGAACCTGTATCTGTCAAATCCTTGTCTGGTTTTGGTATCACTATTATCAGGGATTTCCTCCATGAATCTGGTATTTTCTCCCCACATAAGTCAAGTCAATCAATGTATTGTCGAAGGCTTTCATGGCTGGAATCACTAGGTTCTTGTAGGTTTTTTTCGGGCTATAGGGCCATGTTCTAGAGGCATTTCTCCTGACGTTTCACCTGCATCTATGGCAAGCATCCTCACTACCTCACTACCTCTGAGGATGCTTGCCATAGATGCAGGCGAAACGTCAGGAGAAATGTCTCTAGAACATGGCCCTATAGCCCGAAAAAACCTACAAGAATCAAGTCAATCATTTAATAAAGACATACTGGTTATTTATTTATTTAAAACATTTATATTTCGCCCTTCTCACCCCGAAGGGAACTTAGGGCTGAGCACAGCATATACATGGCAAACATTCAATGCCGAGACACAAATTCACATACAATACATAAACATTAAAAAAAAATTTATCAAAATATTAAAATACACCATTTAAAACCGTCCTAGTCATCCATGTCAAATCTAATTGGCCTGGTAATCTTTCCTATTGACGCTTTATTGCCCTGTCCCAAAAGCTTGGTCCCACAGCCAAGTTTTGACCATCCTTCTAAAGGACAGGAGGGAGGGGGCTGACCTGATCTCACCAGGAAGGGAGTTCCTTAGCCAGGGAGCAATCACCGAGAAGGCCCTGTCTCTCGTCCCCACCACTCGTGCCTGTGACAATCATCATCATCATCATCATCTTTAATTACTTATTAATCGCCCTCCATCCGAGAATGCTCTAGGTGATTTACAGCTAAATTGTAAAAGATAAAATACAATGGCGGGACAGAAAGCAGGGCCTCCCCGGAGGAACTTAATCTCCGCGATGGTTCATAGGGGGAGATGCGTTCGGACAGCTAATTTGGGCCAGGGCTGTTTAGGGCTTTATAGGCCAAAGCCAGCACTTTGAATTGTGCCCGGCAGCAAACTGGCAGCCAGTGGAGCTGGCGTAACAGCTCCCTGTATGCCACCCCAGTTATTAACCTGGCTGTCTTTCGTTGGACTATTTGAAGCTTCCGAGCAGTCTTCAAAGGCAACCCCATGTAGAGTATATTGCAGTAGTCTATCCTAGATGTAACTAGAGCGTGGACCATCGTGGCCAAGTCTGACTTCTGGTACGGGCGCAGCTGGCGCACAAGTATAGGGATAAAGTCAGAGATCATCATGAAATAAAATTCTGTCAGCAGTAGGTCTGAAATAAAAGTCCAGGCTCTGTCCGCTACATTTGCCCTTCACCACTACCATGGATTAATCTCTCCCTCCATATAGGCTGCAATCGTTTAACTAGAGCTGTTATGACTAGGGCTGCTACCATCAGAATCCTGTCTCTCAAGACAGATGGAACATGAACCTGCACCACAGACTCCATCTCACCTGGGAGTGCTTGAAGGCATCTCTCCCGATTGCATCCAAGTTGGAGGGATTTTTGATGGAACCGACGTACTCGGATACAGCCTTGATGACAACATCACAGGGTGGCAAGACGAGCTGGTGGGCACGCACCTAGAAGCCAGTGCAAAAAGCACTCAAAGGAAACCTAGACAGAAGTCCAATGAACCAAGGCTGCCTCTCTACTTTCAGTGCTAACCACTCTGATGGGATTGCTACTGTGAGGAAGGAATAGGACAATGCCATCCCCTCTTCATCACCTAGCCAGTGGATTAAAAGAAAGACGTGAAACACAGGCATCACTCCCTTGGCATATTTCTCTTTTTTTCTGAGCTTGAAAATTTAGGGGGGAAGGAAACACAGCTTGTACTTCTCAGGGGACACATTTGGACCTTCAGATGGTGTCCCCTATCCTAAGTATAGGGTGTTCTAGAAAAGAATGCTGAAGGCAGAGGGCATGTGACTCTCTAAATGTCTCTGGACAACTCCCACAAACCCTAGTAAATATAACCAGTGGATAGGTTGATGGGTAGTGCACCGGGACTGTGGCGCAGCTGTCTGAGTGCAGCTGCATTAAGATCACTTCTGACCACAAGGTTATGAGTTCGAAGCCAGCCCGGGTCGGAGTGAGCTTCCGACCAATTGTGTAGCTTGTTGTCGACCTTTGCAACCCGAAAGACAGTAGGAAAATTAGGTACCACCTATGTGTGGGGAGGCTAATTTAACAAAATTTACGTGGCCATAAAAAACAGTCAAAGCACTCCAGCAAAAGCATGCGGGGAATGCGGAAGTACTTCGTCAGATGGACGATGAAAGCAACAGCTCTCCTGGTGGCCAGAAAAAGTTAAATGGCCTCTGACTGTTTGTCTATATCTGTTGTGTGTCTTTGGCATTGAATGTTTGCCATATATGTGTACATTGTAATCCGCCCTGAGTCCCCTCTGGGGTGAGAAGGGCGGAATATAAATACTGCAAATAAAGAAATCTAATGGAGAGCCACATATTGCCTCTTCCCTCTAGTATAACTCATGTCAGAAATGAGACACTGTTTGTTTCTCTATCTTTCCATTAGCAGTCTTCCATCTATACCAGTGGTTTTCAACCTATGGGTCCCCAGATGTTTTAGCCTTTAACTCCCAGAAATCTTAACAGCTGATAAACTGCCTGAGATTTCTGGGAATTGTAGGCCAAAACACTTGGGGACCCACAGATTGAGAACAATTGATCTATACTAAGCTGTGGCAATAGAATAAAATGAAAAAAGAGGAAGATCTATGCTGGGACACTAATAATCATTCCTAAATGTAGTCCATACCCCATGGATCTTAACAACCCTTCCGTAGCAATTACCGAATCCCCGTTTTGCTGTTGTTGTTTAGTTCTGAGCCAAATTATGCTCCTGTCACTTTTTTATGGAACAGAGAATGGTGTGTCAAGTCCAAAATTGCTAACTCTACTAGAAGGTCACTAAGCACTAGGGCCCACTGCCTTCGCAAAACAGGCCAGACTTTAGGAATAACACCCTCCATTTCCCAGTAGAAGCCTTCCTAAGAGCTGGGGAACTGTAACTTTGGAAAACCGGTTTCCATGCACCACCATTCTGCTAGTGTCTTCTCCTCAAAACATCATTCAACTAGCTCCTTTCCCAAGGGTGACACCACTGCAGCCCTTTCAAAACAGGGTTTCCTGCCTTGCTGCCTTCCAAACAGGACAAGGGGACGCAAGAACTACCTTAAGCGAAGCCAATGGGTGGTCTGGTCCAAGCAGGCTCCAGTGGAAGGCAGCCAGATCCTCGTCCGGAAGGATGTGGTTCCCTGAGAGTGAGGAGGGCATGGTACTAGAAGAGTTGCCAACCAAGAACAATGGGATCCAAATCCTTTCCAGTACTAAAATTATGTACATTTCCAAAGAGTGATGAAACTCTGCAGATGCTATTCTGGCTGAAGAAATTATCACCTGATAGTCCCAGTTAAAAAGGATCTCATCTTGGAGAGCAGCTGCTAGCCAGAGCACACAACACTAGGCAGGATGATCTGGTTCAACCATTTTGTGGTTCAGTCTGGAAAAGTACCCTTTTTGAATTACAGCTCCACAGAATCTTCTGGAAGGCAGGACCACTGGGGGTTTTGGGAGCTCTAGTTCAAGAAATAAACTTTTCCAGACTCTGTTGTGATGGAGAACAAGCTATCTTCATGTGATCCTCCAAATGTCTTTGTCCTGTGTGCATGCCAGCAAATGTCCTCCATTCTTTTTCCTATCCTAATAATCTCCCCTTTTCCCTCCCAGAATCAACAGTTACTTCACACGGTTGTTTTGTGCAACATCCATGAGGAAATTTAGAAAATAATATTCCACATATGCTCTTTCTACAGCAGGACAAACTATCATGAAATCCCCTTTTCAGGAACTTATGGATGTCCCCAACCACAATCTCTTATGTGCTTGTTTTGTTAGGTAAAACAGCCCAGAAGATAGTCTTGACCCATTAAATGTATTACTGTCAATAAAACATTTACCAATTAAATCATTAAAAAGACACAAGGGTCCCCATTAAGAGTCATTTAATTTCCTAAAAAACAAAACAAGCATCTAGTGCTCCTCCAGGTATTATTCTGGAATAGCAATAAAGGCTGTTGAAACTTCAAGGGTAAAATTAAGCAGGCTTTAGATGTACATAGTGGCAGAGATTCACAGGGCATATAATAATAAATAATAATAAACTTTATTTGTACCCCGCCACGATCTCCCCGACGGGGACTCGGAGCGGCTTACATGGGGCCAAGCCCAAGCAACAATTACAATAAAGAATGACCGAACGCAAACTGAAAACCCAAACAATAAACATCATAATTACAAAAATTATACTGGGGTACCTCAGAGAAAGAGCTTTTGAACACTTCTATCACTCATTTTAAAAATCAAAGTACAGAGTTATGCTGGTAAATGGCATTTCTGCTGCTATTCTACTACTGCTGATACAATTACTTCTCTCTTTAAATAGTCCTGTGAGATGGGTCACATTGAAAAGGAGTAGGGAGAGGGGGAGAGAGGGGAAAGGAAGAGGGAGAGACTTACTTAATGGCTTTTCTAGCAAGCTTTATTTCTGAAATGGAAGGTGGACTCATGCCTCTGACTGTTTTGTGCTCTCTTTCTCTCACACACACTCATATTCACACAGAGAGAGTTTTTACTGACCTAGCAAGGCAGCAAAGATGGGAAAGCTGCTCAGCTTGAGACCCAACTGCTTGGCCACCTCTTGCATGAGAAACTGATTAGTGGTGAGGTTCTTGCCATTCCAGCTCAGTTTGAGGGCATGGGAGCTATAGTACGAAGGTATGTTGTAGAGGGCAAATTCCGAGTCATGGGCAATCAGCCCGTGGAAGCCATTCTCCCGGAAGAAGGACACAACCTCCTGGTGATGATCCTCCAGGCTCTGAAACACCTAAAACGAAGCAGAGACATTATTGAGCAGAAAGTTAGGCAACACAACTCTTGGCCTCAACATAGTGTTCTCACTTGAGTCCCAGGACATGGTAATGATTCACAGATATTTATTAGAACAAGGAAACCACTCATTACTCCCAAAAAAGTAACTGTTGGCATGAGCATGTCTAATGTGTCCTTAAAATAAAACATCTAGAGAAGATGCATTTCAGAGGTTGCTCTGAAAATTATGGTTAAAATTAATCCACGTTTGTAATCAATTCACTGGGTTAGTTCACATGTAATATGCCAGGCTGGGATTCAATGTCATGTACACGAGGCTCTGAGAGGCACACCTAAACCTTGGGCTCATCTCTTCCACCAGGGCCATCTCTTCCTATGAAGCTGATAAAGACTGCCATTGAACTGACATACGAAAGCTGACTGGCACAACCTAGGGATCACAACCAGATACAGTGAAGACATCTGTCCTTGCGCTGTGCTACTCTGCTGCTGAGTACACATGCCCAGTGTGGAACATATCTCACCACACTAAAACAGTGGATGTGGCTCTTAATGAGACATGCCGCATTATCACAGGGTGCCTGCGCCCTACACCACTGGAGAAATTACATTGTCTAGCCGGTATCACACCACCCAAAATCCGCTGGGAAGTGGCAGCCAATAGTGAAAGGACCAAGGCAGAGACATCTCCAGCTCATCCCCTGTTTGGGTATCAGCCAGCATCTCAACGACTTAAATCCAGACATAGTTTTCTAAGATCTACAGAGACACTCACTGGAACACCTCAGCAAGCAAGAGTCCAAAAGTGGCAGGCTCAAACCCAGCACCACAACCAATGGCTGATACCAAATGAGAAACTCCCCCCTGGGCACACAGAGGACTGGGCGACTTGGAAAGCGCTGAACAGACTGCGCTCTGGCACCACAAGATGCAGAGCCAACCTTCAGAAATGGGGCTACAAGGTGGAATTCTTGACATGCGAGTGCGTAGAGGAGCAAACCACTGACCACCTGCTGCAATGCAACCTGAGCCCTGCCACATGCACAATGGAGGACCTTCTTGCAGCAACACCAGAAGCACTCCAAGTGGCCAGATACTGGTCAAAGGACATTTAATCAACTACCAAACTCACACATTTTGTATTCTCTGTTTGTTTGCTTTGTTATGTTGGAAATGTAATATAATTGACTGGCTGCCCTGACACGGGAAATAAATAAAATAACTGACTTTTCCCCAACTCATGGCTTCCTATCAGACACAAACCAAGAATTATGACTCTATTTCTTAAACAATCCAGCAAAACCAGCAAAACAAGAGTTGGTTTGAAACCACAGTTCCTAAAATCTAATGTTAACTCCTGTAACGGTTGGTCCTCCATATTTGCAAGTTTAACTTCTACAGATCTCTAGGTACTTCAGTGCAACTCTGTGATCAACTTCTGCCACGAGTTGATCACAGAGATGTACTGGAAGACCTAGAAATTCCTAGAGAGAATAGCACTCTAAGAATTTCTAGGTCCTTCAGCAAAACCAGGTGATCAATTTTTGGTTGTATGGTTGCACTGGAGGAACTTGAGAAGGATTCTCCCAGTTTAATTCTTCTTGCCACAGTTTTGTAGGGTTCCTAACCCCAGGGAATGTGGAGGACTGACTGTAAAAGCAAATGCAGCAAGTGCAGGAATAGCACTAGTCATGATGAGTGCCAAAGAGGAGATTATATTAATAGATGACAGGGAATCAAATAAGGAAGGGGGTACATGGCTAAGGGGGCCTCTGCTGAACTCTCAGCTAAGGCTAAGAGATTGGAAAAATATATATTCATTTCCCCCATAGGGTTTTCATTTCCTATATTTCATTTCCTGGCTTTTAGAAAAAAATTAAAATCATGGTTTTGGGACCAGGCCTTCGGGCACTAGAAGTAAATTATGCAGCATTTCGGAAAGACAATGACTGGAACGGCGATTCGATGGACAAGACTGTTTTATTGTTTTAATGGTTGTTTTATTGCTCATGGATGTATTTTTTAATTTGATTTATGTCTAATTGTAGTGTATAATTGCAATTGCTTGTATTAGCATTGAATTTTTGCCATTACTTATGTGTAAACCGCTTTGAGTCCCCCTCGGGGTGAGAAAAGCATTATACAAATACTGTGTGTATACACACACACACACACACACACACACACACACACACTAGCCGTGCCCTGCCACGCATTGCTGTGGCCCAGTCTGTGTATATGTTTTGTGTGTGTATATGTTTGTGTGTATATATTTGTGTATATGTGTATATATGTGTATTTGCATATATATAGATATAGACAGATAGATAAATGGGTGTATATGTGTGTGTGCATATATGTGTGTATACGTGTGTGTGTATATATTTGTGTATTTCTGTGTTGATATGTGTATATGTATATTGAGTATATGTGTGTGCTTGTGTATATATGTGTGTGTGTATGTATATCTATATGTGTATGTGTGCATGTGTATATGTATGTGTATATTTGTGTGTGCTTGTGTATGTGTGTGTGCGTGTCTGTATGTATGTATTTGTGCATGTGTATATGTATATGAGTGTATGTGTATATGTATATATAGTTTATTTTGGGGGGTTTAAGTCTGTTCTGCTGGGGGTTTTATGTGTTTTTAAGGGTGATGGATATTCATTGGCCTGATAGGTGTCTTGTGTCCAAATTTGGCGTCAATTCGTCCAGTGGTTTTTGAGTTATGTTAATCCCACAAACGAACATTACATTTTTATTTATATAGATGTGTGTGTGTGTGTGTGTGTGTGTGTATTTCAACCATCAAAATGCAATAACAATGTATTAAACATATGTATAAAATATATTTTCTTGTTTTTCAGAGAATGTATAAAGTATGCAGCAGATAGTTTACCTTCACTCATATATCTGGATGGGGGGGGGGGGGGGGGGGGGAATGGGAAGCCAGATCCCTAAGACTCTTGTGATTAACAGTAAAACAGGGAAACCGTGGCTATATATAATCTTTCAAATCAGGATTTTAGAATGCAACATCAAAAACTTGTTGTTTATCTCAGAAATTACAGGCTCCATCACAACCTTACTACCCAACGTTTTGTCTTTAAAGGAACTGGATTCCATTGATGATTTTAAAGGCTTTATTTTCACATGGAAAGAAAATGTTTGCCTCTAGTCATTTAATGGAAAAGAAATGCATAAGAAAATACAATATTGGGGTAGGATTAATGTAGTCACAATGTGCTCTCAAATGCTTGCCATGTCCCCGTTTTCTTTTTTCAGCCAAAGCACAAAATCCTCAGTATCAAATTTTGTGTGAAAAGGCTGCTTTAGGGAATCCCACCCTAAAACAACAAGAAGTCCCCAAAGTGAATGGAAGTGGCAAAACATGACTTCCAGCCACAGTGGTATAGTGTTGTCTGCTAGGATCTTAGAAGAACCAAAAAATGCCCTCGCCCAAGTTACAAATGACCTCTACGACGGGTATTTTTTAAGTAAGGTCCGTTTTGTTGTAGACACTAGTAGTTCGCGCGCATACCGCAACGAGCGCATGCGTCGTGTACCGGCATGCCTCGGGAACAACTGTGCTCAGTTTCCGCTCTGTAGCTAACCTGTACGGTTCTGTTCTGTGCTTTAAAAATGTTTAAGACTATCAACTCACCCTCCGCATGTGAGGTTCGCTCAGTGATACGGTTTTTGTCAGCAAGGAACCTGCCTGCTGCAGAAATTCATCGACAGATTTGTGAAGTGTACGGTGATACTGTTATGAGTGAAGGCAAAGTGCATAAGTGGGTACGACAATTCAAAGATGGCCATGACAACGTCCATGATGAGGACCGCTCCAGTCGCCCTTCTTTGATTACAGTGAACTCTTGGTTATCGGAGCAGCACTCAAATCTTTGGTTTTTGTAGTCCTCTGTTAGGATTTTCGGGACCCAACGGGAGCACAGTTTCCTAAACTTTAGGTGTTCAGAAACAATGTTGTAAAGCACTGATCTCAACACGTCAGGAAATTCGTTTGAGAGACCTGTTATTGCGAAGTGCCTGTTCTCACGAATCCTCGCTTCAACTGAAGCCACCAAATCGTCTGTAATCAAAGAAGGGCAACCGGAGTGGTCCTCATCATGGACGTTGTCACGGCCATCATCATCATGCACGCTGTCACGTTGTCACAGGGAATGTTTGCTCCAGAATCTCATCTCATTGGCAATATCGACGAAGGATCGAGTCACAGAATCATAAGGTTGGAAGAGGACACAAGGGACATCCAGTCCAACCCCCTTTCACGTAGGCCGAAACACATGGAGGATGAAACAGTCATTTGCCTTCAAAATTTAAATACACAGTTTCTAAACAGAGGGTGAAATGGGCCTTGCAAGTACGGTTCAGAGGTGGTTGCCAGGGGAGCAACTGATTGAAAGGATTCATTTTCACAGAGTGCAGCAATGACTCACTTTGCTTAGCTTTTATTTATCCTCATTACTAAGGATTCATTTTCACATGGGATTAGACAAACTGCTGGAGGCAATGCCTGTCAAGTTACTATCAGCAGGGACAGCCCAAATATTTCTGGAATTTCTAAGCACAGTATAATGCCTCTGCATATCAGGGTGGATAGGGAACAGTATTATGTCCTAAAATAAAGTCAGAGAGGCCTCTGAATGATGAGAGTTGCAATGTTATAAGGCCTTTAGATTTCTATGCCGGAAAATGCTAGTGTGTCATCAAGCTACAATCCCAGAATTCCACAGTATTTAAAGTGACAGTTAAAATGGTATCAAAGTACATTAATTCTACAGTGCAGATGCATCCTTAGTCTTTTACACTACTAGGATTTGATTTGACTGAAACAGAAATAAATTTCTCCTATCTACTAAACATCCTAATCTCTTCCCCTAGTAATTTGCACCCTCCTAACTTTTCTGCAATGATAAATGATTGTGATAGGGGGGAAAAAACCCATCAAACTTGGTGTTCTTATTCATTTAA